CACCGCCTGACAGGTAGGGTGTGGGGCCTACTGTTGAGCTGTAGTCTGATCAATGCCTGTCTATTGAGAGCTTTGAAAAGATTGAACAAGAAATAGTCAACTGGGAAAGAGAATGGCAGATAGGATACTGTGCTAAGAACAAAAAAAAGGAGGCCCAGAGAGAAAATGCTAGCTAATAATTTAGATGGATGGGTTCTGAATGCAGTGTGGAGGCTGTCTTAATTCATTTTATTTTTACTAACCCTTGCAGAGCAGGAATCACCACTTTGGAGCCTGGTGTCTATACGAAATGCTAATAATGGCTCTTGGACACTTGGTTCTGTCCTCCTGGCCAGCATCCTAGGCCTGAATGAGGCTGAGATATCAAGCAAAAACACCTGCCCAGGTAAGGTTTCTGGCACAATCAGTGGCATTGTATTTCTAATTCTGTGTTGGTAGATGGAAATGTCTGTCTTTGGTTTCTATTCACCTACTTTGGGTGGGGGTGGGTGTTAGTGCTAGCACACCGCCTAGTTCTAACAGTGGTTTTGTGCCTTAAGCCAAGCTTAAGATTCTATACACTCTCATAAAACCACAGAGTTTCGACTGCCAGGCAAAGTCCTCTCTGTGCAGGACATGCAGAATAAGATGCAGTCAAGAGTGTCAGCTTGGCCTTGTGACTGCGGGTGCCCAGTGTCATGGGTGCCATGCAGTGTGCATGGCCCTAGCCCTTAAATTTGTGGGGAATTTTGTTGGTGCTCAGGCACCCAGGGCCCCAGGGAGTTAGCACCTAGCATCCAGGGTGCAGTAGAAGCCTGCTTCTCATCTTATAAGCAGGAAGGCTGGAGAAACTGTCCTCACTATAACTTCCTCTATGGAAATAATGCTGGAATGAGCAGTAATGTCAAACCATGGGTTTATTTCCTGGATTGTGGTAAATTATAACCACGGTTCAGGTATTGAAATGTTACATTCAACCATTGTTTTATTTTCCTTTAAGAACTGTCAAGTGTACAGAGCCAGTGGGGGAGCAGGGCTTAATACATGTCTCTCTCTCTTTGACTCCCGCTCCAAATTGCCAGCTGCGTGGGCGACAGTTCTGGCCCTTCTCTGGCTCCACTCCAGGGCCACAGGCCAGAGGGATGAGTGGAAGTTACTGGAAGCTAAAGCTCTCAGCTGACTCTAGGCAACTGCAGGCGAGAGGCTTATTTATTTGTTAATTTAATGTATTTATATTCCACATTTCTCCCAAATTGGGATTCCAGGTGGCTAGCAGCATTTCAAAACATATTATAAAATTCAGTGCAATAAAATAAACAGTGACTTATAATGTTGGTATTTTAATTACTTTGCTTAAAGACTAAAACAGAATTCCCTGGATGCTGGGATCAATGGGGGCATATACTCTTTGGTGAGAGAGCCCCAGCAGAGATTAAAAATTACAAAACATGCAGCAAAGTTAAGTGTGAAAATATAGGCTTTTAGAACTTTAAAATAGCCACTTCTAATTTTATTCCAAAGTTTCCCGCTTTCCCTTACAGGTAGCATAGAAAGAGAACACACGTTAAAATATGTTTACTCACAAACTTTTCAAAGGTCAGATAAGATTCATGCGTTTTTCCATACAGCAGCAAGACAAGACAGGCAGAAAAATAGGCCAAAAGGGTTCAGTAACAATCTGGAGCCTAGCACTCATAAAAGGAACCATGTGAGAGGTTTCGCATCTTTGGGCCTATCCACGTTTACCTTTCCTCTGATTTTCCCATGCATGATCTGTGATTTAAAGCTCTTTGTCCCAGTGCTCTTTTCCTTTGCTCTGATTCAGCTTGAAAGAGCCGGTTTTCCGGGGGGGGGGAGCCCCTCTGACATGGAGTAACCCTAACCCTTTATTATGTCTAAAATAGGACTACTAACCCACATTTAGTGCTAAAAGTGGTACGGCATGTGTGTGTGTTAATATCTATGTAATAGTTCAGTTCATATTCCACCTGTACCCAAAGATGCAATGGAAAAATAGAGGCACCAGTGTCCAGTCAGGAATTTGTGGACCCTCCCTGGCTGGAGGCGGGAGTAACGGGAAGTCCCTCTGCATTCTGCTCAAAAAGGTTCACTTTCGCTTCTGCTCAGCTGTTTGCAGAGCAAGGCGAGGGGGGGAAGGACGTCGAGTTTAGGGGGCGCTTTGAGGTAAGAAAATGATCTACTGCAAATGATTTATGAGTGGGCTCCTCTTTACAGCCCACTCATAGCATCGCTCGCTCTCTCTCTTAAACAAAACTTCACCCCCAGCTAGAGACCCCCGTTACCTTAACTATTTGCGTCTGATCTGTTGGGGAGCAAAATCCCCCTTTGCTTCCCTCCTCCCCTCACCTTTGGTCCCTCTGGGTAGAACAGGGGTCAGCAAACTTTTTCAGCAGGGGGCTGGTCCACTGTCCCTCAGACCTTGTGGGGGGCCGGACTATATTTAGGGGAAGGGAATGAACAAATTACTATGCCCCACAAATAACTCAGAGGTGCATTTTAATTAAAAGCACACATTCTACTCATGTAAAAACATGCCGTTTCTAGGACCGTCCGCAGGCCGAATTTAGAAGGCGATTGGGCCGGATCTGGCCCCCAGGCCTTAGTTTGCCTACCCATGCCATGAAACAGGGGTCAGCAAACTTTTGGGGGGGGGGGCAATCCACTGTCCCTCAGACAGCGTAGTGACTTGCATTGTTCTGTAGTTGATCACTAGCCTCCTTGTACAGTGGAAAATGGATGGTATTTTCTAACACTCATTGGAACCCAGTGCTAATGCTAGGTAAAGGTAAAGGGACCCCTGACCATTAGGTCCAGTCGTGACCGACTCTGGGGTTGCGGCGCTCATCTCGCTTTATTGGCCGAGGGAGCCGGCGTACAGCTTCCGGGTCATGTGGCCAGCATGACTAAGCCGCTTCTGGCAAACCAGAGCAGCGCATGGAAACGCCGTTTACCTTCCCGCCAGAGTGGTACCTATTTATCTACTTGCACTTTGACGTGCTTTCGAACTGCTAGCTTGGCAGGAGCAGGGACCGAGCAATGGGAGCTCACCCCGTCGCGGGGATTCGAACCGCTGACCTTCTGATCGGCAAGTCCTAGGCTCTGTGGTTTAACCCACAGCACACCCGCGTCCCAAGTGCTAATGCTAAGGGGGAACAATTAGCATCCCTAGGGACCTTTTTTAAAAAAAAATTATTGATTTTCATTAAATATACATTCATTATACAAATACATTTCACATATATCTTTGGCTCTGCCGAGCTTCAGACTTCCCTCCACCCCTTCGGTAAGTATCATACATTTTCTTACATCACGTATTTTGTTTGTTTACCTGGTTAACCATATGCTGTTGGAGTTAATCTAACCCTGCCAGTGTCTTTAAGGTTTTGCAGTTGTCTCTTATATACACCAAATATTTGCTCCAACTTTCATAAAGCTTCTGTTCATCCTGATCTCAAATTTTCCCTGATAGTCTAGCCAGTTCCGCGTAATTCATCATTTTAACCTGCCATTCCATAATAGTTGGTATTACATCTGTTTTCCAATTCTGGGCCAACATAGTCCTTGCTGCCATCGTGGCGTACAGAAATAGGTTTTTATCTTTCTTTTTAATTTCCTTCCCTACCAATCCCAGTAGAAAGGCTTCGGGGGGTTTGGAAAGGTGTACTTGAAAACTTTTTTAAGTTCATTGTAAATTAATTCCCAGAAGCCCTTCACTTTACCACACTTCCACCACATGTGGTAGAGGTCTCCTTAGGGACCTTATGGTAAAGAGCAGGCAAGAACTGCAGCAGGTGGAGGAAAAAGTGAGTGTTGGTGGTTGCAGAGTGGCCCTACCACTAGACAGAGAGATAGCACACACAAAAATGGCTATGGAAGGATTGCACCAATCTCTTCCCTTGCTGTTTTCTCCCTTGGGTGCCCCAGGAAATCTACTTAGTAACACACCTTGACTTTGTGTGGAGGGGAGTCCTTGTTGCAGCTCCCTTCAAGTGGTCAAGCACCTTGGGCCAGCCCTGGTATGCAACAGTTAATTCTTTCATGTTGATCTCACTGTGGAAAACATGTCCTGCAGACAAGTTTGATCCTGTAGTCAGGAGGTGCATATTGATGAGCACTGTGCCATAGTTTGCCCCAAGCCCTACATCTCCTTCTGCATCTCCTTCTCACCTGTTCCCAATACTGCTGCTTAGAGACAATCAGGATGTCCCTTTGTAGAACAATGAACATGCTTCTCTATTATTATCTCAGGGGTTTCCACTTCCCCCCCTCCCCACCCCACATGCCAATCATAGTTATGACTTCATTCATTGGCTAAGAGCTTCAGGAGGGCAGTGCTGCAGGCAGCTTTCTCCTGGGGGACCTGGAGGTGGGGGCACTTTGGACTTCTTCTTCAAGGGTCTCTTCATCTCTCAGATGGAAGAAACATAACAGTTCATTGGCTCCCTCCCCACCTCTCCTTGAGTGGCTGCACTCTGCACATGCTCAGAGGCTTCTCTTCTGGTCACCATAGCCTCTGCCCTGGTGCTCCCCTCTGGGATCTGAATACAGAAGGAGCACCAGGGAGTAAAGAGTGGCTGAAGAATGGATGAGAGGCATGTCAAGTGAGATTGGCTGCCAGAAATTGGGGTGGGGAGTATAGGGAGAGACATGGGCTGAGAGAAGATTGGTTAAACCTGGCATCAAATCTCACCTTCCTTCCACCTGTCATTTTAGCATCCCCTCATTCTTCTGCATTCAGAGATGAGACAGAAAACAATGACAAACAAATATCCTTGTAAGAGCAATTGCTTAATAATGTTGGGTAAAAAGTATTGTTTTAAATGGGAACAATATTTCATACAAGTAAGTGGGGGCTACCATTTCCATTAAATCAAAGGAAAATGAAATACAGAGTTGTTGTATGTATGATTCCCCTCTAGCCAAAAATTAATCTCTGTTTTCTGCAGTTGTGGTGAATCGCTGGGAAACCAATTCCTCCGCAAAGACTATTGCTGTTGGCCATGACTGTCTGTGGCCTTGTCACAAACTCTCGGGAACCTGGTAAGTTACCTGCATACGGTTATTCAGCTAAGTGAGTGCAAAATGGCAATAAGCCACATACTGCTATAAATTTCCAAAATATAGCTTTCTAGTTTATGGTATGTAATGGTGTAGGTTGGGGGGTCCTAAATAACTGGCTGGCCTGGCAGTGGGAGCCAAGATGACTGGAGAGGGTTTCTCCAAAGTATACACAGGGCCATACATTGAGCCTTCCTTGTTCTCTCCTTGCCCCAGTGCCCTTGAAGAGCATCTCTGTGGATGTGGTGGTCCGTGGCTTTGTGGCTGACGTAGTGTCTGAGCTTCGCTACCACAATGAGGAGAAGTCTCCAGTGGAGGTTGTGTTTGTCTTCCCTCTGGATGATGAAGCCGCTGTATATGCCTTCGAGGGCCTGATTGGTGGGACGCGGATTGAGGCCCAGATCCGAGAGAAGAAACAGGTATGGAAGGTCTGAGGAGAATCAGGGCCTTTGGCATTGGGTGGCCAGTTTCAGAAGGGAGGCGGAGGCTTCCCTAGAGAGGACTCTGTGCCTACAAGCAGATTTTGTGTCAAGAAGCTCACATGTTGTGCTTAAAAGAAAGAGTGCCTAACAACATTCAGTTGCTGTAGTAAGGAGCCTGGCTTCGTGGCCTCTTCTGCTGCAGCTTGGTGTAATTTTAACCTAATGTATGAATTCTAAAGTCACAGTGTAGATACCACAGTGCTTATAATTTACTTTCACAAGGTAAAGTTACAAAAGCATGGAAGCTTCGCTGGTAGGTAACCAATTGGTCGACAGCTGTTTTTAAATGGGAATCCTTTCTTGGGACCACACCTGCCTGTGTCCTTGCCTTCCTCACTCCTGATGTTCTTCTCTTCTCTTCACCACCCAATGCAGGCAGAGCAGGAATATGAGGATGCCTTAAGTGAAGGCCGGCAGGCTTTCCTGCTTGGAAGAGAAGAAAACACCAGTGACATTTTCACCTGCAGCCTGGGTAACCTCCCTCCGGATGGGGAGGCCACGCTGAAGCTCTCCTACATCCAGGCCTTGGCTCCAGAGCCCGATGGGGCCATCCGCTTTGTCCTGCCCGCTGTCCTCAACCCCCGCTATGCACCTCAGGGTAAGCTCCTGCACCCCCAAACACACTAACTAGCCCCACATACAAGCCTCTTGTAATGCTGTTTTGTGGATTTGGAGCAACAGAAACATTAATGCATGCTCATTTCATATGTACAACCTTTACAGAGATGAGCAAAATAGATTATTTACTCCCATCCTACCAAATTGCCCAGGAAGGAGCTTTGAATTCTGTTTGTCCTATGTATCGGCTGACACAAATAAAATATTTAAAGAAACAGTTGCTAGATTCCTCTTTTCTGCTGGAAAGGCCCAGGAAGGTATTTTGTTACATTAACTCAATTGGAGAAGTGCCATAGGTGTTTTTGTTAGAAGTGGTGATGTACCGTATTTTTCGCCCTATACGACGCACTTTTTCCCCTCCGAAAATGAAGGGGTGCATCCTATGGGGTGAATACAGGCTTTCGCTGAAGCTTGGAGAGCGAGAGGGGTTGGTGCGCACCGACCCCTCTCACTCTCCAGGCTTCAGAAAGCTATCAGCAAGCCTGGGGAGCCCTGCGGGAGTTCCCGCAGGGCTCCCCACGCTGCAGATAGCAGCCTGCCGCCCGGCACGCGGAGCGTCCTAAAGCAGAGCGCCCCGCGCGCCGGGCAGACATCGGCCAGTCCCACAAGCTTGGGGGACAGCGGGGAGGCACAGCGCCACCATCCCGTTGTTCCCCGACCTGGTTTTGAGGGGGAAAGAAAGGGGAAAAAATTTCCTTTATTTCCCCCCCAAAAAAACTAGGTGCGTCCTATGGGACGGAGCGTCCTATGGGACGAAAAATACGGTAAGTGAAAGGGGGGTTGGTTGCATTTTTTGGCAAGGGTTTCTGGTAAGATGGAGGGGGGCTGAAGCCATGTGGGCTGACGTGAGGCAGCCTCTAGAAAGGACCCCGAGAGCAGGGCTGATTTCTCTTTGAATTGGCGGCTGCAGCAATGGAAGGAGCCGGACCCTCTTGGGATGTGAGCGCTGGGATTTTCCTCCGTCCAGACTCAGGTTGTATATATGTGTAAATAAAACCACATATCATAAAGACACGACAGTCCCCACTGTGTCTCATTTCCAACAGGAAACTCAAACCCTGGGTAATCGCCTGGGGATTGGGGGTGGCGTGCTGTACATTACTGTTTAATGGTGCCTTCGCCTCCAACAGCCTTATTCTTCCTCCCACATGTGGTTGTGTTACAGTGTCTTCCTCCTCATGAGAGCTTGCCCATTGTGTTCAATAACCATGGTGTGCTGGATAGCTCAGTTGGTTAGAGCGTGGTGCTGATAACGCCAAGGTTGGAGTTTCAATCCCCATATGGAACAGCTGAGCATTCCTGCATTTCAGGGAGTTGGATGAGATGATTCTCATGGTACTCTACAATTCTGTGGTTTATGACTCTCTCACTCTCTCATGTACAGGTTCAGAAGGGGGCAATGTCACCAAGAGCATACCACGACTGCCCAAGGGGCAGCTTCCCTACACTCTCAGCCTCAGTGCCACCCTGGAGTCACCTTATGGCATCAACCGTGTGGAGTCCAAATGCACCCTTGAGCCCTTGCGCTACAGGGCAGAAGATCGTACGATTGCCCAGGTACAATAGTGAAAGGAACAGCTTCTGAAAAGGGGTGTATTTGTCATTCTCCATTTGAAGTTGCACACACATCCCAAAATCTGTACTTAGGTCTAATGGCCGACATAGACGTGCTATTTGTATTATTACTAAAAAATTTATTAGTTTTTACAATATCAGCGACAAACAAAAACATAAAACAAACAAAACATAACAAACATAAATCATAACCTTAGAAAATAACAGTTATTTACTTTGTAAAACGACTTCCTCGTTTCCCCTTAATTGAATTTCATTGCATATCCTTATAATGATTTTCCAAATCCCAATTTTAATACCCTTTAAATTAAACATTAACATCTTTAAATCTTCTCCTTCTTGTATTAGACATATTATTTTATCAGTTAACATTAATACAATCCTAAGCCCATTAAGTATCTGGACGCTATTTCCAGTTATTTTAGCTTAACAAATTTAGCTAAATAATCATTAAATAGACGTGCTATTTGCTTTCTTTTGTAAACAAATAACTGGAAAGGGAAGAGTAAGCTGGATTGGGGCCATGGCTTGGGAAGGGGAACATTTGACTCTTGCGACCCCAACAGCCCTGTTTGGAATCTCCCTCCCCTTGCTTGCCGTTTACAAGATGAGAGCTGTCCTTCCATTGTGAATAGCCACCAGGTATTATTTTTATTATTATTTGTTGAATTTATATACAGTGGTGCCCCGCAAGACGAATGCCTCGCAAGACGGAAAAACCGCTAGACGAAAGGGTTTTCCGTTTTGAAGTTGCTTCGCAGGACGAATTCCCCTATGGGCTTGCTTCGCAAGACGAAAATATCTTGCGAGTCTTGAGATTTTTTTTTCGCTTTTCCCCCCCTTTATCTAATCTGCTAAGCCTTTAATAGCCTTTAATAGCCTTTTAGCAGCTAATCCCCTAAGCCTTTAAGCCTTTAATAGCCGCTAAACCGCTAATAGCGCTAATAGCGCTAATCCGTCAATGGGCTTGCTTCGCAAGACGAAAAAACCGCTAGACGAAGACTCTCGTGGAACGGATTAACTTCGTCTTGCGAGGCACCACTGTACCACCCTATAACCCTATACACAGAGATATATTGGCCTTGCTTGGCTGGTTGAACAAATAAGGTGAAGGGGGCAAGCTGGGTCTTGGCTTTGGTGTGGGAGAGGAGAGTTTTAACTCTGTTGCCTCTACCAGAGTCCCACTCCCATGCTGGGCATTACTGGTAACAAGGGCGGGTGGGAGCTGCCCTCCCACTACGAATAGGCAGCCTAGGGGCAGGATTTCTATTGAGACCACTGTTTGTTTGTTTATATTTCACATAATATATATGCCACTTGATTGTAAAATAAAAATAAACACACACTCAAAGCGGTTTGCAAAAGGGAAAGAAGCGATAAAATTACTACTTAGCAAAGTTTAAAAAACAGCTATTTAAAACATTCAGGAATAATTAAAACCAGGGATTTAAAAATTGATTAAAACATATGTCAGTACTCTACATCCATGGATAGGCTTGCCTATGCAGAAATGTTTTCAGCAGGTGTCCAAAACCGTGTGGTGAAGGAGCCTGCCCGATGTCAATACATAGGGAGTTCCAAAGTGTGGATGCTACCCCATTAAAAGATGGACTATGGGGGGCAGGAAGGTTTTTAAAAATCTCTTGCTACCCTGCAGCTTGAATATGATTCTTCATCACCTTTGGCTATTGGTTTACAAATAAAACCAGTCATGTAAAACCAAACAGTAGGGTTTGGTTTTGGCCTCAGATCCTGTCCTTTTGATCAGTTATAATGTGGATATGCTTACTCTAAGGGCACATTTTAATAATAACAACTAACTGTGAGCTATTGAACCCAGTTCAATGTGTTTCTATTGGCGTACAAAGCCTGCGACCCAAGATTGCTTCTCTCAGTATCTCAGGTTCTACATTTGGCAGGGGAGGTCCTGCAGTTGATCATTTATTTTGCTGCCTGTTATTGAATCAAATGGCACAACCTAGAATTCTCTCATTTTGCACAGTTTTGGAATAAATGGCCAAATTCCATAGCAACGTTTTTCGAAAGTGTTACACACTTAAACATATTTGGGAGGAATAGGAGCAGAGCTCCACATTCAAGCTCTGCTTCTCCTTCTAACCCCAAAGGTCTCCTTGGCCGAAGGGCACCAGTTCGACCAAGACGTGGAGCTGCTGATATATTACGAGGACATTCACAAGCCCAGCGCCCTCCTAGAGGCTGGGAAACCTGGGGCTGCCGCAGGTGAGGAAAGCTTGGGGCAGCAGAGGAAATGGGGGCAGAAACACAAAGGGTACTGGGAGGTGAAAGGGTGCTGCCTTGGGTGAAAATGCCTCATGGATCTCCTTTCCTCCCGCATTGCACAGGCTCTCTGATGGGGGACCCAGCACTTCTGCTCACCCTGTACCCCAGTGTCCCTGCCCCCAAACCAGGCCAGAAGGCGACTGGAGAATTTCTCTTCCTGCTGGACCGCTCTGGAAGCATGGGTTCCTGGACCGATCGGAACCCTGATTCCCCAAAGCGGATTCAGAGTGCCAAGGTACCCTGTGTTTGGAAGAATAGGATGAAGTGGTAGAAGGGAGGGTAATGGAAGACTGCAGATGAATGGTTCCTCGGAAGGAGGCGAGGCCCGTAATAAACGCTAGAGGTTGGGCTGGAGCGCCTAGGGTGACTCCTGCTTTTCTCTCCCCCCTCCCCAACCCCACATTTCAGGAGACCCTGATTTTCTTGCTGAAGAGTCTCCCTCTGGGATGTTACTTCAACATCTATGGATTTGGATCGACCCATGACTCATTCTACCCGTGAGTGTCAAAAGAGTGTCCAGTGTTGTCAGACTCGTTACTTATCTGCTCCTCCATTTGCTCCTATGTTGTATCACTGGCAATGGTTAACACAGGAATCTGAACACACTTCTTTATCTTCAGATGTTGCTGAACTACAGCTCCATAATCCCTGGCTCTTGGATCATTGCCTGCTAGGGCTGTCGGGACTTGTAGTTCATCAACATCTGGAAGGCCAAAGGTTCCTCACCCTTGCTTTTATAGGTCTATGAAATGGAAGGGTTTTTTAAAGTGTCAAGAGATTTGACCCAAGGAGTTAGAAGAACTGTCCAAGGCACAAGGGGTATTTTCACAAGCTAGCTTCCCAGCATCTCCTGCAAGGCACATTCTGGACCTCTAAACATTTCTCACCTCCTCTTCCCCACTTGTTCTGCTGTTACCATTCCCTCCATCTTACCGGCACAGTAAACATAGCCTTTTTCTATCCTTGATGTGGCTTGGCGCATTCTGAGCACTGAATGATGAGAAGAGAAGTTTGAATCTTGAGTGGATGAGTTTTAGGGGAGCAATTAGACCATGTAACAAATAATAATAGGGTGGTCCTGGTGGAAATGTGGAATGTTGTGGGAGGTTTACAAAACAGCCTGATGGGGAATCGGATGAGTTTGGGAGGAAAATGTGTCCTTTACCTCCTTGACTCTCTGAAACTCTCTACAGGCAGAGTGTTGAATACACCCAGGAGACCATGTCAAAGTCCCTCCAACGGGTGAAGGAGCTGGAGGCGGATTTGGGGGGCACAGAGATTCTGCGGCCACTGAAGGCCATTTATAGCCAGCCGTGCCGGGAAGGCTATCCTCGCCAGGTATCAAGAGTAGGGTTTTTAGTGACCTGCAAAGAGTGGTGGAACAAACATGAAGTTGGTGTTTTTTGTGAAGGTTTTAAGTTATGTGCATTGTGTTTTTTCTACATAACGCCCTGATGTCCATGAGGATACAGAGTAGTCTAAAATTATTTTGAATAAATAGAAAAATGTACAACCCCATGGAAGATACCAGAGTTGGGACCTCCCTTTGGAAGTGGGAAGGGGAACAGTTATTGGGGCCAACTTCGTCTGTTTGCAGATGGACAGTGAATGCAATTCTTGCCTGCAAACAGATGTCAAAGAAGAGAGGCCCCCCACATGTCAATCGCCTGCCATTTAAGTTAGCTTGCATGGTATGGAGGAATTAATGAGTCAGTCTTCTGCTCTCTCACACACTTTATGCGATTGCACCACCACTAGGATAGGCATTTTCCCCGTTTATATGTGGGGTTTGAATGCAATTGGGGCCTGCAAATGGACTTCAAAGGGGGAATGGGATAGGTTCTGATACCTCTCTGTTCTCCCTCCCTCTCTCTCTCTCTAGCTCTTTGTGTTCACGGATGGAGAGGTGTCTAATACAGATGAGGTCATTGCTGAAGTTCGACGTCACAGCAGCTCCCACAGGTAAGGCAAGGGAGAGGGAAACCAGCTTCTCACAGCTCTGCACCTGGCCTAGGTTCACCTCCTCTTTCTCTGACAGGTGCTTCTCCTTTGGCATTGGCGAAGGGGCCTCCACAGCCCTCATCAAAGGAATTGCCCGTGCGGCCGGAGGCAGTGCTGAATTCATCGCAGGCAAGGAGCGCATGCAGGCCAAGGTGAGGCTCAGGAGCTCCACATTCCTCTTCTCCTGGTCTCCACCAGTTTCTCCTGAGCTGTGGGTAAACTGCCAGGTGCCCCCTGACAATCCATCAGAGCATGGAATCCCAGCTCTCCCACGCAGCACAACCACTAAGTTTTGGAAAAGATCCATGAAACCTTAATACATAAGGACTGCACCCTCAGATTGATCATTTGGCTCACCCTTCTACACTTCTCCTGAACTGCATATGGAAACCTTGCATTGCTAGTAGTGCCCAATAGCTACGCTTTCTTTATGGGACATTTTAAACCACTTCGCTGGAAAGAAACATTGGTTGCCTTCATGATTGCCTGGCTTATTGAGGATTCCTCCTCTGTTTATAGGGAGGTTAGATATGACATTGCATCAAGCCAGGGTTATTTCACACTTTCCGGTGCATTTTCCTGTTGCTTCCCATTCTGCAGAAAGTCTTATCTTTTGAGGAGGAAGCTTCAGTTGCAGAATCTGAATCTTCCAGTGTCCTGTGGAATCCTACCTGGGAAGTAGCAAGTCTGGAAGTGCCTATATTTGCATGTTTCTGCTTGACAAAAAAAAAACACACTTCAGTTTCTCATAGCACACATCATCTGCTTATGAATTCCAATCTTTTTTAGTGCCCCCTATGTGGCACGGGAATGCGGGTGGCGCTGTGGGTTAAGCCACAGAATCTAGGACTTGCCAGTCAGAAGGTCGGCGGTTCGAATCCCCGCGACAGGGTGAGCTCCCGTTGCTCGGTCCCTGCTCCTGCCAACCTAGCAGTTCGAAAGCATGTAAAAGTGCAGGTAGATAAATAGGTACCGCTCCGGAGGGAAGGTAAACGGCATTTCCGTGCGCTGCTCTGGTTCGCCAGAACCGGCTTAGTCATGCTGGCCACATGACCCAGAAGCTGTACGCCGGCTCCCTTGGCCAATAAAGCGAAATGAGCACCGCAACCCCAGAGTCGGCCACGACTGAACCTAATGGTCAGGGGTCCCTTTACCTTTACCTATGTGGCACAGTCATTGTGTTGCTCAGAGACTGTCCAGCAGGCTTCTATTCTATGTTCAGTGGCTTTTGGAGAAACCAAGATGGCATCTTCACCAGCCCCTCTCCTGACTCCTTTGCAAGCACTGTTCACACAGTTTCAAAACAATCATAGAAACATAGAAACTTATTTTTAAGCGATAGTTGAACAGGAACTTTGATATTCTCTTGATGTCATTGCAAAATTCTTTTTTCCCATAGGCCCTGCAGTCTTTGAAGAAGGCCCTGCAGCCAGCCGTGACCAGGATCTCTCTGAGCTGGGACTTGCCTCCTGGTCTGAAGGCTGAGCTTGTGGGGTCAGGCCCACAGGTCATCTTCCAGGGGCAGCGCTGCCTCATTTATGCCCAGATCCATGGGCAGGACCAGGCAAGTAACCACCACCAGGACCTTAACCAATGAATAATCCCTCCCTCCTATCCTAAATACCAAAACCTGCCAGTCCTGGTGTTTTATAATCCCAGAATGTATTGTTCCGAAGGCTTCTTACCCTTTCCCAGTTTTGATCTTTCTTTTCTTCTGCAGTCTTCAGGCTCCACAGAAGGGACTGCTGTTCTTCAGTACCAGTTCCAAGACCAGACTTTCAAAGAAACGTTGAAGTTCTCACTCAGTTCTCAGGAGACTGACAGGTAGTACTGTCACATTTTGTAAGTCTTCCCCCCCCCCCAACCTTGGACAAATGTGATATGATTTATTTAATTACAGATAGCATTTGGAAGCCATCAAGCTATAATCCAGATTTGCCAATAGTCAAGGAAGATTGGGTTTGGATGGCCTATATTAAGGGGTTTACATCATGCCAAGTGGTCCCTGCATTTATCTCCCCGCTGCCCCCTTTTTCCTATACTGCAGGCTTCCTGTTCACCGTCTGGCGGCTCAGACCCTCCTAAAGGAACTGGAGGGGGCTGGGGAGAAGGGAGAAGAAAAGCAGCGCCTGGCACTGGAGACGAGCCTGAGCTCTGGGGTGGTGTGCTCACAGACGGCCTTTGTGGGAGTGAACATGGAGCTGGGCACAGCACTTCAAGGGCCCCTCAGCCGCCGAGACATTCCCCATGCATGTGAGTTCAAGGAGATGTGTTTGGCAATGACCATGGATTCCATGTTGGATTCAGTGTCACTGCATCTGCTCAGTACCTTCTAGAAAAGACTTTTGGGGTGACTTGGAGTTGGTTTTACTCAGCCTTCATTAAGATAATTTGGAGATATCCGGTATCCCACTCTAAGTGTGTGTGTGTGTGTGTGTGTGTGTGTGTGTGTGTTTCAAATCTGTTTCGGTCTAAATCTTAGCTTACCTTTACAACATTCCAGCTTGAACTTTCAGATCCAATTGACATATTTTTTGCTCTTTTAGGAAAGTTCCATCACTTGGTGTTCTCTAAATATTAGAGTTACAAGCTAATGAAGCAATATTAGCTATTCCATTAGGGAAGTACACCTGCCTGATTAATTGTGGATTCTGGCAGCCTTTACACTGAAAGGAAATAGTTAAGGCAAATTATTTCATAAAAGATCGTTAGAAAAAGCTAATATGCTTCAAAATATCAAACAATATTTAAATAATAATATACATACAGAAGTGAATAGTGGAAGTTGAATGAGCACAATAACATTTCAAACGGTTATCAAGAATTCTAAGGAGGCAGAACTCACCTTTTATTTAAAAAATAATTCATCCATAGAGTATCTTTCTGAGTTCTTCCAATGGAGAAGAGAAGAAGCCGTGATGATATGATGAGCTGAACTTTAATCCTAAGGCATCAAAAGTCTCCTTAAAATATTTTCCTCAGCTGTGCTCAAACAATTACATATAACTTTAAACTCATGAGCTTTGCTAATAATACGTAACTTGAAAAGGTTTTTGATAAGTACTCCTTAGCAATGGTGTTACTTAGGAAAAAACTGAGCTAAGAGTTCAGTGTTGGAAACTACCAGGGGTCTTGAGGTGAGAAGTTACCTATATCAAGCTATATCAAAAGTGAATATAACTCACATTTTCATTCTGTCTCAGTAGGTCTTCTAGATCTTCTAGGTCTTAGGCAACAATCCATTCATGAAGCAAAGTTTAATAACAAACTGTTAAGACCGCAAGAACTGACAAGTTTTGTTTAACCTAGGTAAAATAATGCTTTAAGTGCTAGAGCAGAGAGATATGTGGTCACAATATCAATGTATTTCCCTCATATCAATGAGTTTCAATGGTCACAACCCAAGAAAGCCAAGATGGTGCTTGGAGAAGGGTTTTCTATTATTTGTGCCCTTAACGTTTAGCATCTTGAGCAGGAGGAGGAGGGAGTAATCATCTTGGTCCAGAATGTGGCTTGTGCTTCCTTGAGATGGCTTGGCCCTAATCTATGTGAAGGAAGCCATTGAGAAGACTTTTAAAGGAACTTCCTTCAGCCCTGCTGATGTGTTTATCAGCCACTTAAAAGTCTCTTCCCTTCTAAATCGCTCTTTCTCCCCCTCTCTCCCTCCCTCCCTCTGAATGTTGTTGGGCTACAACTTGAAAATGTGACGATTGCTGACTGAGGCAGATGGATGCTGGAGTCAAACAAACTGGGAAAGCCACTTGCTCCCTGGCCAAGAAAGGACTACAGTATTTTTTAAACAATGGAGGTCCAGCCCCGTCTGCGGGTGCTGCAGTCTGAATGGGGAGCAGATAGCAAGGCGGCCATAGGAGCCAACTCCTAGGGGCTTTGGGGGGATTCACCCTGCCCCAATAAAATATTTGAAGGGTCTGGACCCCTGCAAAGTTGATGGGCATTGCCATTCAAATTGTTTGTGTGCACCATGTCATATGATCGATTATGCGGGGTTGGGCTTACCTGGGCCCCCCCATATATTTTATTTAAGTTGGCACCCCTGAAGGCGGCAGTTCTTTTGCTGTACAGTCAATGGCTGCATACACACCATTTGTCTAAAGAACATTTCCCTCCAAAGAATCCTGGGACCTGTAGCTTGTTCAAAATCTCATTAGATTTGTGTGTTTTTTCCTCCTTGGTCTAGTACAAGCTAGAATGGCATTGTGCTATGCACAATCTGCATCTCTAGGCACATCATTTTCACCAATGCCAACGGCGGGTTGCAACCTGATGGTTTCCTGCTCTCCTCCTCCCATGCAACATCCTCGCTTGGTTAAGTCCTCAGGTAATAAAAACACTGCCACCATCTCAACTCTGTTCATGTTCTGCATAGAAGAGTTAAAACACTGAATGCATTCATTTTGTACATAGGCCTTATCTGCAATACTTGTTCCCTTAACTTTTAATCATCTGGGTTAATTTGAGACGTGGCTTGGCCTTAATCTCTGTGAAAGGGAGCCATTTAGAAGACAATTCTAAACTTTTATAAACTACTTAAAAACCTCTTCCCTTCTAAATCACTCTTTCTGGCTCTCCAGATGTTGTTGGGCTACAACTTGTACATGTGACCATTGCTGACTGGGGCAGATGGAAGTTGGAGTCAAATCAATTGGGAAAGCCACTTAAAAGGACTACGGTCCTTAAAAAACATGGAGGTCCAGCCTAGGCTTTGAGAGCAGCAGTCCTAGGCAGGCATAGAATAGGGAGAAGACAGCAGGGCGGCAGCTCTTTGCTGTAGAGTCAATGGCTACATACACGCCATTTGTCTAAAGCACATTTCCCTCCAAAGAATCCTGGGACATGTAGCTTGTTCAAAATCTCATTAGATTTGTGTGTTTTTTCCCTCCTTGGTCTAGCATGTGGTGGAATGGCATTGTCCTATGCACAATCTGCATTTTCACCAAGGCCAACGGCGTGTGGCAGCCCGATGGATTTCTGCTCTCCTCCTCCTCCTACGCAACATCCTTGCTTTGCTAAGTCCTCAGGTAATAAAAACACTGCCACCATCTCAACTCTGTTCATGTTCTGCATAGAAGAGTTAAGAATAGGGAGGCATAGAATAGGGAGAAGACAGCAGGGCGGCAGCTCTTTGCTGTGGAGTCAATGGCTGCATAAACACCACATATCTAAAGCACATTTGCCACCAAAGAATCCTGGGACCTGTAGCTTATTCAAAATCACAATAGATTTCTGTTTCTTTCCTCCCTTGATCTAGCCTATCTATTCAAGGACAAACGAGCTATGAAAATGATGTCTGGCTCCCGGATGCTGTCATCACCTCCTCCTCCCATTCAAAATTCTCACTCTGGTAAGTCCTCAGGTAATAAAAACACTGCCACCATCTTGAATCTGTTCGTGTTCTGCGTAGAAGAGTTAAAACACTGAATGCATTCATTTTGTACATAGGTCTTACTTGCAATAAGTCTGCAACTGAAATAATGTGAATGGGATATTGAATTGCATGCTTGGCTTGAGTTGTACTTGCCTTTTTTTAAATATATATATATATCACCAGTCAACAGTAAAACAAAACAAATAGCATACATAAAAGAATACAGTTCTATACCTAACAAATTCCTTCCACCTATTATGATTTCCAATCTCTCCATCATAGGTTCCAAGTTTTCTTTATCAACTGCATATTATTTATTACCTAACTTCAGTTTACCCAAAATATCTATGATTTGTATAACTTTGCAGGAGTCATTCAAAACATGCCAAAGATTTCGTATGATTACAATGTTCTTTTAAGTATAACCTTATTTATCCCATTCTCTACTGAATTGGGAAAAATGACAAGGAGAATTCGGAATCAATCTGAGTTGCATTTGTCAGTTCTTCTGACTGGGAGATGGAGGCAGAAAGGGAGGTTGATTGAGGGGGAAATAGTAGAGACCAAAGTGGGCATGGATCCTAGGCAAGTCCCTCCCCCAATTATGCAGTGTTATTCAACCCCTTCTGTATTTCCAATCGGGTACCAACAATTCAACTTTCAGTGTGTGTGGTATTGGTTTTTGGACCCTGTGAGGTCTAGAAGCTTGCACTTCAAAACAGAACTTTAAACCTCTTGAATGTGCCATGTCAGTACTGGTGCTCACATGAAAACCAGGGAACAGGACTATGTTGCTGACCCCACCCTCAGATGCCAATGCTTTTTAGCATGGACGTCTATAAACACAATATTTAAGCTGCTGCGAGAGACTTCCAGGTTGGTGCCTCCGGCAATGGCGGAGTTCCTCTGATCGGGAGGAACTTGCCCCGTGGGAATTTGGGTCTGTACCGCCGCGGCGAAGGCGGAGACCCATAAAAATCACAGGCAGGAGAAGCCTGTGAACGTGGGATTCAGCGGGCACCTTTTGCGCCTCCCCTACTCGCGGGGGAACCCGATTTCGGGGACCCGGAGCGACGTGGGGTGAGTGGCGCAGTGCTTCGAATCATCTGCTTCTTCCACGGAGCAAAGCCGCATAGCTGTTGCCGGAGAGCACTGACTTTTTCCTGTGGACAATTTGACTCCAAAGTAATTACCCGTGAGTAGAGCTGATACAGGAGAATCGGATTTTAAACGTTTAATTTGGCATCGAAACGGGGAGGTTCAAAACAGGAAGTCCGCCTTCCCTATTTGTAAATAGACTGAGGCAAGGAGTCTGTAAGCTGAAGTCTTGGAAAGCCTTTTGTAAAAGATTAAATTTCCATCGGTAAAGAGTATAAAATCCCCCTTGGAGGCAGGAGAAGAGGGGGGGAAGCTGTGGACTGAGTATGCCTGCAGGAGAGAGTAAAGAGAGTTAAAATACTGCCTCTCTGACCCTGGAAACGGGCTGCTAGTAGTACTGACGTTTTGGAATGTCCATTGACAGCACTTAGAACGTTCTTTGACAGCTAGCAGAATAAGAGAGATATATTGTTTCTACTGTCTCCGGCTACTTCTAAAAAGGAGTAATAAAGTAACTGAAAACTGAAACTAACTTTGGATTGTATGAGTTGCGCTTAAAGGTGACATTCTTGACTATTATAAATAGAAACTGTTTCCCCCTAGTGGAAGTTTCTGAAATTGGTTACTTTATAAGAGCTGGGCTAGGGGAGTTTCCAGCTGCAAGATAAAAACTGTGTGACTCTGGGATTGACCTTGAATCTCTTAAGTGTTATGGCAAATGGAAAGGAAAGAACAGATGAAATGTCAACAAAAGAGGCCTTAGTGGCCGCATTATTGAAAATAAATGACTCGCTGGAACAGCTTCACAAGAAAACAGAAGTGATGAATGTGAAAGCGGACGCTGCAAATAATAAAATTGATTTAATTGTAGAAAGTTTAAATAATCTGGGACAAAAGGTGAACACCAACACAGAAACCACCCAGAAATTGACACAGGAATCTACTTTAATACGGCAAACTGCGGATGAAGTCAGGGAGAAAACCTTTGCTGCTGAATGTAAAACAACACAATTGGAGTGTGAGAGAGCCCCATACATTCAAAAGCAACTTGACGAATATAAGCTGACATTTGCTATGATGGAGCTTAAAGAAAAACAGATGAATTTGAGGATCAGAACCCCACCAGAACTGGGAAAAGAAAGTTTGACAGAGCTTCAGGAGGAGACAGGATCAACATCGGCTGAGAAAGAGAGATTTTTGGGGGTCAGTAGGACCGCCAAAAATGTGAATTTACTTAAGGGTAACTGTGAAGGACGTTGGATTGAAGAGAAGGGGGATTGGGAAATATGGACAAATTTGAAGTTGTTATGGTTGGGCCGAGCTGTTGTGGTGGGGATGAGGGTTGCTGTGTTGCCGGGGATGTTGCTTTTGTGTCAAAAAGTGCAAGTTTTGGATCGGAGGGATTGTTTCAGGAGGTGGCAGAGGGATGTTCCTGGATTGGTTTGGCAGGGCAGGAAGCCTCGAGTAAAACTTAAGATATTGACGGATGCTAAAGAAGGAGGTGGACCTGCCCTGCCAGACACCTAAACTTTGTGGTGAATCATCTGCTCTTTGCTGGCTGAGAGAATGTCTGTCTTTTAAAAGCACTGAAGTATTGGATAATGGCAGATGAAGTTGATGGACTAGACGGAATTGGCGGAAAAGACTGGCAAGATCCGAGACCAGGGAGAAGAGTCGGTGGAAGAAGACTGGGAAAAGTTTAAAGACTATTTATAGAAATATTGTAAAATTAATGAATGTTAGAAGAATGTTGGAATGAAATTATATGGCTTCAGTAGAAATGTTATAAGGAATTAAGTATAAATAGATTAATAGAGTATTAAAGGAAAGTAAGGTTAAAAGGTGTTAAGATAATTATAGGATAGAAAACAGGGGAAGATGGTAAGGAATTGCTGAAATAATTAATAGAAGTGGAATACAAAAAGGGAGGTGTGAGGAGGCCGTGGAAATATGGGAAAGAAAGATAAGATATTGGAAGTTTTTTCTTTTTTCTTTTTTTTCTTCTTTCTTTTGATGTGTTTCTAAAGTGTTTTTGTTTTGTTTTGTTAATTTTTATGTAGTGTTTTTGTATTATAATGTATTGTTTTTTCTTTGTTTTTTCTTTTCTAAGTGTTTAAATTGTTGTAAAAGTAATAAATATTATTATTTAAAAAAAAATATTTAAGCTGCTGCTTCTGCCTGGGCTCAGGGCCATCTTAAGCATATGTGGTGCCGGGGTGCAAAGATCCGCCCAGCGCCCCCAAAGTTGTTGACCTTTTTTTTGGAAAATCTCTCTCTAGCAAACTTGTTGGTCATAAAACGTTGATCAATGTGGAAAATGAATCAACCCACTAAAAGTCAATGTATATCAAACATTTTCTCAATTGGAGCCACGGTTAGTTTGCTTTCATCTCATTAACACATACTGTATGCTTCAAATACCAGTTAAGAGATTTTGTTACTACTGGTCCGATAAAGTTGTTAACATCAATAGAATTCACAACAACAAAAATGCTTGCCCCTACAACATTTCACAGCTCTTCCCATTCCCAGATGACTCCAACTCAGCCCCGGACTCCCCAACCCGGCGCCCTCAGGAGCGTGGTGCCCGGGGGCCCCTTGCACCCCCTGCTGGAGACGGCCCTGCCTGGGCTCTCATCCTGATGATGTGGAAGTCTCCTTGTAAGAAGCTACTCATGCATAGGCTCAGTCAGCGTAAATGTCTGTTCCGGTGCACTACAACCTCACCCACCATGTGTGGTGAATTTATGAAGGAGGCTTTGCTGCCAGGAGTGGGAGACCAAGTGAACTACAAGCCCATTGCCTTAATTACTGTCCTGTGTAAATCAACAGGGATAAGCTTGTCCTACAAGCACTTTTCTCAGTAACCTTGAGCTTTAAGTTTGATGGGCACACTGTGAGGCTGAGAAGCATCGGCTGGTGCAGAGTGCCGCATCCCATCTCCTGATGGAAACTAGACATAACGATAACATAATGTACAGCAACTGCACTGGTTCCTGCAAGTAAACCAGGCCCAAGTATTTAACCCATCAAGCCCTTAGAATATATGAACTGCACCTCTGTGTCAGACCAAAGTTCCAGCATTTTCCCGTGTGCAAAACTGGCAAGCAGAGTTTAAATTGCAATCACTCTCCCTTTTCCTTTGTTTCCTTGTGTCAGCTATTCAGGGCAGATTCCATTCAGCTGACACAACCACTGTACTTTTCCATGTGTAAGACGAGTATTTTTTACGTGAAACTAATGTTTTAAAATCGGGGTTGTCTTATGCACGGGTAGTGCAGAGGGGGGGACGGGTGATTGTTTGATGCTGTGAGCCGAAGATTGTCAGTGGTGGTCGTGCGAGTGATTGGTGGCTGTGGCAAGGTTTTTATTGGATTCGCTGTTGCAGCGGCAATTCGGCGGGCGACAGGTGGCGAGTAATCAGGCGTTTGGTGTCTTCTCTGTTGCGTCTGATAGGAAGCGTTCAGGCGGGTGAGTGATTTTTCAGCATCCCCCTCCCCCCAAAAAACTCAACAAGTCTTCCCCCATTTTTTAAATTTTTATTCCCCAAAATAGGGGGTGTCTTATACATGGGGGCGTGTTATACACAGAAAAATATGGCATATAGCTAGCGACTTCCTACACAGATTTGGGTCTTTATTGTTGTTTTTAAGCTAATGGGGGCGGGGAATACTTTGGAAGAACTCACTACAGGAACTGACAGAATTCCAGAATCAAATAATATGAAAATACAGGAAGGGGGACTGTGACCTGATGGAAGATGTTGGGTTTCAACCCCCATCAGCCCTGTCCAGATAACATGCCTAAAGGACAGGGGTGATGGGAGCTGTAGTCTTTCTGGTTTTCTGGTTCAGCAATTTTATTTTTTTAAAAAATATTATAATCCACACAGTCATAAGATATATGAAGGCAGCTTACAACATACTAAAATATATATAAAAAATAGTATAAAATATTATACTAACATATAATAAAATCAGTGTTTAAAATATCCATAAACCATAACAAAAAACACCAATAAAACTTCCTTCAATACTGGTTTGTTTAAACAAAGAGATTCATACGTGAAGACTTGTCTGAACAGTACAGTTAACAGAAGATATCTAAAAAGAAGGCTGGGATAGTCCCTTCCAAACTGGGTGGGAGTCCTGTGGGGCAGAGCATGCAACACTGAAGGCCCAGTCTCTACAGAAGTCCAACCAAACCTCGGGGGCATGGGGAGCCATCAGAAATGCCTCTTCAGAGGATCTTGGTGATCAAGGTAGAGCATAAGGTGGAGCATATTAGGAAGTACCACTCTTTGTATCATCATGCCTGTCTAGCGAGAGCTTTGGAAAATGTAGCTAGTAGTGTAGCTGGGAGAGTTCTGAATGTGGTGTGGAGGCTGCAAGTTGTCTTAATTTATCTTCTTTTTATTGCCCCTTGCAGAGCCCACTCCCAGGGAGAAGGAATCGCCTCTCTTGAGCTTGGTGTCTCTGCAAAATGCTAATGGCTCTTGGCCACTTGATTCTGGTCTGGCCACCATCCTAGACCTGAGCGAGGCTGAGATCTCAAGCAAGTCACCTGCCCAGGTAAGGTCTGTGGCAGGATCAGTGGCATTGTCCTTTGTAATAAAAGCTCTGTTAAAGCGATTGTTGGAAGCAATTAATTAAAAACTTCTCCTGTATCGGAGTTCCTTCTGTGGGTTTTTCCCCCACTATGGCCATGTTTTATGCTTTCAACGAGAGAGGGAGAGAGAGAAAGTAGATCTGCAAAAGCAGATGGTTCATCTGATTCATGTGTTTATTTCCCAGATTGTGGCCAAATTGTAACCAGGTACTGAAAGGTCACACTCAGCCTTTGTTTTGTTTTTCTTTAAGAACTGTCAAATGTAATTTCTGTACAGAGCCAGTGAGGGAGCAGGGCTCAGTGCATATCTGTCTTTTGACTCCTGCTCCATATTGCCAGGTGACTCCGTTTCTAGATTTGTCTGGCAGGGCAAGAAGCCCAGAATAAAATTTAAGATATTAACTGACGCCAAGGAAAGAGATGGATTTGCCCTGCCAGACCTTAAACTTTATTATGAATCAGCAGCTTTTTGCTGGCTGAAAGAATGGCTACTTCTTGAAAACACAGACATTTTGGATCTAGAAGGTTTTAACAATGTATTTGGATGGCATGCATATTTATGGTATGATAAGGTCAAAGCACACAAAGCATTCAAAAACCATATTGTTAGGAAAGCATTGTTTAATGTTTGGATAAGATACAAAGACTTATTGGAAAATAAAACCCCAAGGTGGCTGTCACCAATGGAAGCAAAAGCTCTGAAAAGGCTGAATATGGAGGCCAAATGGCCGACATATTGGGAAATTTTGGAGCAAGAAGGAGATAAATTGAGATTGCAGAGTTTTGAAAAATTAAAAAATAAAGTGAGAGACTGGCTCCACTACTATCAGATAATGGAGGCATATAATTTAGGTAAGAAAATAGGCTTCCAAGTGGAAAAGTCAAAATTAGAAACAGAATTGTTAGAACCCAAAACTAAAAATTTGTCAAGGATGTATAACTTGCTGTTGAAATGGAATACTCAGGATGAAACGGTGAAATCTGCTATGATTAAATGGGCACAAGATGTTGGACATAATATTATGTTCGCTGACTGGGAACAGTTATGGACCACAGGTATGAAGTTTACGGCATGTAATGCCTTAAGAGAGAATATTATGAAAATGATATACAGGTGGTACATGACCCCAGTCAAGCTTGCAAAAATTTATCATTTGCCCGATAATAAATGTTGGAAATGTAAAGAAACTGAAGGTACATTCTTTCACCTTTGGTGGACGTGCCCAAAGATTAAGGCTTTCTGGGAAATGATATATAATGAACTGAAAAAGGTATTTAAATATACCTTTCTGAAGAAACCAGAGGCCTTTCTCTTGGGCATTGTCGGCCAATTGGTGCCAAAGAAGGACAGAACCTTTTCATGTATGCTACAACAGCAGCAAGAATACTCATTGCAAAGTATTGAAGACACAAGATCTACCCACTTTGGAAGAATGGCAGATGAAGGTGATTGACTACATGGAACTGGCGGAAATGACTGGCAGAATCCGAGACCAGGGAGAAGAGTCGGTGAAAGAAGACTGGAAGAAATTTAAGGACTATTTACAGAAATATTGCAAAATTAAGGAACTTTAGAAGGATGTTGGATAGAAACTAAGAGGTTTTTAGCTGTAATGCTTTAAGAGACATGGAAAAGGTTAACAATTGGGTAAAAGATTAATGGTAAGGATTTGCTGAACCAACAAATTGAATTGGAATACAAAGAAGGGAGGTATGAGGAGGTCCGGGGAAATAAGAGTAAGGAAGATAGGTTATGGAACTTTATTGTGTTTTTAACTGTTTTATTTTGTACGTTTTTTTTTCTTATTTTTTACTGTTTTTGTTATATCTTAAAACTTTATACTTTTTCTTTATTCTGTATTTTCATGTATCTTTGTGAAACTTTAATAAATATCATTTAAAAAAAAAAACACATATTGCCAGGTGACTCCAGATGCATGGGCGACTGTTCTGGCCCTTCTCTGGCTCCACTCCAGTGCCATAGACCAGAGGGATGAATGGGAATTACTGGAAACTAAAGCTCTCAGCTGGCTCCAGGCGACTGCAGGTGAAAAACTTGTTTGTTTGCTTAATGTATTTATACCCTTTTTTTCTCCCAGACTGGGATAGAAGGTGACTTATATTTCAAAACACTTTAAAACACCGAGCAGTAAAACAAAAATAATGAAAATGCATTAAAAATGCCTTTGAAACAATCATGGAAGTTCAGCTTGTCCTAACCAGCCCATTATTCCACATCACCTGCGCCTTAGTTTTCAAAGGCCTGTCTGAATAAAGGTAACAAAAGAGGGAGCTAGTCTAACTTCTCTTGGAAGGGAATTGCACAATAGGCTTATTGTGCTTTTATTTATTTAGAGCATTTATTTAGAGCCTAGGGCTTGCCGATCAGAAGGTCAGCAGTTTGAATCCCCGTGACAGGGTGAGCTCCCGTTGCTTAGTCTGTGCTCCTGCCAATCTAGCAGTTCAAAAGCATGTCAAAGTGCAGTAGATAAATAGGTACCGCTCCAGCGGGAAGGTAAACAGTGTTTCCGTGCGCTGCTCTGGTTCACCAGAAGCGGCTTAGTCATGCTGGCCACGTGACCCGGAAGATGTACGCCGGCTCCCTTGGCCAGTAAAGCGAGATGAGTGCCGCAACCCCAGAGTCGTCTGTGACTGGACCTAACGGTCAGGGGTCCCTTTACCTTTACTCCACTCTTCAGTAAAGAGTGACTGTATATAAGTCACTCTTCAGTGCGACTTAAATACAGTCAGGTAAAGCGAGACAGTGCTTACCTGCAGGCTTACAATCTTAAAACAACAACAACACAAGGGGGAAAGGGACAGGGAGAGAAAAAGGGAGGAATCAAACTGACACCATTTCCTAAACTGTTGTTCTGATAATGACCAGCTGGCACTGCTTAGGGGCTGAACGTGCCTGATGGAGCAGGGCTTTGGGAAAAGCTGATAAGAATGAACTCTGCTTCCCAGCTCTCCTGAAGTCAGAAAGTTTTAGGCAGCTGGATGCCAGTAAGCTGAGAAAGAATGAAGGAGTCTAGACAGAGGCTGGAGTTTGAAGATGAGTCTCCAACAGGAGTCTAAACTATGCTGTATTTCATTTGAGGTGCTGGGGTTTTTCCACCCCTACTTGATCTCAGACCAATCCACTTTCCCAACAATTTACAGTGTACATTAAAAAATAAAATAATCCTGGCTCACCACAGGGGTTCCAGTCTGTTAAACTGGGAGGCACAACTGTCTCCAGGTCCTGCATTAGAGATTTCTTCAGATTTTGGCTGGGGAAGATGGTGATTCCTCTATCATTCCAACTAGGAGAGCGTAGAATGAGGATGACTTGCAGGGCAAAGAGCACACCTGCTTGGATCTTGCCTATCCAATTCAGAAGGCAGCGCTTCCTGCTTGCAATCACTATGAGGAACATTTCTGCACCATCCAGTGGTCTCTTATTGCCTTTCTGCCATTCAGTTAATTGCACTTCAAAATGTTGCCCCTTTGTATGATTTGTGATTGGTTTCCCCTTCCAGGCCTTTGGAAAAAAATGTGTTGGAGCACACTCAGACTTCGCTTTAAAAAATGAGTAAAAGATGGAATGAACAGCAGCCCTCTGTCTTCCTCCCCATCGCACATAGATGGAGTGATCAGTTATTGGCCCTGGAAAAAGAGTTGGGCGCAGGCTGAAAAGTGATATTTGGTGCTGATAGAGCCTAACTCTGCCTCTTTGTTTGTCTGCAGGGTCCCAGCTGGCTCAGTGCGTGAAGGCTGGCAATGAGATGCTGGGCAGCAGCGTGAGCCCAGAGGCTTTTGGGATCTGAGTTTGGCTCTGTAGCCTTGTGCTTTTTAAAACAGGAGTTTCTGCTGCACTCTTCTTTTCTTCTCCTGCCAAAGTATAGCTGGCTGCCATCTCATAAAGCTCTTGTCAGTCCCTGAGCTGAGCAGTTCCTTCTGATTCCTCCATGTCTTCACTGCAAGAAGTGCTGGAGTTTCCTCTCATATGGAGATGCCTTATATTGGTCTGCTGTGCTTTAAGCCAGCACTCTGTGCTAGTGAGGGTACCAAAAAAAAAAAAAAACCACTGAAAGGAATTACAAACTGCAAAATAAACAACCATACAGTACTTAAATGAAATTTTGTTACAAACCAGGTTTGGCCACTTTTCTGCTTTAACCTGAAACCCAAATCACTATCTAAATTTTGAACACCGTCTGTTCTCTATACTGTTTGTTCCAGCAGATTAAAACAATAGTTTATAATCTACCTACACCCAAATGCATGATGTCAGCAGAAAAGGGGAGCAAATAGTTTGAGAGTTAATACTGGACAGGTGGGTACTGAATATGTCTTTTAGTGGAAAGCCACATTTCTCTTCAGTGTTCCAGACCTTTAAAAGCTCAGATGGATAAAAGCCTTTACAGCTCTGCAGTTCCAGTCTATGCACTCTGCCAAAGCTGAAGTATGCTATCACCCGATTCCTTATGAAGAGAGAGTTTGCCAATGTGCCTGAAGATTTACCCTACTGCCTACTGGTTTGTCCAATCTACAAGGACTTAAGAGCAGTCTTGTTCAAAGATTTAAAACTCTCAGCTGAGAGATCTGTTGGGTATCCCATTAATTATTTTTTAGGGGACAGGTCCCCCTACACCTTTGAAAAATGTGGACTGTTTTGCCTTCAGAGCAGCAAGCCTAAGAAGAAAAGTTTGTGAAGATGGCTGACACGATAATCATGTATTTTCTATGATTTTATATAATTTTTATTTTCCATTTAATAATATACATTCACATCATTATTATCCACTTTACCTCCCTGGCTCTTTAGACTCTATCGACTTTCTTCCCTCCTGTCTCATGGCTTTCAAAATTAACCTTTGTATCATTGCATTTTGTACGTTTTCCAATTCTAATTACTCATTACAAAATAGCTCAAAATTTAAATAAATATAGAAAGGTAGAAAATGTCTCATTACAAGTCTTCAGACACCCCTGCTAGTGATGTTAATTGCATACAATAATCTTTCATATCATATAAATTTCATATATATCATATATATATATATCATATAAATTTACTCCAGTCCTTTTGGAATACTTGATCATGTATTCTCATTGTTCCTCTCTTAAGTTTGCATTTCAGCATCATGACAGAGATGGTACAAATCACAAACAGAGTAAAGGAAAAAACTGAAAGTGTCTTTAGCCATGACGTTTAAAAACAAGTGCAAAACAGGAAATGTATGCCTTGCGGGCAGGCTGACAGGTAGACCATAACAGGTTTATATCTGTGTAACTGGGGATCAGGGTTCAGCCTCTGATTGCCTTCTCTGATTGCTTGCTGTATTCTGCTGGAGCAAGAAATAAAACTGCTTTTAAGAGAATTCTTGGGTGTCACTTGGTTCAATTTTGAATATATATATATATATATATATATATATATATATACATATATATATATATATATATATATAATGGATTATAGAGTTGATTGGAGATTGTGTGCATATATATATGGCACTTTATTTTAAATATTATAGTCACATCTTTTAAAAAGTAGTTAGCCTTGCCCAGCAATCAAAATAGCTTAGCCACCAACACTGCCTACAGGCTCAAATGATAATCTCAAGAATGGCAGGACTGGGAAAACACTAGCTGAGTATTTCTCTGCTAGACCCATATTAAATTTGGTTTCCTGGGAATCACATAAAATAGATGGCCAGTGGGGTCATCAAGTGTTCCAACAGTGTTTATGAAAATGTTATAAGAATTTTAAGGTCTTATAAATATAAAATAGATGTTCATAAATGTACCAAGCAAGCACATACATAAATGTATAGACCACATGTCTGAGACCCACAGGCAAAGTCCTGAAACCATTTGTCTCTTCCAAATTGACCTCAAATATTTCTCTGCAAGGTCAAAGGAAATGGGGAGCCTCTCCGTTGTCTCTTTGCTCACAAATCCTGTCTCAAGGGCACAGTTAAGATATGAATAGGGTGAGCCTGTGACCTGGAGTCAATAATTGAGTACAGTTATCATAACAAAAGAGTGGCCAGGATGCCCAGGTAATCCAATCAGGTAACCTGGCAGACAGGATAAAAACAACGCACTCAGATTTCTGTTGTAGTCCTCCCCTTCTCTGATGTATTGGGGGGGTGGTCTTGGGCTACACCCCTTCTGTGATGTATGTATGATGTTTCTGGGGGTGGTCTTGACTCTTGGACTCCAGGGCAGGCAATTCAAAAGTCTATATAAGGGCTTAGAAAACCACCCTGCCACATTCCACAATAACAACTGCAGAGAGGAATTTTGCACCAGGTTCCCAGCCATGGCATAAAGTCAATCTAGGTGCATGTCAGAAGGTTGGCTATCACTTGAAGCCCTGGACGGTTCCTGATATATTTCCTCCACTACCCTTGGGGCGTCGGTTATTAATCCGTGGACCCTGGTGTCATTTGCTAAGGCAATTGGGGGGTCTTCATCGAAGACAATTAGATCTGTCTCTGTTTGTCTGTGTGCCGCATTTCCCTTGGGAGGAGCGTCACTTGGCGATGGCTGATTGGGTTCCAGCCGGGGTAATGGATGGTGAATTTCAAGATCAAACAAGGGGCTACTGGAGTATCCTGTCTTTGACTTATCTGGATTGGGCTGGCGTTCTTTATGTAACTAGCCTTTTTGCTCTGAAGTTTTCCTCTCCAAGGGAGTGTTACGGCTGGGTGCATCACGCATAGACAAAGAGGGCATTGATTCCCTAGGGTCAGTATGGCAATACGGCAAATTTGGCAGTAGTTGTTTTCGTTCTGTGTTTTTAAAAACTCGCCTCAACTCAATATTATAGTCCTGTAAGAGGGCCCTATATTTCAGGAGCTTTTTAGGAGTTGTCGAGTCGGAAAAGGTCAGCATGGGTCTGGTGTGTTGGAAGTCCGTGCAAAGCAGGTTTATCGCAATCAGATTGTCGCACTGGATATTTAGTAAAAGCTTAAGGTTTCTCTTCACACTAGCGATTGATTTCCAGTAAGGCAGCATACCGTTGAAAGGATATACTGTATATCGAGAGCTACTTGGGTGTTTTGTAGGATCCAGTCCCTATTTTCACTTTTGTTACTTTTGCTATTAGTAGTCTCTCGGTTGTCGGATCCAGACCGGTTACACCCCTGTGCACAGTGGTCTTGGAGGGCAACGCTATGGTCAGTCTCTTTAGTATTGAGGGTGCTATTTCTGGCCGCCAAAAGCACCAACTCAGCCAGGAGTGATGTTACCTTTTCTAGTTTGGTGTTAATTTCCTCCACTGTTCTTGCAGTCAGCAGGCAGTGGTCCGCGAGTATTTCCACATAGAGTGGTGGCCTCTCAGATAGTAGTTCATGAGATGGTTCATGGGTGCTCATCTCAGCGTTCTCCCCTGGGTGGTCTCCACCCATTAAGCGTTCCCACCTACCTGGGAATGAACTCTGTTTGATGTGGTAGGTTCTGGATTCTGGGCTCTTACGAAATCATCCAGTTTGCTCTGCTTGCACTTCTGCTGTGGGCTCACTTGTGAATATGAAGCTGGTCACTTCTTTTTCCTAGACATTTTCACGGAGATGCAGCAGCTACTAGTGTCCTTCCATGATTAGGGAGTTTGATCTCCTCTCCTGCTGATAAGTAGTTGGTAGATTGAGTCGAGCTGGAGCTAATTAAGGCTTTCTCCGAGACTTTCCAGGGCTTTCTCTAAAACTTTTAGTTTAAACTTGTGATTATAATAATTAAGAAAAAGATACCAAGCGATAAAATACTAGAACTGATAAAAGCTAATAAAAAGCTGATAAAACTAGTAAAACCTAATAAAAACCACACAACTGACACAGAGCTCAAATCGATGCTTCCTCTAGCGACACCATCTTTAATCCACGTTCTAATATAGCAAGTCCTCCTCCTCTCTCCTGCGTGTGGGGGAGCACCCTGTTGCAACAGGTTTAATAAAGATCAGGCTTACGAGCTGCTTTGCGTCTCAATATTCTCTGGTTGGCCTCTGTTATTTTCTCCTACCGATGGAGAACCTACAATGTGTACCCCATAAGGGAAAGGTAGCAGTTTTTGTTTACAACAAAAACAAGAGGACACCATGACTTTAAGATTAATGGCCTAAAGATGGAATGGAAAAATCCTCACCAGTATCTAGTACGGAATTTGTGGACACTCCCTGGCTGGGGGCGGGAGTAACGGGAAGTCCCTCTGCGTTCAGCTCAGAAAGGTTTACTTTCGGTTTAGCTCCGCTGTTTGCAGAGCAAGTCGAGGAGGAAGGACGTCCATCGAGGTCTGCTGGCGCATTGAGGTAAGAAAATGATTTACTGCGTTTGATTTCTGAATGGGCTCGTCTCTACCGCATCCTCATAGCATCGCTCTCTCGCTCTCTCTTTCCTGTAAACAAAAATGCAGCCTTGACTAGATTATCTGGATCCCCGTTACTTTACGTATTTGCGTCTGGATCTGTTTGGGACTCAAATCCCCTTTTGCTTCCCAACTTCCCGCATCTTTGTTCCCTCTGAATAAACACTCACCACTCACCCGCTCTTTAACCCTGGCGATCAATATTCTATCATATCTTTATTGCTTCTTGGGCCATTTTGCCTTATTACAGCCAGCGATTTCGTTCTGCCACTAGGAATCTCCCTTCCTAGGGAGGTACCAAAGTGGTTGATAGGTCTCCTCCCTCCTCTCTCTCCTCCCGTTTTATTTTCTAAATGTAGCGTGTGTGGACAACTCTGCCTAGAAGCCTGGTAATCTCATCCTAAAACTCTGCATCCTAATTCCGGAGCCTGAGAAAGCTGGTTGCACCAACGGGCACTCTGCATGTGCTCAGAGGTGCATTCTGTGTTGTTGCTGCTGCTGTTCTGAAGAGATGTTTTGGGACTGTGATGTAGTCGGGTGAGACTTCAGAACTTCAGAAGTTCTTCATGGCCTCTTCTTCCTCTCCTGGGCTTGTGGATGTTTTTCCTGTGGTACAACTAGGGTTAGACACCTGTGCCCTGCAGTGGGTGGGGGGAAAGTTGCAGAGTGGCCCTACCATTAGGCAGAGTGAGGCAGGCACCTCAGGCAGCTGGATTTGTGTGCCATAGAAAGACAGCAAGTTAGTTTTTTTTTAAAAAAAATGGCCAGGGAGAGCTGCAGCTGCACCTATTTCTGCTTATGCGGTTTTCTCCTTTGGGTGCCACAGTACCTTGCCTGGGCAATAGCACATCTTGACTAAGGGTGGGGAGTGTTTGTTGCAGCTCCACCCAGGAACCCAAACACTTTTGACCAGCTCTTCTATGGAACAGTTAATTCTGTCATATTGATGTCAAGAGTGACTCAGTATTCATGAGGCGTGCCTGTGGTTTTGCATTATGGAGTAGTTATTTGGAGTAGTGATTTGCACTGTTCCGTAGCTGACCCCAAGCCCTACCTTCCTTGTGCAGTGGAAATTGGAAGGCATTTCCCAACACTCGCTGTAATCCAGTGCTAATGCTACTGGCCCCTCCAGGGAGCAGGCAAGAAATCTCAATAAACTTTGAGGTCTGGCAGGGCAAATCCACCTCTTTCCTTTGCATCCGTTAGTATTTTAAATTTTATTCTGGGCTTCTTGCCCTGCCAGACAAATCTAGAAATATCTTTCTGCCACCTCTTGAAACAATCCATTCTGTCCACAATTTGCAAAGTTTGAAACAAAAACAACATTCTAGGCAATACATTCATTTTTATCGCAGCAATACGGCCCAGCAATGAAAGCTTCAAATTTGACCAAATTTCTAAATCTTTTTTCACTTCAGCCCAACATTTTTCATAGTTATCTTTAAATAAGTTCCCATTTTTGCTGTCATGTTAATCCCCAGGTATTTAACTTTCTTAACCACTGTTAAACCTGTCTCATTCTGAAACCTCTCTCTTTCAATCGGTGTTAAATTTTTCTCTAAAACCTTAGTTTTTGACTTGTTCAATTTAAATCCTGCCACTTGACCAAATTCTTGAATCAGTTCTAAAACCCTTTTAGTACTAGATTCTGGCTCCTGTAACGTCAATACTAAGTCATCTGCAAATGCTCTCAATTTGTACTGTTTAGTTCCGACCTGTATACCTTTAACCAACTGGTCCCTTCTAATCATATTCAGCAAAACCTCCAGGACCGAAATAAAAAGAAGTGGGGAAATTGGGCAACCTTGTTGTATCCCTTTTTCAATTTTAAGTTCTTCCGTCACAACATTATTTACAATTAGTTTAGCCTTTTGTTCTGAATAAATTGCACTTATACCATTCTCAAAACCTTGGCCTACCCCCATACCCTGTAGATTCTTCTTCATAAAGTTCCAAGAAATGTTGTCAAAGGCTTTCTCCGCGTCTACAAATATCAAAACTGCTTTAGTGTTTATGTTCACTTCTAGTTTTTCCAAAATATCAATTATATTCCTCAAATTGTCAGACAAATGTCTTCCTGGGAGAAAGCCCACTTGGTCTTTGTGAATCTCTTCCATCAACACTTTTTTAAATCTCTTAGCCAAAATATCTGCAAAAATTTTGTAATCCACATTAAGTAATGATATAGGGCGGTAGTTCTTAAGCTGAATCAGCAGCTTTCTGCTGGCTGAAAGAATGGCTACTTCTTGAAAACACTGACATTTTGGACCTAGAAGGTTTTAACAATGTATTTGGATGGCATGCATATCTATGGTATGATAAGGTCAAAGCACATAAAGCATTTAAAAACCACATTGTCAGGAAAGCGCTGTTTAATGTTTGGATAAGATATAAGGATTTGTTAGAAAATAAAACCCCAAGGTGGCTGTCACCAATGGAAGCGAAAGCCTTGAAAAAGCTTAATATGGAGGTCAAATGGCCGAAATATTGGGAAATTTTGGAACAAGATGGAGATAGACTGAAATTGCAGAGTTTTGAAAAACTAAAAAAACAAAGTGCGAGACTGGCTTCATTATTTTCAGATAATGGAGGCATTTAAATTGGACAAGAAAATTGGCTTCCAGGTGGAAAAATCAAAATTAGAAACTGAACTGTTAGAACCCAAAACTAAGAATTTGTCAAGAATGTATAACTTGCTGCTGAAATGGAACACTCAGGATGAAACGGTAAAATCGGCTATGATTAAATGGGCACAAGACGTTGGACATAACATTATGTTTGCTGACTGGGAACAGTTGTGGACCACAGGTATGAAATTTACGGCATGTAATGCCTTAAGAGAGAATATTATGAAAATGATATACAGGTGGTACATAACCCCAGTCAAGCTTGCAAAAATCTATCATTTGCCCGATAACAAATGTTGGAAATGTAAAGAAACTGAAGGTACATTTTTTCACCTTTGGTGGACGTGCCCAAAGATTAAGGCTTTCTGGGAAATGATATATAATGAATTAAAAAAGGTATTCAAATATACCTTCCCTAAGAAACCAGAGGCCTTTCTCTTGGGCATGGTCGGCCAAATGGTGATAAAAAAGGATAGAACTTTCTTTATGTATGCAACAACAGCAGCAAGAATACTTATCGCAAAGTATTGGAAGACACAAGAACTTCCCACGCTGGAGGAATGGCAGATGAAACTGATGGACTATATGGAACTGGCGGAAATGACTGGTAGAATCCGTGACCAGGGAGAAGAGTCGGTGGAGGAAGATTGGAAGAAATTCAAAGATTATCTACAGAAACACTGCAAAATTAAAGAATGCTAGAGTGATGTTGGATTGAAAATAAGTGGTTTCCAGCTGTACAGGATTTAAAGTTATAGATAGATTAAGATTAAAGATTAGGATTAAAGAAGTTTAAGGAAATGGAAATTTGGTATTTTAAGAGGTAAAATTTTAATGCTATATTATATTAAGATTAAAGATTGGGATTAAAAAAGTGGAAAAGAAATTGCTGGACAAACAATTTGGACTGGAATACAAAAGAGGGAGGTATGAGGAGGTCCAGAAAATAAGTAAATTTAAACACGGAAATGAAAAGGTGATTGTTTTTAATTGTTCTGTTTCTTTTTTTGTTTTTTGTTCTCTGTGTTTTTTTTCTTCTTCTTTGGATTATGTACTGTGTATTTGTGTACTTCTTTTTTATGTTTTTCTGTTTAATTTTTTACTGAAATCTTAATAAAAATTATTTTTAAAAAAATAAAAGAAATCTCAATAAACACAGAATTTTACTGTAACCCCTTGAGGTCCTTTAACCTTCCCTAGACTCACAGTCCTGTGTTTAAAGAGAGGTAAATGAGAACGTGGGTGGTGCTGTGTCTAAACCACTGAGTCTAGGGCTTGCCGATCAGAAGGTCGGCGGTTCGAATCTCCGCAGTGAGGTGAGCTTCCATTGCTCAGTCCCAGCTCCTGCCAACCTAGCGGTTCAAAAGCATGTCAAAGTGCAAGTAGATAAATAGGTACCGCTCCGGCGTTTCCGTGCACTGCTGTGATTTGCCAGAAGTGGCTTAGTCATGCTGGCCACATGGCCTGGAAGCTGTTAGGATTTTTATCTATCCGAGCTGCTCCAGCAAGTGGTACTATGATTGTATACATCATGTGAGTGTCCAAGAGAGCGTGAGAAAGGAAGTCTGTACTGTATTATCTCTTCCTTCCTGAGTGCTGTTGGAGGTTGGTTTCACTTCAATGTGTGTCGTAGGTTCTGTACTGGTGTTTTGAACTTCTGCAAACCTTGAGCTTCCCTTGCATCTGTTGACACCTCCCTTTTGAGCACAGGGGGTCCCATTTTGGCTACATAAGGAAGGACCAGAGTCTTGAGAAACAAGATTAGTGTTAGGACAGATGATGAGATAGTGTTTGCAAGAACCAACAAGAGTTCTTATTCCCAAGTAATGAATTCACAACGAAAGCCTTTGCTTATTTGTGTACCACTAAAGGCTAAACATTTTTACCATTTTTTCCCAGAATTGTATACAGCATTCTCTTTCATCCAACAGCATTATAATGTTTTAAGTTCCCGTACAATTTTTGAGCAATGCCAGGTATTTTCTGCTGGTACAGTATAAAAATGGCCATATTGAAATAATAAGAGGGTCCACTTCGCTCACTTGAACTCTTTCCGTCTTTAGTTCCTCGGGATAAACACTCAACTCCCACCCGCTCTTTAACCTTGGCAACCTGTATTCTATCATATCTTCATTGTTTATTAATCCTTTTTTCCTAATTACACCCAGCAATTTTCTGATAGAGGGTCAGCTTCACTCACTTGACCTCTCCGTCACTTTAGCCAAAAATTCTTTGTTTTCTACAGTTGCGCTGAATTGTTGGGAAACCAATTCTTTCACAAAGATCATCATCGTCATCAGTCATGATTATCTGTGGCCTTGTCACAAAGTCTGAGGAACCTGGTAAGTTACCTGCATTTGGTTATTCAGCTAAGCAGGTGCAAAGCAGTAAAAAGTCTAAATTGCCAATGTACAGCTTTCTAGTTTAGGGTATGTGATGATGTAGGTTCAGGTATCCTAAATAACTGGCTGGCCTGGCAGTGGGAGCCAAGATGACTGGAGAGGGTTTCTCCAAAGTATACACAGGGCCATACATTGAGCCTTCCTTGTTCTCTCCTTGCCCCAGTGCCCTTGAAGAGCATCTCTGTGGATGTGGTGGTCCGTGGCTTTGTGGCTGACGTAGTGTCTGAGCTTCGCTACCACAATGAGGAGAAGTCTCCAGTGGAGGTTGTGTTTGTCTTCCCTCTGGATGATGAAGCCGCTGTATATGCCTTCGAGGGCCTGATTGGTGGGACGCGGATTGAGGCCCAGATCCGAGAGAAGAAACAGGTATGGAAGGTCTGAGGAGAATCAGGGACTTTGGCATTGGGTGGCCTGTTTCAGAAGGGAGGCGGAGGCTTCCCTAGAGAGGACTCTGTGCCTACAAGCAGATTTTGTGTCAAGCTCATATGTTGTGCTTAAAAGAAAAGGTGCCTAACAACATCCAGTTGCTGTAGTAAGGAGCCTGGCTTCGTGGCCTCTTCTGCTGCAGCTTGGTGTAATTTTAACCTAATGTATGAATTCTAAAGTCACAGTGTAGATACCACAGTGCTTATAATTTACTTTCACAAGGTAAAGTTACAAAAGCATGGAAGCTTCGCTGGTAGGTAACCAATTGGTCAACAGCTGTTTTTAAATGGGAATCCTTTCTTGGGACCACACCTGCCTGTCTGCTTGCCTTCCTCACTCCTGATGTTCTTCTCTTCTCTTCACCACCCAATGCAGGCAGAGCAGGAATATGAGGATGCCTTAAGTGAAGGCCGGCAGGCTTTCCTGCTTGAAAGAGAAGAAAACACCAGTGACATTTTCACCTGCAGCCTGGGTAACCTCCCTCCGGATGGAGAGGCCACGCTGAAGCTCTCCTATGTCCAGGCCTTGGCTCCGGAGCCCGACGGGGCCATCCGCTTTGTCCTGCCCGCTGTCCTCAACCCCCGCTATGCACCTCAGGGTAAGCTCCTGCACCCCCAAACACACTAACTAGCCCCACATACAAGCCTCTTGCAATGCTGTTTTGTTATACCTAAGCTCTGTGAATTTGGAACATTAGGAATACTAATATGCTCCTTTGTATGCAACTTATATAAGGATGAGATGAGTTATTTTTTACTCCCATCCTACCAAATTACCGAGGAAAGACCTTTGAATTGGGTTTGACCTCCTTATTGGCTGACACAAACAAAATGATGACAGAAACGTGCTAGATTCCTCTTTCCTGCTGTAAAGACCCATGAATGTGTTTTGTTACAATTACTTGTGTCTTGGTTTTTAGAGGTCACCATATATTTTAACTCTGTGTTTTAGAAGCTGCATGATTTCGGTGTTTTAAGTTGTTTTACCAGGTCTTTGACCATATAGTAAAATTTGTACTTCATCCCCAGTTGGGCTTCATCTGTCAACCTTTCTCTTTCATGTACAAGCCTCTTAAAAATTGTAATGGATGAATAAATAAATAAATGAGGAAGAACATTCAGATTGGCTGCCTGAAGTTGTACAGTACACTCTCAGGATTCTGAATCTTCATTCTGCTGCATATGTAGACTAAGCCAAAGTGTAGTGTCACTCTTATCCCAGCTGTGTTCCCACTTCATGGTGACACTTCCAGCAGCCTAATTCTTCCTCCCTTGTGTGCTATAGCACCATATCATGTAATGGTAGCTAATGTTGTTTTTGCAACATTTTCCTCATGAGAGCTTGCCCACTGTGTTCCATAACCCATGACACTCTCGTTCTCTCGTCTGCAGGTTCAGAAGGGGCCAATGTCACCAAGAGCATACCACGAGTGCCCAAGGGGCAGCTTCCTTACACCCTCGGCCTCAGTGCTACGCTGGAGTCACCTTATGGCATCAACCGTGTGGAGTCCAAATGCACCCTTGAGCCCTTGCGCTACAGGGCAGAAGACCGTACGATTGCCCAGGTACGATAGTGAATGGAACAGCTTCTGAAAGGGGTGTATTTGTTTCCTTTCATTCTCCACTGGAAACTGTACAAGAAATCTGTGGTTAGGTCTAATGGCTGACGTAGATGTGCCATTGTACATACGTAGCCTCGCACGACAGGTTTTCTTTTGTAAACAAAAAGAAGGGAAGGGAAGGGTAAGGTGGATTGGGGCCATGGCTTGTGAAAGGGAGCGTTTGACTCTTGCAACCACTGTTGCAAAGGGTTAAATGAATACCTGATACCTTCAAGGTGTGCTCAAAAATCACAGACACAGCAATGGAGAAAAAGAAAGTAAAGTTATATTGCTGGCAGCAGTAAGACCCAGCGGAATGGTTTCCAAAGACTGGTTGTGGAGCTCTGGGGCTTTGGGTTTATATACCTTTTTCTAAACAGCATTAAGCATTACATATTCATAAATTGCAGCAAAATCAAACCAATGAGCTTGGACACAACTCTTCCTAAATCCTCCATTTAAAGATCACTGCTTTTAAAGATCCATTTAAAGATCATTCTGCTTTTTCCATATATGTACTCAGGATGTTACTAATTGCTTCTACCTTATTATCAGCAAGCGAGCTAAAAATTTCCCTTTTGGCAGGCAAATCCAAAATCCCCCCTTTTGTTATCAGACAAAATGGAAAGTATCCAACTTCGGACATCCTGCTTTGTCGGGTCATGGTGACCATCACATGAGCACGAGGAATGTTTTTTACAGATTGCAAACGCAGCTAAATATATTTCTGCTTTCTGCAAGCACAGCAGCAAGAGAGAGACACAGCAATTGATTATTAGCATTTGGGCACTCTTAGCATTCACATTAAGCATTATTAAGGGACATGGTAGCATATGAGGCACAATGGTATACCTGTTATACCTTCTTCAGGTGGCCTTGCCACACCACTACAAGCCCTGTTTGGAATCTCGCTCCCCATCCTTGCAGTTTGTGAGGTGGGAGCTGTGGGCAGGGGGCAATTCTAACTGAGACCACCATTTGGCAGGAAACAGTATTGTTTTTGTTTGTCTGAATATGGCTTTCCTTCAACACCACTGGCTCTTTCTTTGGCCTTGCATGGCTGGTTTGATTTTTAAACAATGTGTATAATGCCATGTCTGGTGCGGCCTTGAATCCTGAATGAGCTCATGATGAACCTATAATCTGAATATATGTACTATAAGTGCACCTTTTAATAATTGTGAGTCACTGACTGCCAGTGAGTCCTCAAGCCTAATTCAAAGTGTCAGTATTAGCATACAAAGTTCTTCACAGCTTAGGACCCATGTACCTAAAAGAGCATCTTGCCCAATATGGACTACCTTAGACGCTGCTGTCAGCCCTGTTGGTGATGTCATCACTGAGTACTGCCTGGTTGGCCCTGACCCATGACAAAGTGTTTTGGGTGGCAGTTCCCCATTTATGGAATTCCCTCTCTGGTGAGGTGCATCACGTCTTCCTTGCGATTAACATTTAGGGTTGCTTGCTACAGGGATATATAACTGTTTTTAGATGCTGTTAATGCTTTTAAGTGTTCTTTATTTTTCTAATATTGCATTGTTGCTTCATTTCATGCCCTCAGCTCCTTTTGGGGGAAAGGGTAGGATAGAATTTTAATGAATAAAAACATGAAAATACATAACATGGTATGGTGCTCTTGAGGGCAGGATGAGGAGATCTGGATGAGGTGGGCCATGCTATGGTGGGGTGTAGCCCTTTCTTTCATTGTCATGTGACAAGGCTAGCTCAGTAAGTCTGGCCACTTGTCTTTAAGCAGAAATCCCCACCCACACTTACTGTGTCATGGGGTGATATCCTCAGTGGATGCAAGCGTTAACTTGCTATATGCATAAGCAAACTTCACTGTAGTGTAACCAAGGGATGGAACACAAGCCTTACAGTGCAAATAGAAGGAGGAGAGAAGGCCTGATCCTTGAGTGCATTCCTGTGGCTTAAGAACACAAGCTGCAGGCATCTTCCCCTGCAACCCATGTTTCAAGCTTTGAAAGCGGACTGGGAACTGCAGTTTGGTGACCATTTTGTGTGCTTTTGCCTGGATGAACTATGCCCTTGAACTGTGATGGATACATCTGTGTGTGTGTGTGTGTGTGTGTGTGTGTAATTCCAAAGATATACAGTACACTGATCAATCAAAAATGCAAAACACAAAATAATGATTCAAAGAAAACAAATAATACACCCATGTGACTTCCCTCCCCCAATACTCGTCACCCCTTAATCTTTGAGTTCTTATTAACATTGCATCTTTGGTGTTTCATTCTTAATATATTACTTTTTTCTAGTTCCACTTTACAAACCTAATCTTACTTACTTAAGTTTGTGATGGATACATCTTTGTGCACACATACGTGCATATATATATTGTGAGATCTCTAGCTTTGGTTCCTAATGTACAAAGAGAAGTTCACAATGGCTGCCTTGGCCACTTTTGCCTGGTCTGCTACTCCCATGTTGTCTCCCAAACTTGAAGGAATACATCCTTCTGTATTCCCCACTTCCTCACAAGTTGGTCTTCCTCTTTAGCCTAGGTTCTGGCCTTCACTGTCAACCTGAAGAGCCAAACTCACCAAAAACAAGAAGTCCCAGAATTCCCCTTAGGATGGGAAAGGTTTTTTTTACTCTGTGTCTGTAGTGGGAGTTACTGAATGGTCCCTTTGAAACCAACATTGGGAAGAAGATTTGAAAGTAAAGGAAACAAGAGCTTTCCGTGCATGAGTAAAAGCAGGCAGCTGCCTCTACCCAATACTTATTCCACCATCTGTTCTTTAATAGATTATTGTAACCTCAGTGATCTCTCATGACACACTATTTTAGAATTAAAGATCTCAATCGGTAACAATATTTTAAAATGTGTTGCGTTGCACACATAAATATATGTGGGAGCTCTTTAGAGGGGAGTGATTTAAACTCTGCCCAGCATTCAAGCTCTACTTCATTTTGCCACCCCAAAGGTCTCCTTGGCTGAAGGGCACCAATTTGACAGAGATGTGGAGCTGCTGATGTATTACGAGGATGTTCACAAGCCCAGCGCCCTCCTAGAGGCTGGGAAGCCTGGGGCTGCCCCAGGTGAGCAAAGCCTAAGGCAACAGAGGACGTGGGGGCAGAAACTCAAAAGGGTGCTGAGAGGTGAAAGGACTAGATGTGAGTCATAATATTAATTATGTTCTATGGGAGAATTTATGGACAGTAAATATGAACCGTACGGCGTGTTAAGCATTAAAAGAAAATACGACAAAAATGACCCATAGATGGTACTTAACACCTGCCAAACTAGTAAAAATGTTTTAAAAAGAAAAAGGCAAATGTTGGAAATGCAATGAAGTAGAGGGATCTTTTTTCCACATGTGGTTGTCCTGTAAAGTAATCAGGGAATTCTGGGAAGTAATTTACAATTAATTAAATAAGGTATTAAAAAAAAAAAAACCTTCCCTAAAAAGCCTGAGACATTCCTCTTGGGAATTGTAACAACAGAAGTCCCTAAAAAACAAAAGAATTTATTACAAGGTGGAGAACAAGTACGGTACCCACTAGGGAAGAGTGGCAGATTAAACTGCTTGAATATGCTGAATTTGCAGGTATAATGGACAGGATAGGATAAAAGGATGATAAATAAGGAGGATTGGAAAATGTTTATTGAATATTTCAAGAAACAGTATAAACAAGTAAATAACCTAGCAGGTTTTGAGTAAATCCAGCAGAATAGGAGCTAATAGAAATTAACAGAGAAAGAAATTTGAACATTAAAAATTTGGAATAATACATGATTTAGTAGAAAAGTAAATAAACCAGGAAAAGGGTAGAAGAGAGAGTCATTAGGTACAGTGGTGCCTCGCAAGACGAAATTAATCCGTTCCGCGAGTCTCTTCGTCTTGCGGTTTTTTCGTCTTGCGAAGCACGGCTATTAGCAGCTGTTAACGGCTTAGCGGCTATTAACGGCTTAGCGGCTTTAAGAAAAAGGAAACAAACTCGCAAGAACTCGCAAGACGTTTCGTCTTGCAAAGCAAGCCCATAGGGAAATTCGTCTTGCGGAACGACTCAAAAAACAGAAAACTCTTTCGTCTTGCGAGGCATTCGTCTTGCGAGGTACCACTGTATTTAGTTGTATGTTGTGATTGATATGAAAGTTGTATAATTGGTGGGTGGAGGGAAGGGGATGTAGGATGTGTGTTTTTTTGTTTCTTTATTAAAAATGCAAATAAAAATTATATAAAGAAAGAAAGAAAGAGGGGATATTGCCAAATACCTATTGGATCTACTGTTTTCCAATGAAACACAGCCTCGCTGATGGGGGACCCGGCTCTCCTGCTTACTCTGTACCCCAGCGTCCCTGCCCCAAAGCCAAGCCAGAAGTCAACTGGAGAATTCCTCTTCCTGCTGGATCGCTCTGGCAGCATGGAGTGCAACACCGAGTATAGCTCTGATTCACCTGATTCACCTATGCGCATTCAGAGCGCCAAGGTACCCACGTGTTTAGATGCATAGGGAGGGACGGTGCTGTGCTTTGGAGAAGGCAGGGTAATGGAAGCCTGGAGGTGGGTGGATCCTTGTGGGAAGGCCTATAATTATAGAATTATAAAGTTGGCATTTGACAGTGTCTCCTGGGATTTAATGTTTAAAGTTTTGGAATTCATGAGTTGTAGAAACACTCACATAACTGAAAACTATAAATAAAGATTATATAAAAAAATAGAATTGGAGAGTTGGCAGGGACCCTGAGGGTCATCTAGTCCAGCCCTTTGCAAAGGGTGGGTTGGGATATCCACGTAGCTTCATCTTTTACCTTATTTTAGGAGACCCTGATTCTCCTGCTGAAGAGTCTCCCTCTGGGATGTTACTTCAACATCTATGGCTTTGGATCCACCTATGACTCCTTCTACCCGTGAGTGTACTGTCACAGACCTTTTACTTTCCGACTTCTCCACCTGTTTATATGTTTGGTCACTGGTAAAGAATAAAACAGGGTGTTAGATACATTACTTGACCTTTGATGTCAATGTGTGTGCACATGTGCACCCCAAAAGATTTAACCAAGGAATTGAAAAAAATTCTCCCAACCAGAAGGGATGTTTTCGCAAGCTGCCTTCTAAACTTCATCTGCAAAGCAGTACATCCTGGACCCCTAGAAATTCTGTCCTCCTCTCTGGCTACCTCAAATCTTCCTCTTCCCCATGTGTGCCTTCCAAGTTCTGCTGTTTCTCTTCCTCCGTGCTAGCTGCAGAGTAAACTTAGCTTTTCTCTAACTTTGATGAGGCATAGCACAGTCTGAGTACTGACTGATGAGAGGAAGGGTATGCATCTGAGTGGGTGAGTTTTAGGGGAGCAATTAAACAGCTGGTTCTGGTGGAAACGTGGAGTGTTGTGGGAGGTTAAAAAAAAAAAAAGCTGAATTCTATAAAAAGTTGCATGAGACTCTACTGGATCATTTGGACTATAATTTGATTTTGATGGGGGACATGAATGGAGTAGTATCTACAAATATGGACAAGGCTCAAAGACAGGTAGTCACCAAGGATGGTAGACTACCGAAAACTTTTTTTGAGATGACAGACAATATGGACTTAGTGGATATCTGGAGGGTAAAGAACCCCCTGGGAAGAGAAGGAACCTTTTTTTCTGAAGCCAAGATGACATGGACTAGAATTGACCAAATATGGATAACTAGAGGAATGGCACCAAAGATAAAGAAGGTAGAAATCTGCCCAAAACTTGTTCCGACCATAATGCTGTAAGGATGGAGATGAAACAAACAACAACCGGATCCTTTAGATGGAGGATGAATGACACCTTATTTAGAGATGAAGAAGTTTACAAAAAGGCCCAAAAGACTTTGAGAGATTATTTTGAAATAAATATGAATACCAATGTAGAAAAAGAGTAATCTGGGACGCAAGCAAAGCTGTGATGAGAGGGTTTTGATACAACAGAATGCAATAAAGAAGAGAAGTCAAAATGAAAAGAAAGATAAAATCTTGGAAAAAATAAAAGAAGGAGAGAAGAAATTGAGAGCAAAACCAAAGTCCCAGGAGATTTTGAGAGAAATAAAATTATATCAAGTACAATATATGGAAATGATGAATCAGGAAATAGAATGGAAAATCAAACAAATGAGACAAAAAACATTTGAATCAGCTAATAAATGTGGAAAACTGTTGGCCTGGCAAATGAAAAAAAGACAAAAATTAAATACTATTATAAATTTAGAAGTGGAAGGAAAGAGTATACATAATCCAAATGAGATTAGAAATTGCTTCCAGAAGTACTTTAAACAATTATACACACAAGGGCCACAGAAGGAAATGGACATAGACCAATTTTTGAAGACAAATGGCCTACAAAAATCTCTCAAGAAAGTAAATTAATGCTGAACTATAAAATATCTGAACAGGAAGTAGAAGGTGCCATACAAAATATGCAATTGGGCAAATCTCCAGGACCGGATGGGCTGACTTCCACATACTATAGATCTTTGAAAGAGTGGTTACTGCAACCTTTGAAGGAAGTCTGCAATGAAATATTGGCAGGGAAAAGGGCACCAGAATCATGAAAAGAGGCGTATATCACACTTATACCGAAAACAGAGACTGAAAAGACTCAGCTTAAGAACTATCGCCCTATATCGTTACTTAATGTGGATTACAAAATTTTTGCAGACATTTTGGCAAAGAGATTGAAAAAATATTGATGAAAGAGATTCATAAAGACCAAGCGGGCTTTCTCCCGGGAAGACACCTGTCTGATAATTTGAGGAATATAATTGATATTTTGGAAAAATTAGAAGTGAATATAAACACCAAAGCAGTATTGATATTTGTTGACGCGGAGAAAGCTTTTGATAATATCTCTTGGAGTTTTATGAAGAAGAATCTGCATGGGATGGGGGTAGGCCAAGGTTTTGAAAATGGTATAGGTGCAATATACTCTGAACAAAAGGCTAAATTAATTGTAAATAATGTGGTTACGGAAGAATTTAAGATAGAAAAAGGGACACGACAGGGGTGCCCAATTTCCCCACTGCTTTTTATATCGGTCCTGGAGGTTTTGCTAAATATGATTAGAAAGGACCGGTTGGTTAAGGGCATACAGGTCGGAGCTAAACAGTACAAATTGAGAGCATTTGCAGATGACCTAGTATTGACGTTACAGGAGCCAGAATCTAGTACTAAAAGAGTTTTAGAATTAATTCAGGAATTTGGTCAGGTGGCAGGTTTTAAATTGAACAAGTTAAAAACTAAGGTTTTAGAGAAAACACCGATTGAAAGAGAGAGGTTTCAGAATGAGACAGGATTGAATGTGGTAAAGAAAGTGAAATACTTGGGGATTAATATGACAGCCAAAAACGGGAATTTATTTAAAGATAATTACGAAAAATGTTGGACGGAAGTGAAAAAAGATTTAGAAATTTGGTCAAATTTGAAACTCTCGTTGCTGGGCCGTATTGCTGTGATAAAGATGAATGTATTGCCTAGAATGTTGTTTTTCTTTCAGACATTACAAATTGTAGATAAGATGGACTGTTTCAAGAAGTGGCAGAGAGATATTTCTAGATTTGTCTGGCAGGGCAAGAAGCCCAGAATAAAATTTAAGATATTAACTGATGCCAAGGAAAGAGGTGGATTTGCCCTTTATTATGAATCAGCAGCTTTTTGCTGGCTGAAAGAATGGCTACTTCTTGAAAACACAGACATTTTGGATTTAGAAGGTTTTAACAATGTATTTGGATGGCATGCATATTTATGGTATGATAAGGTCAAAGCACACAAAGCATTCAAAAATCATATTGTTAGGAAAGCATTGTTTAATGTCTGGATAAGATACAAAGACTTATTGGAAAATAAAACCCCAAGGTGGCTGTCACCAATGGAAGCAAAAGCTCTGAAAAGGCTCAATATGGAGGCCAAATGGCCGACATATTGGGAAATTTTGGAGCAAGAAGGAGATAAATTGAGATTGCAGAGTTTTGAAAAATTAAAAATAAAGTGAGAGATTGGCTCCACTACTATCAGATAATGGAGGCATATAATTTGGATAAGAAAATAGGCTTCCAAGAGGAAAAGTCAAAATTAGAAACAGAATTGTTAGAACCCAAAACTAAAAATTTGTCAAGAATGTATAACTTGCTGTTGAAATGGAATACTCAGGATGAAACGGTGAAATCTGCTATGATTAAATGGGCACAAGATGTTGGACATAATATTATGTTCGCTGACTGGGAACAGTTATGGACCACAGGTATGAAGTTTACGGCATGTAATGCCTTAAGAGAGAATATTATGAAAATGATATACAGGTGGTACATGACCCCAGTCAAGCTTGCAAAAATTTATCATTTGCCCGATAATAAATGTTGGAAATGTAAAGAAACTGAAGGTACATTCTTTCACCTTTGGTGGACGTGCCCAAAGATTAAGGCTTTCTGGGAAATGATATATAATGAACTGAAAAAGGTATTTAAATATACCTTTCTGAAGAAACCAGAGGCCTTTCTCTTGGGCATTGTCGGCCAACTGGTGCCAAAGAAGGACAGAACCTTTTTCATGTATGCTACAACAGCAGCAAGAATACTTATCGCAAAGTATTGGAAGACACAAGATCTACCCACTTTGGAAGAATGGCAGATGAAGGTGATTGACTACATGGAACTGGCGGAAATGACTGGCAGAATCCGAGACCAGGGAGAAGAGTCGGTGAAAGAAGACTGGAAGAAATTTAAGGACTATTTACAGAAATATTGCAAAATTAAGGAACTTTAGAAGGATGTTGGATAGAAACTAAGAGGTTTTTAGCTGTAATGCTTTAAGAGACATGGAAAAAAAGGTTAACAATTGGGTAAAAGATTAATGGTAAGGATTTGCTGAACCAACAAATTGAATTGGAATACAAAGAAGGGAGGTATGAGGAGGTCCGGGAAATAAGAGTAAGGAAGATAGGTTATGGAACATTATTGTGTTTTTAACTGTTTTATTTTGTATGGTTTTTTTTCTTATTTTTTACTGTTTTTGTTATATCTTAAAACTTTATACTTTTTCTTTATTCTGTACTTTCATGTATCTTTAATAAATATTGTTAAAAAAAAAAAAAAAAAGCCTGGTGGGGAGCTGGCTGAGCTTGGGAGGAAAATAGGTCCTTTGCCTCCTTGACTCTCTGAAACTCTCTACAGGCAGAGTGTAGAATACACCCAGGAGACCATGTCCAAGTCCCTCCAACGGGTGAAGGAGCTGCAAGCCGATCTGGGGGGTACAGAGATTCTGCAGCCGCTGCAGGCCATTTACAGCCAGCCATGCCGAGAAGGGTATCCTCGCCAGGTATTGAGTCCTGTAGTTATTGGCATTGTTCTCCTGTATTCAGGGCTGGCCTGGGAATAGAGTTACTGAAATGAGATTTCTTTTGCCTGATCTCAGAAGTTTCCTTTATGGCAGGAGTGAAGGAACCCTCAACCGGTGCATCTCATTCCACCCAGCATTGCCATAATTTGGCTCCCAAGGCCATTTCACCCCCAATATCATGCCCAACTGCCCCATATCTGACATCATATAAGATGTAGCTACATAGAAGCTACCAGGAGCCCCTGATGGTTTCATTGCAAGCAGTTGATTGGCACCGATGGTGTGCGCTACTGGGGTCAGCTGCACTATGGAGGGGGTCGCTGTTAGTGGGGCTGGTTTTCCCTGTTTACATGTAGGATTTGAATCCAGCCGGGCCCTGAAAATGGACTTCAAAAGGGGAATAGGATAGGTTCTGATACCTCTCTGTCCTCTCTCCCTCTCTCTCTCTAGCTCTTTGTGTTCACGGATGGAGAGGTGTCTAATACAGATGAGGTCATTGCTGAAGTTCGACGTCACAGCAGCTCCCACAGGTAAGGCAAGGGAGAGGGAAACCAGCTTCTCACAGCTCTGCACCTGGCCTAGGTTCACCTCCTCTTTCTCTGGCAGGTGCTTCTCCTTTGGCATTGGCGAAGGGGCCTCCACAGCCCTCATCAAAGGAATTGCCCGTGCGGCCGGAGGCAGTGCTGAATTCATCGCAGGCAAGGAGCGCATGCAGGCCAAGGTGAGGCTCAGGAGCTGCACATTCCTCTGCTGCCTGTCCTTACCAGTCTCTCCTGAGCTGTAGGGACACTGCTAGGTCCCTCCCTGCCATCAGAGCATGGAATCCCAGCTCCCTCCTCACCAAAATAGCACATTTGCTTACTTCTGCAAAGCAACCATGAAGCCCAGATTCATAAGGCGTTGTCAGAAGGGCTGCACCCTTGGATTGATCATTTGCTCAGCCTTCTACTCTCCTCCTAGACTGCATGTTGAAACCTTACACAGCTAGCAGTGCCCGCTAGAGTTACAGCTGGAGTTTCTTTATGGGACATTTAGAAAACACATTGTGAAAAAGCAACATAGGTTGCCTCCAGATTCCTTTTTGGTTGAACCTTCCTTCTGCTTTGTTAATGGGGAGGTTGGATGACCGTTGCATCAAGCCATTGCTACTTCACGCTTTCCAGTGCATTTTCCTGTTGTTTTCCTTATTGCAAGAAATCCAATCATTTAGGGAGGAAGTGAGTTTGTAACACAAATCAACCACAATTGTGCAACCTGAATCTGCCAGTATGCTGTTGAATCTACCCACAAAATGGAGAGTGTAGAAGGGCCTAGTGGTTTCTATGCAAAGGGGTTGTTGTAGCTTAGTGGTTTTCTTTGCAAGGTACAATACTTTGTTTCAAAAATGGTTAATAACTGCCTTAACACTTTCAATCTGTCACTGGACAGAGTAATCATTTCTAGAATGGCCATTTTCAGACAGAGTAATCATTTCTAGAATGGCCATTGTTTTCCCCTATCCATAATAACAACAATAATAATTTTGTTATTTATACCCTGCCCATCACTGTGGGCAGAGAAGGTTCAATCTCTTAAGTATAACTGAAAGCAATCTGTTTTCTCTAACAGATAAGCCCTATGGTGAGCCTGCTCAGAGAGCCAGAAACCCCTTCTGCCCACCCAGACAGAAAGACCCTAATCTCTAAACCCAGGTCCCTATCTAACCCTTAGGCAATCCCTGCCTGAGCAATTTCTGACAGTCCTGACAGTAACTGTCAGTTTCAAACTTAAATTCCATTCTTTCTCTCTCCCAATTGGCTGATCTACTCCCCAACTGACACTGGTCGTTGGGTCACAAGTAGACCCAATTCCTGTCCATCACACCATCTCAATGCCATAGTTTCTCCTGGAATAAAGAAATTGGTTTCTCATAGCATCTCTTGTCTCCTTATCAATTCCATTCTTTTTTAGCGTCCCCTATGTGGCAGGGTCATTGCATTGCTCAGAGTCTGTCCAGTGGGTTTCTATTCTATGTTCAGTGGCTTTTGGAGAAACCAAGATGGCATCTTCACCAGCCCCTCTCCTGACTTCTTTGCAAGCACTGTTCACACAGTTTCAAAACAATCTCACATAGAAACTTATTTTTAAGCGATAGTTGAACAGGAACTTTGATATTCTCTTAATGTCATTGCAAAATTCTTGCTTTCCCATAGGCCCTGCAGTCTTTGAAGAAGGCCCTGCAGCCAGCCGTGACCAGGATCTCTCTGAGCTGGGACTTGCCTCCTGGTCTGAAGGCTGAGCTTGTGGGGTCAGGCCCACAGGTCATCTTCCAGGGGCAGCGCTGCCTCATTTATGCCCAGATCCGTGGGCAGCATCAGGTAAGCAATGACGACCAGGACCTTAACTACTGAATAATGCCTCTCTCCTATCCTGAATACCAAAACTTGACTTTATTTGTGGTTTTTAATGTCAGAAGGTATTGTTCCGAAGGCTTCTTGCCCTTTCCCAGTTCTGATGCTTTCTCTTCTGCTCCAGTCTTCAGGCTCCAATGAAGGGACTGTTGTTCTTCAGTACCAGTTCCAAGACCAGACTTTCAAAGAAACAATGAAGTTCTCACTCCTGGCTCAGGAGAGTGACAGGTAAGACTTCTCCTATTATATTGCCTCTGCCCTCCACTCCATAGCTTTTGACAAACACGATGTGCTTTGTGTAATTACAGGCTGACTTGGAAAGCTCTCATCTTACTATTTGTTTGCTTGCTTAATTTAATTTATACACTACTTGATTGTAAAAAACAAAAACAACAGCAACCCTCCAAGCAGTTTACAAAAGATAAAACAAGAAAACCAAGAAAATTTCACAGCCTTACTTTAAAACAGACACAGTTTTAAAAATCAGCTAGTGCAGAATTCACCATGGCAAGACGGTTTGACCACACGATGGCTGGGACAAGTTCCACAGGGGGGGAAGCACTGGGACATCCGATCTCAGTGATCATGGGCAGGAGGAGGAGTTACGCTAAGACCAGACCATGTCATTACCGAGGAGGCAGGTTTAGTCGTTGTTTGAGGACTATCCCTGCCTCCGGGTCTGGCCTTGACCGGATGGATACTGGAATCAACAGGGAAAACCCACATGACCTGAAGGTGTTGCTGTGTAATGCCAGGTCAATTATGAATAAAACCACTGCCGTCCACAACCTGATTGTGGATGGAGGATTTGACCTGGCATGTGTGACAGAGACCTGGTTGGAGGAAGCAGATGGGCCTGTCCTTGCCGCTACTTGCCCACCAGGTTTCTCTTACGCACAGCAACCCAGGTCATGTGGGCGGGGAGGGGGGGTTGCAGTGATTTTTAGGAAGTCATTAGCTTGCATCAGGCGTCCTACTGGGAAGATCCAGTTTTCTGAGTGCATGTTCTGGAAGTTGGGCAATAGGGGCAGTACAGGATTCCTTTTGGTGTACCGACCTCCCCGCTGCACCAAGGATTCCCTGTCCGAGCTGCTTCAGGTCGTGGCGGATGTTCTCCTGGAGACACCTAGTTTGGTTGTCCTAGGGATTTTAACATCCATGCCGACACGACCTTACAAGGGGCCACTCGGGACTTCGTGGAAAGCATGGCCTCCATGGGGCTGTCCCTGAATAAGTTTGGCCCAACTCATAGTCATGGACATGCCTTAGACCTGGTGTTCACCTCTAGTGACGTGGGTGATCTGACACTAAGTAATAGTGAAACAAAAGAAGTGCCATGGTCAGATCACTTCCTGGTGCAACTGGACTTCTCCGCGACCCTTCCCCTCTGCAGGGAGGTGGGACCAATTCGGATGGTCCGCCCCGCCACTTAATGGATCCAAATGGTTTCCAGAGAGTGGTAGGGGATGCTTTATCCCATGTTGATGGCCTTTCAGCTGATTCCCTGGTGGCCCGCTGGAATGCGGAGTTAACCAGGGCTATCGACTGTCTGGCTCCGAAGCGCCCTCTCCGATTGCATGGAGCCCGGACACCCCCGTAGTTTTCTTCGGAGCTGAGGGCGATGAAACAATCGTTGAGACGGCTAGAGCGTCGGTGGCAGAAAACTCACTCCGAATCTGACCGGACACAGGTTAGAGCTCAACGTCGAGCCTACCAAGTGGCGATAGCAACGACGAAGAAGACTTTCTTCACCGCCTCTATTGCATCTGCAGAAAATAGCAGCAGGAGACTCTTTCAGGTGGTCCGCAATTTAACGGAACCACCTTTACCACCAGGGCCTTGTAAAGACCCCAAGATCTCTTGCAACGATTTTGCAAAGTTTTTTGCAGATAAAATCACTCATATTCGGAAGGAGCTAGACACCACCGTGGGAGCAGGGCCGGGGCGGGAGAGTGCTAGAGCCTGTCTGGTCAAGTTGCATGGAATCAATTTCAGTCCGTTACCCCCGAGGATGTGGACAGGCTGCTTGGACGCATGAAACCAACCACCTGTCTCCTTGATCCTTGCCCATCCTGGCTAATAAAAGCAAGCCGGGAAGGGCTGCGGGATGGGCTCTGCAGGGTGGTGAATGCTTCCCTCCGTGAGGGAACATTCCCAGATCTGCTGAAAGAGGCGGTCATTAAACCGCTTCTTAAAAAACCATCTTTAGACCCGGCCAGTATGGCCAACTATCGCCCAGTCTCAAATCTTCCATTCTTGGGCAAGGTGATTGAGCGTGTGGTTGCTGAACAACTCCAGGCACGCCTGGAGGATGCGGACCATTTGGATCCCTTCCAATCGGGATTCAGGCCTCACCATGGGACTGAAACTGCCTTGGTCGCACTGGTTGATGATCTCCGGCAGGCTAGGGACAAAGGTGAGAGTTGTTTCCTAGTTCTGCTGGATCTCTCAGCGGCCTTTGATACAATCGACCGTAACATCCTTCTGGACCGTCTAGAGGGGCTGGGAGCTGGGGCACTGTTATACAGTGGTTTCGCTCCTTCCTCCTGGGCCATGTTCAGAAAGTGGTGGTGGGGGATGAGTGTTCAGACCCCTGGGCCCTCACTTGTGGGGTGCCTCAGGGTTCCGTCCTCTCCCCCATGCTTTTTAACATCTATATGAAGCCGCTGGGAGAGATCATCAGGGGGTTTGGACTGGGTGTCCATCAATATGATCCAATATGATACCCAGCTCTACCTCTCTTTCAAATCAGAACCAGTGAAGGCGGTGAAGGTCCTGTGTGAGTGCCTGGAGGCGGTTGGAGGATGGATGGCGGCTAATGGATTGAAGTTGAATCCTGACAAGACAGAAGTACTGTTTCTGGGGGACAGGGGGCGGGCTGGTGTGGAGGACTCTCTGGTCCTGAATGGGGTAACTGTGCCCCTGAAGGACCAGGTGCGCAGCCTGGGAGTCATTTTGGACTCACAGCTGTCCATGGAGGCGCAGGTCAATTCTGTATCCAGGGCAGCTGTCTACCAACTCCACCTGGTACGCAGGCTGAGACCCTACCTGCCCGCAGACTGTCTCGCCAGAGTGGTGCATGCTCTAGTTATCTCCCGCTTGGACTACTGCAATGCGCTCTATGTGGGGCTACCTTTGAAGGTGACTCGGAAACTACAACTAATCCAGAATGCAGCAGCTAGACTGGTGACTGGGGGCGGCTGCGGAGACCACATAACACCGGTCTTGAAAGACCTACATTGGCTCCCAGTACGTTTCCGAGCACAATTCAAAGTGCTGGTGTTGACCTTTAAAGCCCTAAACGGCCTCGGCCCAGTATACCTAAAGGAGCGTCTCCACCCCCATCGTTCTGCCCGGACGCTGAGGTCCAGCGCCGAGGGCCTTCTGGCGGTTCCCTCATTGCGAGAAACAAAGCTACAGGGAACCAGGCAGAGGGCCTTCTCGGTAGTGGCGCCCGCCCTGTGGAACGCCCTCCCAACAGATGTCAAAGCGATAAACAACTACCTGACATTCAGAAGACATCTTAAGGCAGCCCTGTTCAGGGAAGTTTTTAATGTATAATATTTTAGTGTATTTTTGGTTTCTATGGAAGCCGCCCAGAGTGGCTGGGGAAACCCAGCCAGATGGGCGGGGTACAAATAATAAATTATTATTATTATTATTATTATTATTATTATTATTATTATATTACACCGATTCTGGTCTTACTGCACTGGCTACCAATTTACTTCCCAGGCCCAATTCAAAGTGCTGATTTTGACCTATAAAGCTTTAAACAGCTCAGGACCACAATACCTCAAGGACCTCCGCTTTCCATATGAACCGGCCTGGACTCTGAGATTATCTTCTGACACCCTTTTTTTATTTGCCTCCTTCATGAGAGATCCAGAAGGTGGCAACACGAGAACAGACCTTTTCTTTTGTGGCCCCCAGTTTGTGGAATGCTCTCCTCTGATTCACAAGCGAGTTGGCCATCCAAATCCAGTCTTCCCTGTCCATTGGCAAATCTGGATTATAGAATATATTAAGGGGTTTACAGCATGCCAAATGGTCCCAGCATTTCTCTCCATGCTCCCTGTTTTCCCTCTCTGCAGGCTCCCTGTTCACCGTCTGGCAGCTCAGGCCCTCCTGCAGGAACTGGAGGGGGTCGGGGAGAAGGAAAAGGAAAAACAACGCCTGGCTCTGGAGACGAGCCTGAGTTCAGGGGTGGTGTGTTCACAGACCGCCTATGTGGGAATTAACACAGAGCTGGGCACGCCACTTCAAGGGCCTCTCACCCGCCGAGACGTTCCCCATCCATGTAAGTTTAGGGAGATGTATTGTGGGAGAGCCCTGGTCACTAAGGGAGAGTTTGGTTGAATGCCATCACATCTATTTAGTGCCATCTAGCAGAACCTGCCCAGATGACCAGGAGCTGATTTGATTGTGCTTTCAGGGAGCTCATTTCAAATACAGTGGTACCTCGGGTTACAGACGTTTCAGGTTACAGACTCTGCTTACCTAGAAATAGTACCTCGGGTTAAGAGGTACTTCAGGATGAGAACAGAAGTCGCAGGGCGGCAGCGGGAAGCCCCATTAGCTAAAGTGGTACCTCAGGTTAAGAACAGTTTCAGGTTAAGAACGGACCTCCAGAACGAATTAAGGTCTTAACCTGAGGTACCACTGTACTGTGATCAGTTTCAAATCAGTTTCCTTTCAAATCATCAGTTGTTTAGCATTTTGCACATAAAATTATCATCGTTATTATCATTATTTATCAGCTGTTTTTCTTCAAACATGAAACTCAAAGCAACTTTAAAAACAAGAACAATACAGCTAAAAATTCACACCCAACTCTACCACACACCTCACTAAAATTAAGATCTGTTGGCCTCAATGAATAAGAATGTTTTTCTCTGGCACCTACAAACAGCTAGTGATAGTTATGCCTCCCTGGGGAGAGCATTCAATAAATGAGGGGGGCCACCATTGAAAAGGCCACCACCCTTCATACCTCCCTTAGATGTTTGAGTAAAGCAGGGATGGAGGAGCACTGAGGGTTTTATTTTTTTAAAGTTTTAACAAGAAGAAATAACAGATGGGTTCTATACAGAACAGAGCCTCTCCCTTCTCCCTTCTGCCCCTTCTCACTGTACTCAAACCTTGTTTTAAACTGCAGCTTACTCCCCTTCATGCTACTCAAACCTCTGCCATTGTTTAAAATAACATTTTTCCTTTCAGTTATTCTCCATCCCTGCTTTACTCAAACCTCTGTTATTTAGAACCACTTTCCCCCTGTTAGTATTCATGCCTTCTCGCCCCTGTGCAATAGCCACTGGTGTTGCTTATCCTGTCTTCTCCTTTGCTCCCCTACCCCACCCTGACTCCATGCAAATCCAGGATTGTGATGAGGCACTGCAAATCCTCTAATGGGGACTGCATGGTGACAGCCTTACATTTTAATGCAGATAGTAAGATATAGATGTTCAAGAGATGGAGGAGTGTGCTCCTAGGCCAGTGTAAAGATAGGAGTAGATAGACAACAAATCTTTTGTTGTGAAGTCTGAACTATTCTTTTGGAACTTTTTCCAGCGTCCCCATGGCACACTTATTGTAAGAGAGGTGGGCTTTCATTGCAGTTGCTGTCAAGGTCTAGACAACCCTGAGCTTGTTGGAAGACTGGGAGGATACAAATAAACTTGCTATATCCTGGAAGGTAGCAACCAAAAAAAATCACATGAGCTATGTCTTTTCTTTTCCTGCTAGATCTATTGCCCTTTTCAGCACCTGGTGGACCTGCTGTGTTTCAATCAGTTGGCATGAGGAGCAGACAACTAAGAGCAGCAGCACCTATGTATATGATGTGTAGTATGCCAGGTCCTCTCCTCGCTTGCTCTGCTGATTGCATGAATGAGCTTGAAGACACCTTATGTTCGGAGTCTCTTTGCGGTCAGTCCTCATGGAATGGATGCAGGGCAGATACTGGAAACAGTGGAAACTGGAAACATCTGTCAAACTAATGACCAGGGATGTCCAACAGGTCGATCCCAGGGAGGTTGCAGTCGATGACTGTTGATCGCAGGCTTATTTCCCTTTGCTTTTGCCTAAGAGCACCCAGCCCCGCATCCTCTCCCCTGCCTGGATTTTCTCCTGATATCTGTAATGGAAAAGTGCTTTCATAGCGTTGTTTTGGAGAGCAACTAATCCCTTAAAAGCCCCCCCCCCCCAAAAAAAGCCCAATAAAATGGGCTATCTCATTTTGACCAGATCAACTTTGACCAGATCACTGTCAGGTTTTAATTCTGAAAGTAGATTGCAGTCCCTCGGGCGTTGGCCACCCCTGTAATAGACAAGCTAAGTTAGGGTTGCCATACGTCTGGAATTTCCTGAACATTGCCCGGATTCGGCCGTCTAAAGCAGTGTCTGGATGGGAATCGCTTGAAAGTTGGGAAAATCCGGATACAGTGGTACCTCGCAAGACGAATGCCTCGCAAGACGAAAAACGCGCAAGACGAAAGAGTTTTCCGGTTTTTGAGTCGTTCCGCAAGACGAATTTCTCTATGGGCTTGCTTCGCAAGACGAAACGTCTTGCGAGTTCTTGCGAGTTTGTTTCCTTTTTCTTAAAGCCGCTAAGCCGTTAATAGCCGCTAAGCCGCTAATAGCTGCTAAGCCGCTAATAGCCGTGCTTCGCAAGATGAAAAAACCGCAAGACGAGACTCGTGGAACGGATTAATTTCGTCTTGCGAGGCACCACTGTATGTGGCAACACATATTGGAAGTCTCAATGTTGATGAATTTCCTTAAACGCAGGACAAGGGCTTCTCTGCCAGGTGGTGATAAGGTGTCCAGTTAGGAGGGAGAGTCAGTGTTCATCCACACTCCTGCTTGCCCCGTGCCCAGAAAACATGAGTCTGAGCGGTTTTCTGCTTGTCCTGTGCTTCCTACAAAGGCAACAGTTCTGCCACTTTTCCCCAGAAAACCCACTCTCTAGTGGTAAATCGGAACAAACAGCAATCCATGGAAAACTCAGTTTCCATTTGTTCTGATTCAGTACTAAACCATGGGTTTTCCCAGAGGAAAGCAGCAAGAAGAACAAGGTGTGGATGAGCTCTCAGAAACAATATGCCCATTGGCTCAGCTATTTATTGTCCTATGTATACTGATGGAAAGGAATGCACTTGTCCTGCCAGTGCAATGAAGGAAGTACCATCCATGCTTTTCTCAGCAACCTTGAGATTGAAGCCTTCTCTACACACTGTGGGGCTGCCTTTTGTACAGGAGCTGAGAAGCTTCAGCTGGTACAGAATACCTCCTCCCATCTTTTGATAGAAATTGGACATAATGAGAACATAGTATACTGCAACTGTACTTGTTCCAGCAAGCATGCAAGCCCAAGTGGTCAACCCATCAAGCCCTTAGTAACACTTCTGTGTCAGATGAAAGGTCCAGCGTTCTGCTTCCAGCCAGAGAGTTTCACAAAACTTTCAAACGGGGTACCGAGTGCAATGGAGCTCCCTTGTCCTTTATTCCTCAGTGTCAGCTGTTCAAGCATTCAGCTGACTCACTTTGAAACTAGCTGCCTTAAAGTTTATCATATTTTTAATGGCTCTTTTGCAGAGGACGTTGAGCCCACCCCCAAGAAAGAGGAATCTCCTTTCTTGAACCTGGTATCTCTGCAGAATGCTGATGGCTCCTGGCCGCTTGATTCTGACCTGGCCAGCATCCTAGGCCTGAGTGAGGCTGAGATCTCAAGCAAATCACCTGCCCAGGTAGGTTTTGTGGCAGAACCAGTGGCATCTACTGGGAGCAGAGTGGCAACAGCAATCTGACTGTTGAATGGTTTCTTTAAATGTAAAGGTTCATCATTGTTCCACCCGATGTGTATGTCTTTAAGAGGCCAGAGCAAGGGCCAGAGCAAGATAACGAGACCCAGCTTTGCAGCTGTGAAACATAGCAGGTGCTGCTGAGTTGTATTGATTAAGCTGTGTCAGCAATTGGGTGTAGTATATAAGGAGCAGCACCTAGCTCTCCCATTACCCTGGGGGATGGGTTGGTGGTTGGGTCTGGTTTGTTGTTGATGTATTTAGTGTAAATGGAGTTTTTGTTTTTGTAATTAAAACCTTGTTTAAGTACTTTTTGAGTCCCTTTTTAATGCATGGTCTTCCCAGCAAGCTCTCTGCAGCGCTACCATACTGCAAAAAGCCAACAGTCCGTGGATATAAATGGCCACCCATGATTTTGGGGCGTGTAACAAGGGGATGTGGTAGCACTAACCATAATTTTCTGCCACACATACATACATACATACATACATACATACATACATAAATACATATGAAGCTATAGGGTTTAGATTGCCAGGCAAAAGCCCCTCTATAGAGATCATGTAGAATGAGATGCAGGAGAGGCTTATTTCTCATCTTATAAGCAGAAAGGTTGGAGAAACTGCCTTAACTATGGCTTCCTCCATAGAAATGATGTTTGAATGAGCAGTAAGGTAAACGATGGTTTTCAAACCTGCTTCAAACCATGGCTTCATAACCTGGGTTGTCGCTAAATTGTAACCATAGTTCCAACATGTCACACTCAACCATGGTTTTATTTTGCTTAAGCATTGCCATGCATGTGCAGGACCAGTGAGTGACCAGGGTCCAATGTTTCTTTCTTTTGACTCCTGATTCTCGTTACCAGGTGGCCCCGAACACATGGGCGACAGTGCTGGCCATCCTATGGCTCCACATCAATGCCATGGAGCAGAAGGATGAGTGGGAGTTACTGGAAGCAAAAGCTCTCAGCTGGCTCCATGCAACCACAGGTGAGTTGTGGGCAGCTGGATGCGGGCGGGCTTAGGATGGTGTGAGGAAGAATGATGGAGAGGCTGAAGCTTGAAGATGAGACAGCACTTCTGTTCCCCAGTCCAACCAATGCTTCATTTAAACTTTTATTTGATCCCTACTTGGGTCCAGCCCGATCCCCTTTCTTGTGAATTTAGCATCCACACTAAAAAGAAAAAATCCTGCCCCACCACTAGAGCTCCAGTCTGGGCAGCACAGCTTGCTACTCCCTAGCTCCCGCCATAGAGATTTTCTCCAAACAAGTGCTAATGCAGAAGGCAGTGGTACCATTACCATGGCACACACTCTTCATCTCCAACTCAGAGGTGGATGTCCCCATTTTTCCATCATGGGGAGGGCATAGAATGGAGAGAAATGAACAGGCCTGTTTGAAAGCTACTTGTGCACAGGCTGCAGTGAGGTGAGTGGCACTGATAGATCCTAGCTAACTCTGCTTATTTGTTTGTCTGCAGGGCCTCAGTTGGCTGAGTGTGTAAAGGCCGGCAATGCAATGCTTGGAAGCGGTGTGAGCCCGGACGTTTTTGAAATCTGAGTTTCTCTCTGCAATTTTCTCTCTGTGCCTTTTAAAACTGAAGTTTCAGCTTCACTCTTCTTTTTTCCCCCTCCAAGTGTACCCAGCTGTATTCCCACTAGGGTGTCATCAATCCCAAGCTGTGTGCTTGCTTCTGATGCTGCCATAGCTTCACTGCAAAAAGCACTGGAGTTTCCTTCCTCTGGAGCTGCCTTACATTAATGTAATGTAATGTAATATAATATAATGTAATGTATTAATTAATTAAAGGTCTTGTTGCCTTAAGAAGGGGAGAGGGCCAAGTACACAGCAGAGGAGAGGGTCGGATGTGTTGAGAATGAATGTTGTATACTGAAATGTTTTGTAATGTGAACATAAGGACCTGATTTACATATAATGAGATGAAATGTTAATAGGAAGTCAGAAAGTAAAAAGGGGGTTATAGAGATGCTAAGAATTTAGTAAAGATGTTCGGAAGTCAGAAGGAGGGAGGGAAGGAAGTCTGTGCACATTTGAGCAATGTTTAAGGTTATTGTTGTATGTAACAAAATGTGATTATGATAAATATGGAAAACTCAATAAAAATTAATTAAAAAAAAAGAGAATGAATGTTGTATAGGTGGGTGCTGAAAGTCATTCATTGTGGAAGCAACAATTCTCTTCAACATGTAAGTGGGAATGTGAGAGTTCCTGGAGAGGAAATTGTGGCTGCTGCTGCTGCTGCTGCTACACTGTTCTGAGTTCTGATTTGGCTTAGTGTGTTGTCCAAGCCCAAGCACAGTCTCTCTTCTTCAAACAAACCACGAGCTACTAAACTGAGATCAACCTTAGATTAACAGCTTGCGGTTGGTCTGGGGCAAGACAAACCATGAGGCCACATTTGAACAACCCACTGACCTAAACCATGGCTTAATTCACAGCAGCATGTTTGAATGACCTGCTGAGCCCCAAACCATTACTTAGCTCACAGCAGCAGGACAGAGCAGCAGCTGCCATCTCCCCAGAAATCCTCATGGCCAGCCATAGTTCGACTTAGTGTTACATATGAAGCGGCTCAGTCAGTTTCCAAGCCCAATTAAAGTGCTGTCATTAACCTTTAAAGCCCCAAATGGATTTGGGCCAGGTTACCTGAAGGACCATCTTCTGTAGCTCTATGTGCCTAGTCCTTAAGGTCATCAGAGAACCCTTTCTCCAGGTTTCCCCTCCTAATGAGGCAAGACAGATGATGGCCAGAGAGAGCCTTTTCAGTGGTGATGCCCTGATTATGAAGTGTCCTCCGAGGGATTTGCCTACCATTTGCATTATGGTCTTTTTGACACCTATAATGTTTTCTTGTACTGTTACAGTCTTTTGAGTTTTGAGTTTTTGATCTGCATTTTGTAACCTTTCAATTTTAAGTTTGCAAACTGGGGAAAGGGTAATTGCCCAATGATGCAGGTATTCCCATGTTCAGTCTTCTGTCAACAGACAAAGCTTTCATTGAGGGGAAAGGGACTGATTGAAAGTATCTGCAAGCAATTGACAAATCCTGTAGTGTGATTTACAGATAAGCAGATACTTTGTATCTTTTCAGCTGAGCAGAGCTGTTTTGCAGAATGGGGCTGGTTTGTAATAGATGGTGTAGCTGTAGCATGACCCTGTCTGTAAATTGAGATGGATTCAGACAGAGCAAAGTCTCGCCATCAACCTGTGATGGTATTTTGTTCTAATTTTACTCTTACCAAGAAATGGAACTGGGTCATATTGAAAGGTATAACTTCCTCTTATGCTTTTTTGTCAAGCAAACTTTTTCCGCACAGAGACCGCTGAATTGATCGGGCTAGAAGAAATTGTATGCCAAGCAGGCAAGCATTGCTTGGACCACCAGATGGCACTCTGTGCCTGGAGAACACGGGGATCACAAGTATATGAAGATAGAAAGATGTAGCTGTTAGAGTGTCCTGGGCATGAACAGGAATACTTTGCATAACCAACTCTAGAGATACCAGAACTTAAGAGAAAAACAAGCCCAACCATTTGTGCATACAGCCAGCGTGGTCCGGTACTCAGCAGGTTGAATGGGAAGTTTATGTGTTAGCTTTCCTTGCACCCCATTCCTCCCACCCTTCTCCAAGTTCCTTAAGATCTATATATTCTATATCCCCTTGTGTTCCCTCTTCTGTTCCTCCACAATTGTTGTTGTTGTTTAGTCATTTAGTCGTTTCCGACTCTTCGTGACCCCATGGACCAGAGCACGCCAGGCACTTCTGTCTTGCACTGCCTCCCGCAGTTTGGTCAAACTCATGCTGGTAGCTTCGAGAACACTATCCAACCATCTCATCCTCTGTCGTCCCCTTGTGCCCTCCATCTTTCCCAACATCAGGGTCTTTTCCAGGGAGTCTTCTCTTCTCATGAGGTGGCCAAAGTATTGGAGCCTCAGCTTCACGATCTGTCCTTCCAGTGTGCACTCGGGGCTGATTTCCTAATCAAACAACTGTGAAGGCAACCAGAATGGGATTCCTACCTGAAACTCCTACTGCAATTGGGTGCCACATTTCACGGGCAGTTCCTCCACACAGCTGATAGGAGGCAAACTTTGCCAAAGCTCGCTTAAGCTGGTCAAAGAATTTGAGTGTGGGAGATCAAATAAAATGCCTTCCCTGAGGACAAGATAATTTCAGTAACTTGTGAGCCCACTTAATGTAGTTGTACCCTAAGGTGGCTCAATGCAGAAGGCAGGCCTCCTGCTCCTTTTATAGTGGGTAGGAGAGGGAATTTCAGCAAATGTAGTTTGTCATGCCAGCGACTCCTGCTTAAATCCCCTCTCCTGCACAATGGTTATTAAGGTGTGGGAATTCTGTTCTCTGCTGTAGGCAGCCAAGCTACTAGGGTGGCCACTTGTACCTCTCCAGAAAAGTGAAAATGCATCAGTAATAAAAGGAAAATAATTGCATAAATATAAATAGAGAAGGCAGATTTATAAATAATTACTATAATTCAAATAGAAATACAGATGACTGACCAGGTGGCCTCGTTTCTGCTACTCAGGAGCTAATTGTTGATTGGCAACTTCAAAATCCCCACATGGTTTGTGTGTCTTTATACCAGACTTGGACCAGGCACCCTTTCAAATAGAGGACGGTCCTTTGTTAAGTAGGACCACATAGCTATCCTACATGGACCATCTGAGCTGCTCAGTGTCACAGGCAGAGTGATTTTCCTTGGCCTTATTTATGGCTCATGGCTGGAAGGCACAGTGCAAAACAGGAGTTGGACACCCTTCAAGTGCACACGCCTGGAATATTTTATTAGTGAGGATGCCTTGTGAAAATCCTAAGCTGCCCAGTGGTTTCCTCAGTTCTGCATTCTGGTGGGCTTCCTTCAGCAGTCTTCAGTCCAGCTTTAACCACAACATACATATTGTATGGTCCCGTCCCCCCATGGTGATGTTGATGACACAGCAAGCTGTCTTGCACTGAGTCAGACCATTGGCCTGCCTAGCTCAGTACTGTAATATCTACACTCCTGGTGGCTCTCTTGGGTTTCAGACCGGATTCTCCCAGCTCTCCCTGGAGATTGAATTTGAGACCTTCTGCAGGCAGGCAAAGCAGATGGTCTGCCGTTGAGCTACAGCCTCTCCCCACCAGACTGCAGCCCACTAGCAGATCTCAGCACATCAGTTGAAGGCTGAAGGCCTATCCAAAGCTCTTCACATGAAGTGACTGCTTTTGCTAGTTCCTAGGAGGCCGGGGAGTTTTTTTGCAGAGGCATGTTGCATGGCATGTCACAGAGAATTGCTCGGAAGACTCTGGCACCTCTTGTCTTAAATACCAAGGATCTATACTTTCAAGAGTTATCTGCTCCAAATGTATTCAATAATGGGCCTCCCCAGACTTCAGCCGTCCCAGTTTTCAAGGCCTGCGCCTATGCATGTTTCCTCAGAGTCTCACCCAGTTCAATGGGACCTCTTTCCAAGTGAGTGTGACCCAACTTGCAGCCTAATGATCTACTTTCTTGTCAGTTGGACCGGCTGATCCTTGTTCTGTCTGTGACCCTGAGAAACCATTGCTCTCTTTATTTGCTGTTTTCAAAAACAGGTTTTCCCCTCTCTCAAAAAAGAAAAAGAAAAAAAGACAAGTTTGTCTACTTTTATAAAAGTTGTGCGTAGACCAGGCCTGCAAGTCACATGAATCTGTTTGGCTCCTGGCCAGGCCACAGTATGCAGGTGGTGAACTTTGTCTTCTGTTTGAGGGGCAACAAGGTCAGTCATCACAGACATTGCTGGGGTCTCAACAGCACTCTAAGCCCAGATCCCCTGTCAGTAAAGTTTTTGTTTTTGTTTTAATGTTTTAAAAAGAGAAGGAAAGCAGCAGAAAATCTAGGGCCCGGCTCAAAATACCTCTTGCTTGCCCTCCCCCAACCTGCTTCACAATGCCCCTGTCACTTTAAGGGACTTTCTATCTCTATTCAGTGCTGTAGCAAACATACCCTCTTCATGACAGTCGTCTTTTTGTTGACTCTTTTTTTTTTTCAAAGGCTGTGCTAAGAATGATCGGTGAGGGGAAATGTCCTACATTTTGTTTAATTGAGCTTTAATATGCAGCATGCGCTTTCTAGCTCAGTTTTCCTTGGCACATGATTTAGTCGTTCTTGGCATGCAAAGCTACACAACCTGCTTTTCAGATTCTTGAAAACTGCCGTCCTATCCCTGCTTCGTTTTCTTTTCTCTTTAAGCTAAATATGCCTGGTTCCTTTTAACCACTTTGTGTGTGTGTCAAACCCTGCTCCATCCTTACCAGGGGTGCTTCCATATAGGAATTTATTGTGGAATCTGTGCCGCTCATGCACAAATGTTTTTCACAGCAACCACACAATGTCATCAAATTGCTAGCATGCACTTTGTTTGCATTTAATCTCTTTCCCTTTAATGCAGAAAATCCAATAAGTAAAAATAAGCTGTTATACATCCAACGATACCACTGGCGTGGGAGCTCATTAACACATATCTTGGGGGGGAGGGCAGTTTGTCTCTCAAACCCTTACTTCTGTTTGCTCCTCGGTTTGATTCTGAGCGCAAGACACTTTGTTTCCAGTGGCCCAAATGGTATACATGTGTCAATCTACATTGACTGCAGCATGTTGAAGCCACATCCAAATTTCAACAACTCGGATTGTAGAAACTGTTACCTCAAGCACATGTGAGGGATTACCTCAGAGACTGTGATCGTACGAACACAAGATCAGTCTTTTTAAAAAAAATAATACAGATGTCTTATGCAAGACCTCTCACTCTTGGACAAGTCTTATATAATTCATGTAAATATTGCTCTTGTGCAAACCTCAGTATTTTTTTTTTAAAGGAAATGGATATTGTTCTCCACAAAAACCACCAGCCTCCTTTTTGGCCACTGTGAACTTTGATAACTAGGGTAGGTAACATCTGCTTTTGTACACTTCCTGTGATATCTATATATAGATAAAGATATATATAGTGTGTGCAAGCATAGGTACATAAATACATGTGAACAAGTTCAGCATGGGAAAAAGTAGCAGAGGGCAGGAAATGAGTGAATGAGAAGGACAAATGATACCACCCAGGTAACATCCTGTCATGGTTTGGCCACTGGTGTGGATGACAAGCAATGGAATAGCAAGGAATATCCACGACCGGGGGGGGGGGGGCATCAAGTGTTTGTGGAAACTAAGGTTACTTCCAGACCTGTTTGAATGAGCATTCATCCTGATTTGTTTGTAGACAGATTAGACAATGTTAGCTATTTAATGAGCACTCATCCTGATTTGTTTGAGGATAGATTAGCCAACGCATCAAGCAATTGCGTTATCCCACACTTTCCAGCGCATTTTTCCTGTCACTTTCCTCACTTCCCAATCTTTCAGGCAAGCGGGTTTCTTTCGCAAGAGTTCCAGCTTTAACTGCCAGCCTCAGTTTGCTGGTCTGTGACTGAATCCCACCCCAAAATGCTGACAGTCCGAAAGTGCTCTAACATACCAAGTGTAACATACCCAGAAAAAATAAATTATTAGGAGCTTAGCTCTTGTAATATAAGGCTCCTGTTTGGAAACACTCTAGATCTCCACGTTGTCTGTGTCGTCCTTTAAGTGTGGCAATCAAAACTTAGCATCATATTCCAGTTTGTTCCAGTTAAGGCCTTGACAATGCAGAGTAGTCCATCCTGAAAGCTGCCACCCAGTCACATTTTGACCAGCCAAACAGCTTTTAAATACAGTGGTACCTCGGGTTCCATACGCTTCAGGTTACAGACTCCACTAACCCAGAAATAGTACCTTGGGTTAAGAACTTTGCTTCAGGATGAGAACAGAAATCGTGCTCCAGCGGCGCGGCAGCAGCAGGAGGCCCCATTAGCTAAAGTGGTGCTTCAGGTTAAGAACAATTTCAGGTTAAGAACGGACCTCCGGAACGAATTAAGTACTTAACCCGAGGTACCACTGTACACCAAGCCTTTTACATCCAATATGGCTGCTTGGCTTATCACATTAGTCACGTGGGAATTACCATTAGGCAACTGGGCCAGAAAGTTTGTGTCAGTTGGAAGGGGGACGGGGTCTTGTTTTGCTGTTTCCCCTTTGAAAACATCAGTGTCCCACAAATAAATATAGATTTACTTATTCCATTTATAGCCAGACTTTCCTCCAAGGAGCATGCAGAGTTCTTACCCACACCCACAATTTTATCTACAGAGCGACACTGTGAGGTAGATTACAATGAGAGATTGTGCTTGTTGGCTTAAGGTCCCCCAGTGAACTTTGTAGTTGAGTGAGGATTAGAACCTGCGGGTCATAGGAACACAGGAAGCCGAACCAGACTGTTGCTCCATCTAGCTCTGACTGAGAGCAGCTCTCCAGGGTTGCAGGCATAGGTCTCTGCCTGCTGGGCCTGGAGATGTTGGGGATTGAACCTGGAGCAGATGCTCTAGCACTGAGCCACAGTCCATCACTCAAACCACCACACCTCCCTGGCTCTTGTTTTCTGTGTAGATATACTGAGGTGTAGCAGGTAGGGACCTGCTGAAGAATAGTCTCCTTTGAAACTTTTTTCTTTGGAAGGTTAATTTACACAGTACACATAAACTTGGCTTCGACACATTGAGATTATCATCACATGCCTGGGCTCCTTGCCAATGCCAGTAAAATACAGCAGTAGAAAAGACATGATTACAGGCACGCAGTCGAGTTGTTTAGGGAAGTATGCAAACAGTTACCAAAGGCTTGTGTTTTCTTTCTGGCCTGGCCACTTATTAGTGCTACCTTGCCTTCGTCCTTTAGTTGCCCAGCCTTCATAGCCACTGGCCAAGAGTAAGAGCCTCAGCCTGGCATGAGTGCAGCGGAGGAAGCTGCCTTATCTGAAGTCAGACTGCCACTCCATCTAGCTGTTGACACTTGACTGGCAGCAGCTTCCCAGGCTCCAGATCGACCTGAGAAGCCAGGGGTTGAATCTGGGACCTTTCGTGTGCAGAGCATATATTCCACCGCTGGGCTATGGTGCTTCCTCAAAAGCTGGTGGCGAGTTCACCTTCAGCAGAATTAGGATGGCAGATGCAGAATACCAGTGGGGCAGGACTGCTGTGGTGCCAGAGCATCCCCACTTCTTGATGCCCACCAGAAATCAAGGCCTTGTAACTACACTAACAGGAATGGAGTTGCCATTTAAGAATTCAGTTCATTCATCCGATGAAGTGGGCTTGAATCTCCTGAAGCTTATACCATAACAGACTTGCTAGTTTCTAAGGTACTGCAAGAAAAGTGAGCTTAATTTCTGAGTCATTTCAGTTGTATCCCATATCCTGTACACAGCGTTGTTGACAGTAACCTGTCCCTTTTGCAACAGTGACATGTTGCTGCCTTGTACCACTAATTCTTTATTATTAGCATTACCTGAAGATCCCATTGGCTGGGTCTTTAGTCTAGACCTGTGGCCCTCCTGATGATGTTAGACTACAGCAGGCATGGGCAAACTCAGCCCTCCAGATGTTTTGGGACAACTCCCATCATCCCTAGCTAACAGGACCAGTGGTCAGGGATGATGGGAATTGTAGTCTCAAAACATCTGGAGGGCCGAGTTTGCCTATGCCTGGACTAGAGCTCCCATCAGTACCTGCCAGCATTGCCAATGGTCAGGGGTGATGGGGACAGATGTCAAACAACATCTGGAGGGCACAGGTTCTAGGCAGTTTCATTCTAGCTTTGAAAAAAAAAAGCACATATTGTAGTGTACTTCACTTTTGACTTCCATAAATTTCCCTTTATGATTTACTGCCCAAAGCTCTGGTTTAAGTGAGGTTGGTTTGAATTCTAATCCTGTCTTCTAAATGTTTACAGTTTTATGTCACATTCAAGTGGGTGAGTAAATCCCTCCCAATCTTTCAGAAGCTCATCCATCAGTGTATATGTTGAAGGTCATTGAACTCAGGACCAGGTAACTCCTCCCAACCAGACGCTGATTCATTACCTGTTTGGGTGTGGCTTTCCAACCAGCTGAGCTGCATTATAACACCTTCCAAACCGTGTTCCTTTAGTTGACGCTTAAGTACATCAAGTGGAACGATGTAAACAGCTTGTTTTTCTCAAGATCTATTGCATTATCCTTGCCCACACAGTTGTGGCAGACAGAAACTATATTGGCTTTGCATAGTTGTTGTTTTTGTAATATGAAGTGCATTTCCTGATGAAGATTTCTATGCATTTACCAGCTGCATGGTGGTGAGGAATTCAACAAGTGCTGTTTTCCTAAGAAAAATCTAAATCTGTTGAACTTTTCAGTGCCAGGCAGGTATTAAAACCACCAAAAGGAAAAGAGGCAGTAATCCCCTTGCCAAAAGCAAATTAATGCTCAAGACTAGGGCAAGGATTTTCTCTCACTGTCTATCCTGACGTGTTTAATTGCTAGGAAGAGGAGCCTGTACTTGCTTTCTCTCTTGCTCTGGTTTTCTCATGCCTTACAATTCTTAAATGAGCAATGTTGGGCAACTGGATTTTTGCATTGCTGGGGGTTGGACTAGATGGCCCTCGTGGTCCCTTCCAACTCTGCAATTCTGTGGTTCTATGATTAAACCATAGCCATATACTTCAGTTTAAAGCTGTTCAACGATCAAAGTTCTGCTCTCCCCCCAAAATTCTGCAGGCAATAGTTTTGTGAGAATACAGATAGGCTGTGAGTTCCCTAGCTGAGAGCCAGTGACTATGAAATTCGTTTGAATTTGGGCTCATTCACACAGTCTTTGGAGCCTGTAGTAGCAGTGTTTTTATAGTCAGTGGCTGACTCAACCTCTATGTTCTCTCTGCCCGCTCTCTTAATACCATTAGCTTACCTGCTGTGATGTCACAGAGAGTCTGCAAAAACTTTGAATTGGGCAACAAGGCTTTAGAATTTGAAAGCTAAGGTCCCCAAGCATCTTTTGCTAAGCTATACTGCTTGAGTACTGCTTAGCTGACAGAGGTTCTCCAAGCACACGTTATTGGTATAAATTACATACTACACAGGCACAGATAAGATACACAACACATTTGCCACTTAGGGAATGTGGTAAGGTCACACAAACAATATCGCTAAGTGAGTATCTGGTTTGGCCTGGAAGAGCCTAATCAAGGCCCAGCTCTACTGCTGAATCTGGTGTAGGACCTTTGGAAAGTTCCAAACTCTCAGCCTTATTCTCCATGTTTGTAAATTGGGAAAACGGAAAACAACTTACATACACGCATCATTTTTATTTGTATAATTAAAATCGTGCTCAAGGTGGCTTACAACATAAAAAACTACATAATATCAAATGTAACAAAAGTAACAAAACAATAGACAAAATATCAAAAAGGGCAAAACCAAACTGAACAATTTCCACATAAATCATAAGTTCTAAAATAAAGGTGCAAAAATTTAATATCAATAAACAAAAAACAAAACACATGTCAACAAAACAACATAAACAATACTCCAGCCCAACACCTACCTCTGCATTGTAATTAATTGCTTTTAGCACCCATATTACAGACTGGGCTGACAAGAGTAATATATGGTCTGAATATACACAATGCTCCCACCTAGCTGAAGCTGGGCCTGGTCAATGCCTCGGAACCACATGTAAGCTGCTTCGATGGAAGAAATACAGCAAATAAAGACAAAAAAACACAACACCCCTGCAGTGTAGTTCACTACTATAACCCTGCTGAATGTCAGAAGACTATGTCGAAATATAGTAGCTTTTATAAGCCCTGCAATGTGATTTTCCAGGCTAGAGGAGGGGTTACTTCAATTGCACCCTCAAATATCCTCCCCAGCAACCCAGCAGTCAGTTACATGGAGACTCCATAGACTTGCATACAGACTGATTGCACCTGGGCGTATTTCCAAAAAAGGTACCTCAAGTAAGACTCCAAGTTAGAGCAGGAATTCTATCGAGTATACTATTAATTTTCAAATCCCTCAGCTTCCGGGTGTGGTAACATACACACATCAGGGTTACGCCACAACATTTTGTTGCAGGGCCCTGCTGGTATGACTGCTCCTCTGTCAAACCCCTGTTATGTATAAACAGGTTGTTCCATATGGTCAGCTGCCTGCTTTTAAAACGATTTAACTCTGACACTGATAATAAGCAAATAAATACACAACAATATTTGTAACCGTGCGACCTGAATCTTGCAGGAGGCTGGCAGCTTATGAGATTGGTACAGTTGGCAAGCCCCTCTGGCTTAGTGGTGAGTGACTCCATGACCCCGAGTTGGGCCGCTGCAGCAGGCAGCAGGAGTTAATTCCTCCCTCGTGCAAAACCGGATGTTTCAAGTGAGGGAAGATTTCATCCACCTCTGGCAAATGCTCCCACCTGGGCTTAAAAGTCTGGCAGGCACAGGAGGAAGCTGGTGAAGGAACTAAGCAACCACTGTGTGTGTGCATGCATGCACGTACACACACACACAACCCTTCCCACCCCACGCCATCCGCCCGTTCCCAAATCGGAGCAAGGTGAGCACTCCAAGGGGCTCCCCCCCCATCAGCTTTGATCCTGGGGCGGCCCGAGGGTGCAAGAGGAGTGGAATAGATCCGGCTCTGGTCTGCTGTTCCTGGCTGCTTGCCACTTGGTGCCAACACGTTTCCAGGCTCAAAGCCAGTTCCTTTTGGACTCATACACCACCACCCCCTTCCCCAAATTGCCATGGAAACCATCCCCACAGCGAGGCCTATCCAGATTCCCTTCCTCATCCACCCTTTCGAAAGGTTCTCTCTCCCCCACCCTACCCCGCATGAGAGGCCTTCCCTCAGCGGAGGACCCCCTTGTCAAGTCGCTGGGAAGCCCCAGGGCCAGACCTAAGCTGAAAAGAATAGGATAAGGGGGCTGCTGTTTGTCGAGCCTGCCAGCCCCACGCCTTGGCAGGCCAGCCCTGGTGCACAATAGGGCATTGAGAAGTCTTTTCGCTCGCTCTCCTGCGCACACACACACCCCTTCATAGCGCTTGGCATCAGATCTTTTGTTCTCTTCACTGGGAAAAGTCGCCTTACCCAGAGCCCTGGCTCGGTGACCAGCCAAAGCCTCACACGGGTGGGAGGAAGTCGGGAACGGAGGATCTTTGCAAGGGCAGCTGCTAACTGTTCCCTCCGTTAAGAGCCGGCCCTTGCCTTGCTGTGCCTGTTGAGAGAGGTTCAAAAGCAGAAGCTCAACAGGTGAAGTTTTCCTCAAGAATACCTGTTGAATTGCTACCTCTTAAGGGCTTGGCTGTTCAAGGCATAGAGAGATTTGCCTCCTCACCCCCCCCCCCAGCATTACTCCTCAAAGAGATCCTTCCCATGCCCAGCAAAAACAGAGGATCTCATAAGGGTGCAGGCATAGGCAAACTCGGCCCTCCAGATGTTTTGGGACTACAATTCCCATCATCCCTGACCACTGGTCCTGTTAGCTAAGGATGATGGGAGTTGTAGTCCCAAAACATCTGGAGGGCCGAGTTTGCCTATGCCTGGGTTAGGGGAAAGGCCTCCACATTACCTGCACTGCATAAGGCAAGATATTATCCAGCGACTCCCTAAGTGATTGTGCTCTCTGTTAAATATTTGGATCTAGACTATCCCTTGGGGCACTCCGCTTCTTCAACATATTTTCACTTAAGGAAGCATGTCTGTTGTGGACGGAACACCAAGAGAGCAAGAATTATGTATAAATAAGCACATTCCTGTACTCTGTGTTAGAGTACAGCTACCACTTGCCGGGTCTGTGCTTCCAGTTATTAATAAGGATTAGAATCCACCTATGTAGGAGTTAATTGCCAAAGTCTGAAAGAGCTGCTTTCTATCCCTCTTTCACTATTAAAGAGTGCTTAAAAGGTATTCAGGAGTGGTTCATTGGGACGGGATCTTAAAATCACTTGACAAGGAGTCCTGGCTCCCAGACAGTTTCACTCTTCAAATAATTAATGGGCATCTTGTAAATGCTTGTTGAGAACAGGGCACATCAGGGCTGCTGCATCTTATTCCCACCCCCTGGCAAAAGCTCCTCTTTCCTTCGTGATTGTTAAAAGCGTAGGAGCACTGCTCTCCTTTGCGTCGGACTCACCCAGGCTTAAATGGAGCTCAGGAGTGCCAAGTCAAAGACCTCGACCCTCCGCTGGGAATAGGGAGAAATTAAACTTAGCTCACATTTAAAGGAGGACCTCATACCTCAGTCTCTCTCTTCCCCAAAGAACACATGAACACAAGAACAGCCATACACTTCTCCAAGTTTTGCAGTGCCTGCTAGTAATGTATACCAAAAAGGCATAAACCAGCTAGGACGAAGCATGCATAAAAATGAATAGATCGGTGAAAACAACGTATCAAAAATGCATTCGATTGGGGAAAACTGCTCTGCAATAATGTGTATAATAGGCAAAATTGCATCCCAACATAATAACAACAATAATAATTTTATTATTTACACCCCTCCCATCTGGCTAGGTTTCCCCAGCCACTCTGTGTATATTAACAAATGATTATATTAGGATAAAAATTCATAGTAAAATGCTAGTGAATTTTCATGAGGAATTAAAGAAAACAACCAACCTGATGTGGGAATGTGGGAGCACTGAACTTAAAGATTGCAAAAATGAAAAACTGTGAGAAATCGAAATTGGCAGATTTGCCCATCGCTGTCCTTCATTTTCTTCACTTAACCTTGTAGGCTAATGGACCTCAGTTATTTACTTATTTCATAAAATTTATACACCGCTTGGCTGTAAAAAGAGTCAAAGTGGTTTACAAAAGATAAAAGAGGAAAATCAAGAAAAATGGACAACCCTAGTTAGACGTGCCCATAAATTTCAATGGGTCTCTTCTGATTATGCCTCACCCTGAAATACAACAAACTGGGGCTTGATAGAAGGAGGATTTCCCACCCTTGCGATAGGTTCTTACTTTTCAGCCTGCAGATGCTAAAATAATAAGCCCGTTATTTAATCTGGAACAATTTACTGTCACCTGTTGCCATATTCAAACTACACACCCCTTTGTGGATATACGACCCTCACTTTATAGGAACACAGTGGAAGGGTTGGGGAAGAATACACCCACAGCAAAGTGATTAAGAGGAGCCGAAATCTAATCCATGTCCAGTATCTTGGTGTTACACTGTGTACCCCTTGTCTGCCAAACCACCCACCATGATGCATAGCTAAGCCCAACGTTACGAATCCAAGCTTGGAATAGAGCCCTGGAGTCCACACCACACACACATACACACAAAAACACCTGCACTACCCACTAGATCACTCTCTCCCATCTGAGGGAACTCAAGGGATGAATTTCCCATCTTTCCTTCTGTTGACCCCACTTCCTCCTGTTTCATCCAAGTGCCCAGGGGAGTTTTAAGCATCTCGCTGCCTCCCACTCTTCCTCCAATAAAAATGCCCCTTTTTATGCCTTGGGAACAGATGGACCCATGTAGACCAGAGGAGGGATTAGCTCTGCCCATTGCCCCGCGTGGGGGGTTATGTGTGTTTGGGGCCCCATTTTAAAGGGCTGGTGTCTCCCACGCCCCATGCCTGCTCTGGTGTCTCTTTAAATCAATCCTTGTTTGCCTCACACGCTCTGCCAAGTGTCCTATTTTTAGAGACGCTCCTTGTCTCCGATCCGACCCCCCTCGACTTGTTTTGCAGCTTCCCCTGCCAGCCTCTCTGAGCCTGAGCCAAGGGGGTGGGAGAGGCCAGTGCCAACCGCATTACCCACCTTAACGCTGCCCCCTCCGTCTCCATGTCTCTGCATCCCACCCTCCACGTGTCCCTGCCACACTGGCCAACTGCCAGAAAGTCCACCTCGCGGGCTGGGTCTATTGCACACACAGCCCGTTCCCCAGATAGCCCTTGGCTGCTCCCTCTTTTCCAAATGTAGCCCAAGCCACTCATTCTTTACTAAGGACTGCTTGCACACCCCGCTTCCTTTCAAATCCGCCAGGGAGGAGGTTCCACCACAAACCATGTATTGTTGTGTGTCCTGTAGAAACCAGAGGCCTTCTCTTTTCTTCGGGTGCTCCCCTTTGGAGCTAAAGAGCAAGAGGAGGAGGAGGAGGAGAAAAGAGCAGAGTCCAGCTGAGGCGGGCTTCTGTTGCATTGCAGGCCAGGAACAAAATGTCCCAGAAGCGAGTCCAAGAAGAAGAGAAAAAAGTGGGGTGGAAGGGTGCAAGGAAGAGAGAAAGAAGAGCGAGGAATTCTCTCCAAAGTCTAGGTTGGTGTTTCCAAGAAGAGACACGAAGGTCCAGATTCCAACTCCAAAATTGGATGTTGACAATGAGAGGCAGGGCCGCCCCTACTACTAGGCTTATCAGACACATGGCCAAGGATTTATTCCCCGCTGGCTGGGTGATGCCATTTGGGTTTTCTAACTCAAGTGCCAAAATATCTAGATGGCCTCTAGTCCAGTGTTCAAATTACAGAAGGGATGGAGGGGTGTTTTTGTGGTAGCCCCCTTAGCGACACTTCTGTAAAACTATGGGAGTGCTTGATTCGGATAAAATTAAAGGGAAATCAAAGGGTGGGCCTTGTGGATTTCATCAAGTCCAGCTTCCCCACCACCAATAATTCCAGCCCTGCTCCCATTGCTAGGGGTGTTCATTTGCAAACCAGCTTTTGTTTAAGTGCTTGACATGTTTTGTATTGTTTTTTAGGTCTCATCTCATCCTGTGGTATTTTATATGAATGTGCCATTTACAAATATTCAAATAAATAAAAATAAACTTCCACTTCCTTCAGGAAAAAAAAAATCCAAATATTGTGTGCGTTCAAACCTCTCAGAATCATTCAGTGATGGACCGGGAGACATGAGGGTCACCTGTGTTTATACTTTGTTACTGAGTGAGCACTGAGAAACCAGTCATGGCAACTCAGCAGCACAGTGCAGATTGTGTGAACTGCCTACACTGAAAAGTGTTTGGTTCAAAGAGTGTCTGGTGTAGGCAACCTCTTTCTGTAATGGAGAGACGATGAAGGCTTATTAAAGAGGAATTTTTACATTGACTACTTCAGCTCATAGCGACTTACGGTGAAGAAAAATCTTCCTTAAAAATTACAGCACAAAATAAAACTTCAGAAGAATGATAATAAGCACAAACTCCCTGGCTTAACAACCAAGTTCCAACCCACCATGGCTTACTGGCTCAGTGTAGTAATTCACAGACTGCGTGCCATGAAACAACTGCCACAGTGATAATTATTAAATAACAAGGGACTTATTATGAGCCTGAAACACCCATTCACAGGGGAGGCTGCCCGCTGTCTCTCTGTATGATTTACTGCTCTAGCCTTCCTTTCTTTAAATCAGCTTCTCATGGAAAGGAGTCAGGGCTGGAACAATAAATTCTTCTGCACCTCTGCATCATAAGGTGTACTCCCTTGTGGACAGATGCAACAAAATTAGAGGAAGCTGCCAGGTGTGTCTCTGTGTAACACAATGCTCTGAGCCTTCCAATCAGAAAACTTGCTCAGAAAAGTGACTGATACAGAATCACAGGGGTGCCCTCCGTTACAAGTAGTTCACTCTCCCTCTTAAAAACCAAACTTTTCTCAGGTACAAGAGTGGAATGTGCTTATTTCAATTCAGGTAGAAAAGTGTTCTCCTCAGCTCTCAGGAAATTGCTGGCTTGCTAAAAAGCCTGCTGAAAGGTATAAAGCCTTGCATTGTTTTCTGAGGAACAACAGTGAAGAGTATTTGCTCACCTCAGGAGGAAGTGAATTCCATGAGGCCACCACTACTGTGATGTTCCAGTCCTCACTTCTTTCAGCGATGGGGCCTTCTGTTTGGTGGGGATACGGGCAAGAGAAAAAGAATGGGACCACATCCCAGGTGTTTTCATACCAGATACTGCATCCCTCAAGTGTCAAACAGCTCTATGTGAACTTGCCCACTGCCAGATATATCTATATCCGTATCTGTGTGTTTCTAGATGCTTTGGTGCCAGAGGCAGGAAGCCCCCAAGATAGTAAAAATCTAAACTAAATAACTAACAATTCCCTGCCCTTTTATGGTACCCAGAACTCTGCTGCTAAAGTCAGGCTGTCTTGTCCTGGTGTCTGGTGTCCTCTGAGGCCGAGATCTGCATTGTTCCATAAACCTGGAATGCTGACTGAAAGGAATATGAGGTTGAATAATTCGAATTCTAAACTTTTAAATACGTAATATGCACCGTGACACCACTGCTACCAATCCTCAGAATGCTTCAAATGGGCTTTTAATATGGTTGCTTCATTGGACTTTTGTTCATGTCATCTTGATCTCTTTTTTGTGGTAATAAACCTTGCAAATAAAAAAAAAAAGGAAAAATGAGGTATACGTTTGTTTTGTCTCACTTTAAAAAGAATTCGCTACAGATGATACACTCTTTGTGCTAAGTTCCCAATGCAAGTGACGCTGAGGCTCCACAGCTGCCCTCAAAACCTACTGCCTGCAATCTCAGATATGTGGCGGCAGGGGTGAAGAGGGAGCTGGTCCTAGTTACTCACTAGTGAAGGGAAAGCATTTTTCGCATGCTCAGAGATAATGCATATACCGTACCTATAAAATCATGTAGGCCAGGCCTGATCCCATGCTACAGTCAAGATGTGACATGATTTGGGGCTAAACTCTACTGGACTTTAAATGTGTCTTTGCAACAGTGGCCTTTGACACCATCGACCATAACATCCTTCTGGACTGTCTAGAGGGGCTGGGAGCTGGGGGCACTGTTATACAGTGGTTCCGTTCCTTTCTCCTGGGCCGTGTCCAGAAAGTGGTGTTGGGGGATGAGTGTTCAGACCCCTGGGCTCTCACTTGTGGGGTGCCTCAGGGTTCCATCCTCTCCCCCATGCTTTTTAACATCTACATGAAGCCGCTGGGAGAGATCATCAGGGGGTATGGGCTGGGTGTTCATCAGTATGCGAATGATACCCAGCTCTACCTCTCTTTCAAATCAGAACCAGTGAAGGCGATGAAGGTCCTGTTTGAGTGCCTGGAGGTGGTTGCAGGATGGATGGCGGCTAATGGATTGAAGTTTAATCCTGACAAAACAGAAGTACTGTTTTGGGGGGATGGGGCGGGTGGGTGTGGGGGACTCCCTGGTCCTGAATGGGGCAACTGTGCCCCTGAAGGAGCAGATGTGCAGCCTGGGAGTCATTTTGGACTCACAGCTGTCCATGGAAGCGCAGGTCAATTCTGTTTTTTTTAAAAAATAATTTTTATTAAGGTTTTAAACAACAAAGAAAAAGAAAAAAAAACATACGCAATACATATAACAACATCACACACAAAAAAAACACAAAATTCCATGTGTCCAGGGCAGCTGTCTACCAGCTCTATCTGGTACACAGGCTGAGACCCTACCTGCCTGCAGACTGTCTCGCCAGAGTGGTGCATGCTCCAGTTATCTCCCGCTTGGACTACTGCAACATGCTCTACATGGGGCTACCTTTGAAGGTGACCCAGAAAGTACAACTAATCCAGAATGCGGCAGCCAGACTGGTGACTTGGAGCAGCCATCAAGACCAAGATCTTGAAAGACGTACATTGGCTCCCAGTACGTTTCTGAGCACAATTCAAAGTGTTGGTGCTGACCTTTAAAGCCCTAAACGGCCTTGGCCCAGTATACTTGAAGGAGCATCTCCACCCACATTGTTCAGCCTGGACACTGAAGTCTAGCGCCGAGGGCCTTCTGCCGGTTCCCTCACTGTGAGAAGCCAAGTTACAGGGAACCAGGCAGAGGGCCTTCTCGGTAGTGGCACCTGCCCTGTGGAACGCCCTCCCATCAGATGTCAAAGAAATAAACAACTATCTGACGTTTAGAAGACATCTGAAGGCAGCCCTATTTAGGGAAGTTTTTAATGATTGATGTTTTAATGTATTTTTAATCTTTTGTTGGAAGCTGCCCAGAGTGGCTGGGGAAACCCAGCCAGATGGGTGGGGTATAAATACAGTGGTAACTCTGGTTACGAACTTAATTCGTTCCGGAGGTCTGTTCTTAACCTGAAACCGTTCTTTACCTGAGGTACCACTTTAGCTGCTGCCACGCGATTTCTGTTCTCATTCTGAAGTAAAGTTCTTAACCCGAGGTACTACTTCCAGGTTAGCGGAGTCTGTAACCCAAGTGTTTGTAACCCGAAGTGTTTGTAACCTGAGGTACCACTGTAATAACAACTTATTATTATTATTATTATTATTATTATTATGCCTTTAAGGTTTGTTAAAAGGCAAATTGTATCAGCTCTGTGCACATGAGAATTACCTGGATCAGAGCTGGCATACGAGAAAGCAAATTTTACACTTTCCTTCCCTGCTAACACAACCCTGAAGAAAACCCATCCTCTGAAGGATCACCAAGGGTGCTTCGAGACAACCTGTGTATTGAGAATTCACCCTGATATGTTTGCAGGGAGATTAGATGACATGTTGGCTATTCATCCTGTATGTGGGGAAAGTGGATGACATTCTGTCAAAACAAGTGTGATCTCACACTTTTTTTTGGTCGTTTTCCTTATTGCAAAGAAGCCTGATCTATGGGGAAAGCGACTTTGTTGCGCAGGAGTCCCAAATAAACTGTAATAGCATAACCTGAATTTGCCAGTATGGGATGGAATCCCACCCGAAAACAGCGACTATCTGGAAGCGCCCCAAAGCAAATATCAATGAATTGGAGGATTTGCCCCACTAATATCACCAAAAGGGGCTTCCAGTCACTATTTTCAAATGGTATCCCATCACATCCCAGCAAGCTGCCCAATTCTAGCTGATTTGGGGCTCTTGTGAAACTAACTCATTTCTCCCAAAAAAAACTGCCTTTTTTTGCAGAATGGAAGGGAAAATGCCCTGGAAAGTGTGATGCAACACTTTGTTTGGTGATGCAAGGCTGCCTAATCTCTCCTAAAACAAATCAGGATGAATGCTCATTAAAGAGGTTGTCTGGAAGCAAACCAAAGCAAGTATCAACTTTGGAAGAGGGGTGTTGCTTTAGACCACAGCAGGGGAGCCACTGGGTTCGGACACTGGCAGGAAGGGGAGAGAGAACTGAGGGGTTGGCACCCTCTGTCTTTTGAAGGTGTTAAAGGGTTAAAGGCCCTCCTCCATGCCTGTTCTGATTCCATTAATTTGAGTCGCTCTCCAGCTGATGTTATTTGCACTAGATAGATGGATAGACAGACAGACAGACAGACAGACAGACATATATGAGAGAACCCTGCATTTTGGATGCCCTGATGTGTTTAACTTCACATTGGAGTCACATCCATACCACACATTTAAAGCAAATGGCTTCTCCAAAAAGAACCTGAGAACTGTAGTTTACCCCTCACAGAGCTACAATATCCAGCACCCTTAACAAAGCCCAGTTCACAAGATTCTTTGGGGAAAGTCATGGGCTTTAAATGTCTGCTGTGGCTACAGTGTGGACCTCAATTCATATTTCAGCTCCACATTGATAGCAAGTTGGGGTGGTATGGGTTAGGGGCTCAATACCAACAGTCAAACATTGGCATTCTTAGGTTGCCAAGCAAAGTATTTCGGCAGGGAAATAGAAAAATTTGTAAGGGGTGCTGGATGTCAGGTTACACCAACGCCAGAGAGTTAGTAGCAGCTATGTATAGCAGCTCTCTCTCTCTCTCTCTCTCTCTCTCTCTCTGTGTGTGTGTGTGTGTGTGTGTCTTGTGATCCTTCACTAGGATTAGTCCAGGATGCAAGCAGTACAGGGCCCAACTGGTTTGACCAGCTAGACTTGCCCAAAGAATGTGCCAGGCAAAACAGTCCCACCCAGCCCTGCCAGAAAAAGCAACATTTAAGTGGGTGGGTTAGGAACAGGACGCAGCCACTAGCTGTGAACTGAGAAAAGTTAGGAAGCTGGGAGAGAAGCAGCTCTCTGACACTCACGGCTGCGGAGAAGAGGTTGTGCTTCGAAACGTAGTCACACAGAGTTCACTCTGTGTGCTGCTTTACGTGGGCACAAGAGAGGCATAGCGTCTCTCTTATCGTAACAACCGTGCACAGCCGTGCTGTAGTGGCAGCAACCTACTGGGGTAGTAAAAGATTCCAGCATCCTATTGTTTTCACTGCATTTGCAGGAGTGCAAAAACTGGGGCAGATGTCATCTAGCACCTGATAGATGACAATAAAGTGGGGCTCTATTAAGAGCAGTGACACGGATCACTGGGGAGACCCTGGCTATTGTCTTGAGTGTTTTATCCTAGGGCAGGATTGTGGAAAATGTGCGTACAAGGCCACATAGCAGTTTTCGTTTTGGTTACACGACACTCAAGGCAGTATGTGCAGTCCTGCCCCCATCTTCTGTCCTTACAATAGTCCTGTGAGCAAGGTTAAGTTGAAAGACAGTGACTGGCCCATGGCCCACCTGTAAGCTTTGCGAAAGAACAAGGAATTTCCTTCATAATATTTATTTATGGTATTTACATCCTGCTACTCAAGGCAGTTGTGTGTGTGTGTGTGTGTGTGTGTGTGTGTGTGTACACACACACTCACTCACTCACTCACTCACACTCAAGGAATACTCAAGGTGGAAACAAATAGATAGAGACAGACAGACAGACAGACAGACACACACACACACACACACACACACACACACACATACAAGACTAGTTTTGTATATATAACACATACAAAACTACAGTTCAAAAGCAACAGCAACAAATCCATAGCAGTAATAAAACAGCACTAAAACAGAGGCTCTAATTTATAAAATCGAACAACCTCAAAAAGAGTCCCACTAAGCATCAAGAAAAGAAGGGTCCAAACAAACCTCATTTGGAAAGCCAAAGGGATGGGTCTCCCCAGAGAACTGCCTCCCTGCCCAGGATATTCTGGGCCTTGGCTTTTCAGTTCTCTCCCTCAATCTCTGCCTCCTTCCCTAATTTGCAACAGAAAAGAGGAAGGAAAAATACAAGCTAATGTTAATAATTTTAAAAAGAGGGAGTCCTTTGCCAGCTGATGTGGAAAATAAGAATATCCCATCAATTTAAACGTATACATTAATATAAGCAGTCCAAACAGGTGCCTAAATGAAACTGGGGTGATTGTAAGAAAGGGCGGTGAGATCTTCAAACCACCGGGTGATAGATGATGGGTGTTCATCCTTCCGGAGAGCTGGTCCACCCATCCACTGCTTGGATGCAGCTTTTGCCTGCACTGCAACATTGTCCCTAAAATGCAGGTCTTTTCCCCACAGAGCTGAATGGAGCCCATAGATTTATGTGGTGCAAAATAAAGGAGACCCTTTGAGATGTGACTCCTTTGAGGTGTGAACTGAACCTACCCCATGCCTTTGGTGACTCCAGACATTAAAAATCAAGGCTGCATCCCAGGTTCTGTGTTTTGAGCATGCCTTTTTGCAACCAAATGCTGGGAACTGTCCCCCCCCCGGTAAGGTTAGTCAATCTGGCTCAGAAACGTGCTTAACCTCAAAATTATTGCAACAGAACTAACCAAGGTAGATAAGGGGAAAGATACAGGCACCCTGCTACACAGTTGCTCATTTTTTTAAAAAAATAAAACAAACCTGCTCCTATCTCCCAGTATTCTGGCCTGTGAATGTAACTACACTGGTGTAATTAATAATAATTATTATTTATTATTCATTATTTATACCCCGCCCATCTGGCTGGATTTCCCCAACCACTCTGGGTGGCTTCCAACTGAAGATTAAAAACAATACAGCATCAGACATTTAAAACTTCCCTAAAGAGGGCTGCCTTCAGTTGTCTTTTAAAAGTAAAATAGTTGTTTATTGCCTTGACATCTGCTGGGAGGGCGTTCCACAGGGCAGGAGCCACTACCGAGAAGGCCCTCTGCCTGGTTCCCTGTAACCTTACTTCTTGCAATGAGGGAACCGCCAGAAGGCCCTTGGCGCTGGATCTCAGCTGAACGATGGGGGTGGAGATGCTCCTTCAGGTATACAGGACCTTGGCACTTTTTTAAAAAAAAGAGGGGGACCCTCTGTAAAATTATTGGTCTATCAAGCTGAACAATTTCTGCACTGACTAGCAAGGGATCTCCAAGATTCCAGACAGGGACATTCCCAGCCCTAAATGGAAAAGCCGGGGTTGAACCTGAGATCTTCTACATTCATAGCAGATGTTCTACCTCTGAGCTAATATCCTTCCCCATGAAACAGGAGAGTTTGCCTGAGAACCCCTTTGCATCTAACAGTAAGCAAAACCATGGTTTATTATTAATAATAATTTGATTATTTCGTGCAAACAATGCACAGCTTACACCAATGGTTTAACTTGGATAAAGGCAGCTTCCTAAATTCCTGTATTTGCTTTCAAAAATTAAAATGTATACTCTCCTGCTTTGAAAGGCTTTCGTCTTCCCAGTTATAGACATGGGCGCAGTGAGGAAATTTTTTTGGGGGGAGGCTTTTGTTAGTGGGGCAGAACCTCAGATTTGCATTGATTTTGATTTGATTACCGCCCCCCCCCCCCAGCTATGTCCATGGTTTTGGATGCTGTTGGATATATGGCTTGGGGGTGAACCCAGCAGGGTGGGGGAAGACCAACTGAATTTGGCAAGATGGTTGCTTTAAGACGCAGTTAAGTAATTTTAGGCTCTGGGTGTTGATGGTCTTATGGAGAAGAGTTCTATAGATCATAATGTATATTACTTCAACCTACTTCAACATGTGCAAAACAAGCTCTGTTGCATTTGCCCCCCCCCCCACCCTTTTCAAAAGAAAAATTAAACACAGGTGTATTTTTTCCAAATGTTGAAACAAAGAGAACAACATTTCATTTCAGACCCATCTCTGACACCAACATCAGAATCCTAAAATGCTCAGGCTCAACATTTGGTGAACTTCCAAGAGGAAGAGAGTTTTAGAGCTGGGAATCGACCACCATGAAATCGCTGTTTGTTTGAAGGCACGTGTGGATTTTAATGCTTCAAAATCCTTCACTGTGAGTCAGTAGTGGAACTTACCTCTGAATAAACATGCATTGCAAAGAGGGATTTTTCTTGTCTCATCTGACTGCAAGTTTTGATGGGCAGATTGAAGCTGCAGACCAGAGAGACATGCTTGGCAGCATTCAGCGAGTTGTTGGTTAAGTTGAAATCTGACTCTGGATCTTTTATGTTGACCCAGGTTCATCATGGGGGGTGGGGGAGATAATTGGTACCCTGTAGTTAACTTTAAAAAAGAAAGAGGAGGAAGAAGAGTTGTACCAAGACGCCAAGCCTGCTAGGAATTCAAACCTTCTCTCCTGGAACCCTTTTTCTTTGAGAGCACGTAAGAGCATGTGCAGAGTGTTTCCTGAAACCTAGAGAGGAATCCTGGGCAGTCCCCCCCCCCCCGCAAACAACATATATCTGACAAATGCAGGGGGTGCTATTTCAATATAGATTTTGAAGAATCACCTATTTTAGGTGCTACCTAATCTCAAGGTTTGTGAAGATGGGCTCCGGTTGCTAACAGCTGAGCGGAAATGCATTTTGCACATGCTCGGCGGTGCCGCCTCTTCCACGTTTTCCGGGGCTCCCATTCCAAAATAGCTGCTTCTTCTGTGCCTGAGCTGAGCCTGGCGCTTAACTGGAGCTCTGTAATCCTCGCTGAGATTACTGCAAGGGGAGACGGGATCGGTTGTGCGACTGAGCGATTATTATTTTATTTCATTATTAGTTCCGGATTAACTACTACAGGTTTTGTTTTGGCTGTTCGCTGCTTTCGGGAACGCCCCCTAGGGCTGGCCATAGGTTGCGGTGTGTGTGTGGGGGGGAATTCGAGGACCTTTGCCCTGTAGGGGGCGCAGGGTCTCCGCTCCCCACACATTGTTTCGCCCCATTTTGCATTCGCACGTACATTTTTTTAAAAAGTATACTGCGCTCGAACCGAATCTGGATGTCTGCGGGGAGGGAGGTGCTCAGGTCACCCCGAGAGGAGAGGGGGGTCTTTCTCTGCCTTTGTAGGGATCCCCCTTTGTTACCAAGCATCTGGGGAAAGATGGTTGCCGGTCTCTCCTCCCCCTCCTTCTTCCCCTCCCCTGATTTCCTCCCCCCACCCCCTTTCCCTTCCTTGTTGGCAATCTGGATTGGCAGAGGCGGAGCTGGGGGGAGGGGATCTGGGGGGAGGGGTCTTTCCCTGGGGGTGGGGGGAGGTGGTGTTTGCAGTCAGAGAGTCAAAGGCAAGTGAAGGTGGAAAGACAGACGGAGCGACCGAGCGCAGCCGCCGCGGACGAGAGGGAGGCAGGCAGGCAGACAGACAGACAGACGCGCGGACAGTGGGTACCAGAAAAACGGGGTGACATTTTGTGGGTGGGAGGGGCTGCCAGTCTGCAAAGCGCGGCTGTCCTTTTTTCCTATCCCCGGCTCCTTCTTCTTCTTCGCCTCTGACCTCCCCCGATCCCTTGCGAGCACCCCGAAAGGGAGGGAGGAGAAATCTGTTGCCAGATGTTGCCTAGTTTTATAGGAGATTAAATGCCCCTGCAGGCAGAATCTCCCGCTTCCCTCCCCCCGCGCACACCCCTAAATCGGGTGCCTAACCTCCCTAGAGCTAAGTATACAAAAGCCGCCTCCCCCCCCCCCCGCCTCTTAAAAAAAACACAACCAAAACCAGAAGAATCCTCTGTTGCTTTTCGTTGCTATTGCTGTGAGTATTTTCGGGGAAATGTCTTGTGTGTGTCGGAGCCCCCTCCCTTCTCATCCTCCTCCTCCTCGCCCGCGCCATGAGCTGCTTTGATTTGATTTCCTGCCCGCTTCCTCGATTCGCTTTGCGATTGACACGATCAACAGACTCAAATGTCAAATGGAAAAACACTCCGGATGGGAGGCACCCCTCCCTCCCCCCCACCCCAGCCCTCGAAGGGCCAAATTGCTTATGCGTTTTGGGGAGGGGGGTAAAGAAAGAAGAAGGAGAGGCGGGTTGCCCCCCCTGGTCTCCATGTGAGAGGGGGGTCTGTCAGGATGGAATCGGGAAATACGGGGGGGGGTGGCTGCGGGATTTTTGCCTTCTGCTGGAGGGAGAAGGAAGGCGGGGGGTCGCTCGGAGGATTAAGTGGGTTGCAACTAGAGGAGGATTTGCAAGCTGCAGGGTCCCTGAGCTCTGCTGGAAGCGAGGAGAGGTGAAACTGGCGTCTGTATGTGCGTGTCCCAAATCTGCCGGCAGCTTGGTCCTATTTCTGGGAGTGAGCAGTAAGCCCCAGTGGGTAGAAGCAAGGGGGTGGGGCTAGGAGGTGAGGGGGCCAGGGTGCTAGTGGGTCGCAAGAGGGATGGATCTGGGAGGCAGGAGGCAGAGTGCAAGGAGCTCGGGCTCTTTCTGCAAGGCTTGGCAGGTTGGAGAGCAGTCCGTGGTGGAGTCAGCACTCCTGGGTTCTCTGGGAGGTGTGTGATCAGGTGAGAGCAGGTGGGTGTTGCCGCCTTGGGCTCTCTGAGATCTAATGCTAAGGACCATAAAACCCAGGGTTGTCTGGGAGAGGAGGCAGTGGGGCGAGCATCTGGATTCTGCCCTGGCTGTGCAGAAGAAGACTTCCAGAGGCATACCGTGCTGTCAAATCAGTGTGCTGGGAGTTCAGCCGAGGCTCCTGGCTTGTTGGAGAGAAGAGTCAGAGGGTTTGAAGACCAAGGCTGGGATGCCTGGATTTTTTATTCCTGGCTCAGGGAAGGGAGCCGGGTCTCATGGGGTCAGGGCCCAAAGAGATAGGAAGCCGCTCATCCCCTTTGGAGCAAGGAGGGTGACTGGGTTTGGGCTTTTTCCCATTTTTTGCTGCATGTTCCCAGCCCCCAAGCCTGGTGGGGCTTCACGTGGCCTCAGCTGCAGGTGTGTGCCTGTGTTTCCAGCTCCTCTGGTGTGAGTGCCAAGGCCGCCTGGCACGTAGGCCCTTCCTGTGTTGGCACCTGGAAGCTCTGTGGCAGCCTACATTACCTGGAGCTAACTTTCAGCTTTCCACAGTCTTCAGCAGAGCAGCAGCAGCACAGTCTCCCGCCCCCTTGCCATGTGCTTGGGTTCTGCTACTGAAGACACCAGAGATCTTTCCCACATGTAGCACCTCCTCACACATAACCTCTTGACTGTACTAGATGTGAGCACATCTAGGAACCCCCATTGCCCACTTTCCAAAAAGAAGGTCTGGGAGTAATTGGGCTTATTTGGAGCAAGCAGTGAAGGGAAAACAGACCAGTTTTAGTTGTAACGTCTCACGTGCATGGACATTAAGACTCTCCACACACAAACACACATGTCCTGGTATACACAAGTAGCTATTGTTGTTGTTGTTGTTTTAAAATTGGAGTACCTGTTTGTTGGGGTCTGGGGATGATATGTGCATAGCCTAGGCCTCTGAGCCTCAAAAAGAAGTACACAGCCCACGATGGGCTCAGTAAACCTAGTTTTGCTGCTGTCTTGGGACCTCCAAAACGGGGAGGGGGTTGACAAGCACATGAGAAGGCTGAGTATACCTCCACCCCTTTGTAGCACTTCCTTTCTAAATAGGTGTTGCCAGGGCTCAGATCTGCCTTTGGTAAAGTGGGGGAAGTGGGGTAGAAAAATCACTGCACGTGCTCAGAGGCACTCTTTACATTTCAGAAAGGCTGGTTGTGAAAGCAGGGGGAGGGAGGGAGATTCTCCGGCTTATTCAGCCCTGGATCAAACCTGGCTGTGTGAGTTGAGTGAGAGAAAGAGAAAAGCGGGGGAAGAGGGGATACCCCCACCCAGCTAAGCAGCCTTTTAACCACGGCTTCTGAGGTTCTGTGCAGTATTGGCTTGGTGAATGGAAATCTTCCTGGCAGGGCTCCCTTTGTCTTTAACATCTGTGCAGCAGGCATACATTCAACAGGTGGGGCTTTCCTTCCAGCAGAGCAGCTCTGTGCCAGGGAAACTGCACCTGTCCGATTTTTTGGCTTACCATTCAGCACCTGAAAACACTGGAGCCCTACCAAGGTGAAGAAGAATAGCAACAACAAAAAAACAGCGACTGTAGAAAGGACTATACAGCAAGTGAGACAAAATCTGCGAATGCAGCATACATCTAAAGCACCCACCCAAGAATGCTGGGAATGATAGTTCACCCCTGGCAGGGCTACAGTTCCCAGCACCCTTACCAAACTACAATTCCCAGGATTCTTGGGGGAAGGTGGATATGTGCTTTAAATGTATGGCTTGTCAGAAGTAGAGTACCTAGCCCCAAAAGTACTTTATTGCATTCTGTGCCAGCAGATCAGCCGCCGTTCTCTCTGCAAACCTCATTCTCCCTTTTGTACCTTCCTAGCCAGGGACCGGGGAGATCCTGGCTTCCCCCACTTCTGCCTGGCCTTCTCTGCCCTGGGAAGGTCTCTGTGTGCAGCTGCTGCTTCAGTGATTGGCTGGAAAAATTCTCTTCTGGATGCCTGTTCCTTCCAGGCCCCGTTAAGGGCCCCAGAGTGACAAGGAGCACCCCGGGGGAACTGGATCGCTGCCCGTGCCAGGGTGATCAGAACAGCTATTTATGGCCCAGGAGGGGGATCCTTGGATGGAGGCCAGAGTGGAAACCAGCCACAGCACCTGGGAGGGAGAAGAAGAGGGAAAGAGAGGAGGAGGAGGAGGAGGAGGAGGAGAAGAGGGAGCCTGGGAAAAGGGGGGACCTCCTGCTTTTATGGGGCTTCTGGCAGCCCCTCTTCTTGTTCCAGCAATGGAACCTGGTGGTGGGAGAGAGGGAAGGAGGGAGGGAAGGAAGGAAGGTTCACAGCTCAGCAAGGGGAAAGTAGCCTAGTTTGAAAGAGCAAAAGAGGGCCGGGGAAGAGGATGCCTAGCCATCCTGCTCCCTCATTGTTCCTCTCTTTTTTCTGTTCATAAAATTTAACTCCAGTGCAAAATAAACAAAACAAACAAACCCTCAGTAGCATGGTAAGGCTTGCTTGAAGGTATCTACCAGGGAGAAGAGAGGAGATAGATGTTGCCCCAGTTTGGATAAAAACCTCTAGTTTGGGTCACAGGTTCCTGTGTCTTTGGTTAGCTGCCAGATAACGGGAACCGGCCCTTCCATGGTTCTAGGGGGTCTATGGGTTCGTGGTGGTTGTTTGGTGTGCTCTTGGACTCTCTCTCTCTCTCTCTCTCTCTCTCTCTCTCTCTCTCTGGGGGGGCATGCACACACAGACACCCGCACACGTACTTTCCCCTTCTCCAGAGTGCCCTGGGGCAGGAGGGAGGACGGTTCCATTTTTCAGATGCATCGAAATATGTGAGTGTTGGCAGACTATATGCAGACACACCCCTTACAAGCACAGTTCATTACTGCATGTTCCAGAATGGTCCAAAGAGCTTTGCAGTTCCTGCCTTTCTTCTTCTTCTTCTTCTTTGTAATCCTTCCAACAGCCCCATGGGCTACTCCTCAAAGGATGCCTGCACCATCAAGGGATAACTTGCATGTTTGAATGAGCTGCCGTAGTTCTAACTCCCCTCAGATAGAACTTCCTTTAGGGATTGTCTTCCTCAGTACAGTGGTACCTCTGGTTACAAACTGAATTTGTTCTGTAGGTCCATTCTTAACCCGAAACCATTCTTAACCTGAGGCGCACTTTCACTAATGGGGCCTCCTGCTGCCTCTGTGCCGCCGGTGCACAATTTCTGTTCTCATCCTGGGGCAAAGTTCTCAACCCAAGGTACTACTTCTGGGTTAGCAGAGTTTGTAACCCGAAGTGTTTGTAACCCGAGGTACCACTGTAGTGTGTACGTTCACATAATCCATTGACAGTCACCACATGAACAGTAATAAAAGCTGCAGTCCTCAACAAGTGTGCCATGATGGCCACTGTTGTTGGACTTCCAGCTCCTTTCAGTCCCAGCCACCATGGCCAAAAATCAGGGATGATGGGAGTTGTAGTCTACTTTGGCTGGTCCCTGTATTACCGAACTAGCCCCATGGTGGGACTAAAATGCATTGTGTCATGTTGCAGGCACAGAGAGAAATTCTGATACACCCGCATGTGTGAATCGGCCCTGGGAAAGAGATTTGCCCAAGACCACTCAGTGAACTTTGTAGTAGCTTAGGGCTATTTCATATACAGCATTTTTTTCCTAGGCACGGCCAGGATGATTTAAATTATAAAGAAAAGAAGAAGGCAGGCTTAGATCATTGACTTAAATAAATCAACTTCTACATTTTGAAATTCACATATTTCCTGAACAGGCATGAGCAAGCTGGCGGATTGCTGTAGCACAATTCAAACATTGGCTTGCATCCAGGCTCAAGTCAGTTGCACTCTGGGCACTTCCAGGCTGTTGCTATTCTCAAGTGGAATTCAATCGCGTACTGGCAAATTTGGGTAGTGCAATTAGAGCTGATTGGGAGAGCTTGCGCAGCAAACACACTTCCTCCCCCAATGGTTGGACTTTCTGCAATTTTTTAAAAAATGCACTGGGAAGTGTGGGATAAAGCTTTCTCTGCAAACAAATTAGTATGTATGAATGCTTATTAAATGGCCCACATTGTCTAATTTTCATGCAAATGAATCAGGAGGAATGCTCAAACAGGTTGCCTTTGGCACCCTTAATTCCCACTGAAATCAGTGAGGCTTAATTTAAGTCACAACTAACTTGTCCCATTGATTTCAGTGGCAACTAACTCTGCAATCATATATGCATATTCCCAGAAGTAAGCCCTGCTGAATTCAGTGAGACTTTCTCCCAAGTAAATGTGCATAGGGCTGCAGCCTAACTTCAGTCAACTTAGTCTGGATCTAACCTGCTCGTTTGAAACTAAATGAAGTCTTAATATCAGCTAGGAACATGATCCAAAATGTGTGGCCATGGTATTCACATGCACAGCACAACTACATCTGTTAGAAGATAAATTTCTTTTGGGCTCTCTCTGTGCTATGTGAGAATACTAAGCAAGATCACTTACTTGGAAGTTAAGGTTGCAGTCATGTGCATATTTATTTGGAGCTAAGTCCTGTTGAACAAAGTGGGATATACTTCCAGTAAACAAGTATAGGACTGGGCTGTAAATGTCCAGAGCTTTCTGTAAACATAGGTTAGTCATTGCTGGGCAAAACATTGTTTGCCCATCAGATGGAAAATAAATCTCCACGTAGTTTGTTTAGCAGGTTCAAAAACAAGTGTCTTACTAGTCAACTATTATATGCAGTCACCACCTATTCCCTTCCTTGACTCCTCTGGCACGCACAGAGGGCTTTGGGAGAGGCAGGGTCACAGAATCATAGAATTGTAGAGTTGGAAAGGACCCCAAGGCTCATCTAGTCCAATGCAGGATCATCTGTTGTCTATGCCTGGCATGGAGAGGACAAGAAACAGCTCGAGTCTCATGCTGATTGGAAGGCGCTCCGGCTGTTTCTTACCTGCTCAAAAACTGCACTGGCAATTGAACCTCTGTCAGGTGCTGAATGTCCTGTTTGCTAGAGGACGGGGGGCGCTCGTCCCGGGTGAGCTGGCGAATGAATTTGTGGAGGCCGATGCAGAAATATTCATAATTTGAGAACTGGGACACTCTGAAGAGCTTCGATAGTTGGAAGGCGCACACTATAAAAGAGCCCAAGATCACCAATATGGTCTCCCGTGGATGATCCTGGTGGTATGTAGGAGAGCACATCTGTATCCTAGTGTTTACAGTCACCAGGTGCATTAGGAAGCCCTTGGCAATAAACAGGATACACAAAACTTATGCATCGTTATGATGCTTAACCTCAGCAGTCAAGCGCCCTCTGCCCACCAGAGCTTTTTTTAAACAGACCAGACTTTAATTTATACAGTAATCTGTTTGATAGATGGCCGTGATTCAGTTTTAAGAGTTTGGCAGTAAGAACTGGAACCTGTTCCATTCAGGTGCTATTTTAGATGGGTTGCTTGGGGGTTGAGGGAGACCTATGATGTATTTTGAAATGTTTTGTTAAAAAGTCAATTTTAAAAACAATCACACTGATTTTTATGCATCCTGAAGGGGGGTAGCTTTCCGCATCAACTGAACAGGGAATAGTCTAGCCACTGAACATACCAGTCCAGAGAAGGGGGAAGGGAGGAATTGGGAAAAGGATGACGTGGGCTTGAGGAAACCTCAGGATTTAGGGTGCGGATATGCATGGGGCTGGAGAGCTAATCTTTCAGCTAGGCTTTTAAGTTTTTTACTTCTGGCCCCTCCAGGTAGTTACTAAAAAAGAAAATAAATTGTGAAATATAAGCATAGATTTCTTTTTTGTATGATTGGAAAGATCACAGTTATGCTGTGTATAGAGATTAGGTTCCCTCAGTGCAAAATTTGGATGGGGGAGGATAGCACCACGGAGCATACACCTTCAGTGTATGCACACTTGTAACATCTGCTTTGCATGTAGAAGGCCACAGGTTCAATCCCTGGCATCTCTGTGTAGGGCTTTCCCGACACCCTGGGGAGCCTCTGCCAGTCAGTGCAGGTAATACTGAGCTGGGTGCACCTATGGTTTGATGCAGTGTCTCTGCTGGTGTACCACTCTGCTCCACATGTCACAGCGGCTCTCGTTAACTACTGTAGCGCTTGATCGTGTATTGCACTCCCAGCAGGAATGATCAGGGCTGGTGCTGTGCCAGCTGCAGGGCTTAGCCAAGGGGTTCCACTGCCACAGGAAGCAACGGCATGGCACAGTTCAAGAAGTGCCTCCCCGCAATCTCTTGCTCCTTTGCCGAGAATGATGGGGTACAATGGCGCTCGTCAGAATTGCATCCTGACACCCATTGGGCTATTGCAAAAGATTCTGGGGTGCAACTCTCAGAGCACTGTTTTTTAATTGGAACCCTTAAACTAAGCGATACCACTTGGGTTGTTTTTGATGTCAGGCTGACCCTGGGCCCCTGCCAAGGAATGGTCCTTTATATCAAGTTGCACTCCATTACATAGCCAGAGGATTTGGATCTAGGACAGCTGGGTTCACTTCTTCAGCTCTGTCCAGGACCCCCTGTGTACCCTTAGACGAGTCTCTCTCCCTCAGTCCCCCAACCTGTAAAATGGGAGGTTTATTGCATAAGGCATAGGGCCATTGGTCAAAACACAGTCACATAAATGCCACAGATTAAACAACAGCACAGTGCCGCAAAATATCACACATACCCGCAGACTTTTAAAAGATATTATTTCAACCACAACAACAAAACACAGAACACCATTTTAGGTATGATATTTTTACAACTTGTGTTATGTCCTCCGTTCTTACACTTTGTCTTTGCAGCTGCCTCCGTGATAGTTAAACCAAAATAATAGCATCCTTATAGGCTTCAGTTATTTTCACAAGTAATCATGATGCAGAGTGTTTGAGATTTTAAAATTTATTTTGCATCACCTGCATCAGTAATTTTAAAGTGACACCTACCTCATATGTTCTCTGTTCCACTTTCAATCCCACACTCACAACTTGGCACACATTTGTTTTCAATTATTTATTATTTAAATTTGTATCCTGCCTTTCTGAGGAATAGTCTCAAAAGCATCTAGCAGAAATAATACACATGCAATCAACTGATATACGATAAAATCAATACAACCTGCCGGAGATCCACAGTATGGGCAGTTTTATGTGTGGTGTTCAAAAACACTCTTTGATGGACAATGAGGCTCATCTCTTTGTTAAAGTAAGGCCAAGATTTTTGGTTGGTTCACATATACATTTCTTGACCTCTTCACTTAATGGCCAGTAGATAAATGTGTCACTGTAAAGTGATGCCACATTGGAAAGCATAACAGTTGAGTTCACACTGGGTAATATGCGAATTCTATTGGCTGGCATTTGGTCCAGGATGACTGATTCACATCTGCCATCCCTGCTTGATGGAATAGCCATCAGATGAGGACTATTCCTGTGTGAGCCATCACTAAGATACAGCAGAAAGCTTTGAGGAAAACTATGAGCAGCGGTGTACTTTGGTAATACAGCGCCCTGAGCAAGGACAAAATCTGGCACACACAGAGACCCTAAATATTTATTATTTTCACAATAATTCCTTTTGGTACAATTGCTTTTTCAATCAATCTTCTCAGTAGGTATCCATATAAATATAGGTGGTTATTTTCACCATCATTTTGTGCCCCCTTGGCTCTGCATTCTGTGCAGGGGAACTGCTTGTACTGCCCTAAATCTGGCTCTGCCATGAGTAGAGTCCTGACAGGAGCCCCATCCTCAGCCAGTGACTTATCAGATGCATGTGGCTGTGCCCCAGCTAATACACTGCTCGATGTCTGTGTCTCTTATATTTCGCTTCAGGAGCCATGACGGAGCTTCAGGAAGTGCAGATAACCGAGGAGAAGCCGCTTCTGCGAGCTCCAGGAGCACCTGATCCGGGCAAGGTCAGCAAAAGGACAGGATTCCCCTGACTCTCCCCTTCCCTGCCATCCCTCTTTCTCCTTCTCACCAGTGTACCCAAAGCTGTCCAGTCTTGCCTGTTTCTCTCCTTGTTCCTTTTCGTCTGAAGCAGATTGGCAAAGCAGACGCATAAAAAATCTCCCTTACGCTGAGCTCAGTAGTCAGTCCATCTGGCCCAATGGCGGAAGGGCCCAGTGCTTCAGGCAGAAGTTTTGTTTGTTTTGTTTTGTTTTTCCCCATCACACTGTTGCTACATCCTTGTAGCTGGAGAGGCTGGCAAATGAACTTGGGCTCTTTCATGTGCAAAGTCTGTGCAAAATATGTGCTCTACCCATTGGAGGCTGATCCGTTATCGCAAATGCCCCACCAACCTTACCTGCCTGCCTTCTTCCTTACATCCAGTCCAGGGGGCAGCTCTGGGTGTCAGTTTCTTCCCCCCTCAATCTCAAGTGTTGCCCTTGTAGAATGCGGCAGGGAACAGGAGGGGGACAAAACCAGAATTAGTTGGCTGCGCCTGGCTTTGGTGCTGGCTCTGGCTCCACCTACTGGTGGCCTCCCTGCCTTCCACCCTACCAATCCCAATGGACACCCACCACCACTGACTCTACCACCAATCCATGGCCCCTCCAGATACCTAAAAATTGCAACCTCTGCCAATCCACCAATTCTGCTGGCCACATCCATAGAGGTGACAGAGCTCTACTGAGAGACGAAGCATGTCTCTTTCAAAGCACTGCAGGACAGAGATGCAACAGCTGGACCATCTCCTCTATTGAGGAAGGGGGAAAATTCAGAAACTCATGCTCTACCACTGCGCTGCAGCCCTTCCCTGGTTGTTGCTATTTGAGAGCTTTAACTCTCTGAATAGTAGTATAAACCCTTATCCTCCCTTGGTCTATGCAGAGGGCTTGTTTTGCCTTCCATTGATGATGAAGTGAGACATTTATATAAACTGGTTGACCGGAGAATCACATACCAGGTCCAGGGCATTATCAGAATTGCCAAAGCTGGCCTGTTCTTGGATACCCAGCAGAGCCTTGAGCTTCCAGACGTAAACGCTGGAATATGAATGAATGCAGTAAATAAAACAGCAAAAAAAACACTTGCAGAAATGTTGCACTTACAATCCTTTGCGGTCATGCTGCTGGGGGAGATTTAGGTCCAGACTTGTCCAGCCTGTTGTTGTGTTTCTGGAGCTGCACCCCAAATCCACAGACATTATGAACTGTACCCAGTGTTAGTCATACTCAGAGTAGACCCATTAAAATGGCTAACATAGGTACATTAATTTCAGTGGGTCTCCTTTTGAGTAAAAGTTAGGTGAATGGAGCCCCTAGACTACTTATTTTAATTTTCGGAGGCAACAGAGTTTGACCTGACCAAAGAGATGATGTGGTATCTGTTTTAATAAACCACAGAGTGTATTTGGATAGAAATCAAACCATTGATTTATATGATCAACAGGTTGCTTTGTATCTAAATGCCTTGGCGCTATCTACTTTGTCATACTCAATACCTAGGGATGCTGTCAACAAAGGATCTCCCTGCCCCCAAGCTTGTGTTCCATGCGAAAGCAGCTCAGCCTTTGCAAAGGACGGTGCAGCCAGTTAATTCCTTTTTACTCAGGTGCTAATCACTTCCCAGCAACTGATCTCAAAACTGTGAAATCACCTGGGTTAAGTAAGGTGTGGGTGGGTGTGCAAATGTTCCCAGGAAGTCATATTCTTAATCATAGAAGTCCTAGGATATGTGGCAGGGAGAAATCTGGCACAGGTGTGCTTTTAGCCCAGGTGTCCTTACCATTGGACACAGGTTGCCAGGACTGCTCTGGTGAACAATACAGTCTAAATGGCTAGTTTCTTTGGGGAAGCATGGGTAGGGAGCAGGCCTTTGCCTTTCCCCAAAGACACAGTATGACCTCAGCTAAGCAATGCATCATTTAGCAGAAAGCATGTAAGGAAGCAGGTTGAACCCTTAGCGTTACAGCTCTAGAGTGCAGTTAGCTTTCTGGTGAGTCCAGTTTTGCTCAATGTCTGCTCTTTGCCCGTGCCGGTAAAAAGGGCCCCTATCTATAGCAGGAAGTCTCTGCACCCCCTTGATTTCTGCTCCCCTGCCCTATTCCCATAACTCTGATTCTTTTTCCTCACTTACTTCCCACCCTGCATTCTCTGTCTGTCTGTCTGTCTTCCCCCCTCCTTTCTCTTTCTCTCTCTCTCTGTGTTCTAGGATGCTGAACTGATAGCAGCCAAACTTCTGCAGGAACAAGGCCAGGTAATCACCACCCCTTCCCCTCTTGTTCACGGGGACAGAACTGGTGCCCCGAACCCTCAGAATGCCAAAAATGCCAAACAGAAAGAAGCTATGTTAACCCCTCAGTGATCGTTCCTTCTCTCCTTGTTCTATCCACACTGGGTATACTGTGCATCCAAGCATTGCAGTTGCTGCCTGATGGACTGAGCAGAAATCTTGCACGTGCACCTTTCCCTCAGCCTGGAGTTCCAGAGTTCTACCCAGGGGAGCCAACTTGGGCCTAAAGTTATGGGTGCCCGTGACGTCATGACGCCTCGGAACCTGACTTCTGGTGGCAAGGCCTCAGGGATGCTGTCCAAGGTCCCGCGAGGTCTGGGAACCCGAGGTCTTCTGGTGCCACCAGAAGTCGGGTACCAAGGTCTCGCGAGGTCTCGGACAGCATCACCGAGGTCTCACAAGACCTTGGACATGACTTCTGATGCTTTCGAGGCACCAGACATTGCATTGGGGGCTCTGCAGTGTGGGTGCTAAGTACCCACAACAAAGATTTTGTTGGCGCCCCTGGTTCTACTCCTGTTGAATTCCTGCCAACAACTCCTGTTGATTTGCTACTCTGGGATGAGACACTGAGTCCTTCTTGAGGGAGAAGCAGCAACCCTAGTCTGTGAAGGAAGAGTGAGCTTTCAGCACAGGGATGGAGAGGCTGTCACCTTCCAGTTGTTGTTGGATCCCCAACTCCCATCACCTCTGACCACTGGCCATGCTGATCAGGGCTGGTGGCAGTTGGAGTCCTTCTGGAGGGTCCACATCTGCACAGTTTATTTAGCAAGTCAGTGTAAGCCAGGTGTTGGGAACCTTTGGCCCTCCAGATGTTGCAGAATTACAACTCCCATCAGCCCCAGCAAGCATAGCCAATGGCCAGAGAAGACAGGGGTTGTAGTTCCGTAACATCTGGAGGGTCAAAGGTTCCCCACATAAGCAGATAATGGAGTCATGACTTCTGTGTAACCAACTTAAGGCCTTGTGAGCAGGAGCTGAGGGCACCTCTGAGGTTGCCACCTTTCTCTGTATGCTGAGAAAAGATGCCTCTGTCAAACTGAAACAGAGCACTGCCTTAGAGTGTGTCAGACCACTGGTCTACCTAGCTTTCTTATTTCCTATGCTTGCTGACTATGCTCTTGTCTATACTCTGCACGGTTTCAGGCAGGGGTCTTTCCTAGCCTTACTTGGAGATTCAAAAGACCTCTTGCACAAGATCTCGCAATGAGCCACCTTTAATTTCTCCATTATATAATCATTAAAGGCACAACAGCTCTCCCGTGGAATCTTGGCTCTGGCCCAGCCTGTTTCTTGTTTCTTGTCTTCAAGATATATAGGAGGCACCTTTGCCAACTCCAGCAGGCTAACACTATTCTTCCTTGCCATCTACCAGTCAGTTCCGTGGTCAGTGCCAGGACCTTGATGGGCTTGAATTAAAGCTTCTACCATCCTTGCTTCCACTCTCTGGCCTTAAATGGCTGTGGGATGTGCAGAACTTCAACATCTGCAGCTTATTCCATCACTTGGGTTGCCAGGTCTTAGAAATATCCCTGCTCCTATGCCTTTAACGGGCAAGTCCAGCCATGCTCATCCCTTATGTTATGAAAAGCTTTTCCTGCTGACTTCTGTAAATCAAGCTGCTTTCAGAAATGCAGGAGCAGCCGGGACAAGTTCTGTCACCACCACTATGTTGAAGAAAGCTGCACCTGTTGAAATCCCTGCTTGTCATCCGGCTAAAAAGGTGGCAACTCTTCTCTGTTTAGTCATGACCTCATTGACCAGCCTTAGGCAAGGCAAAGTCCCATTTGGTAAAATAGGAAAATATAATTACAGGGTTGTTACGAGGTTTGTTGACACAGCAGGTATAAACGGAAAGAGGCAACCCTTTATATAATGGAAATGCCAAATAATAGCTGCTCTTCCTGATTGCAAAAATCTTATTGCACCAGTCCACCCACGCGCAAGGTAAGTCATTCTTGTGCCCATTTTCCAAACGAGGAACTAAAGCTCAGGAAACTTAGGTCTGTCCAAGACCACCCAGCATGACAGGGATCTGGTCAAATAATTAAACTATATTTGCATTTCATCCCAGAGCTAGAGGCAGACTCCTGGAGGCTTGGCTTCCAGACCTTACCAGCTGTTAGGATTCTAAGCTGCACTTGGTGGGTGACAAGTTTAGCTTTATTTATTGCTCCCTCTAAGAGTGAACGGAAGTGGGGTGTGCCAAGAAAAATGGAGCCAAAATGAGGTTGCTGAGTAACAGGAGGGGCAGTATTGGTAGCCCTGATGTTTTCCCAAGTCCAAAAATATATTTTAAAGGAATTAAACAAAACCCAGTTGGACCAAAAAGAGAGAGAGAGAAAGACAACCTAGATGGACAAAAAACCCCAAAAAAGCCCACCAGTCCAAGCTGTCAGGGGGAGGATATACTGCAAAATTTTGTTGCAGTTCCACTTTGTTTATTATTTTAATAATTCATTCAGTGGTGTAGTGGGTAAATGCTGGTGTTCGTGTACTCTTCATGACAGGCCTGATAGCCAAGCCCCTCCTAAGCCTATACAAAAGAAGAAGAAAAACTTTTGACAGCATTTTCCCCCCTCAACCCATCCCCCACTTTGAACAGTTTGGGTGGGCTCAAAGTCTTGGTCAGTATTTTGTGGCATTTTGGTTGGTCATGATATAGGGATCTGGGATTTTTTTCAGAAAGAAAAGTGCCAGTTTTAGCCTCTTAGCTATGCTTGCTAAAGCTACCTCCCTCTTCCTCTGTTTAGTTTATATGGTGGGTTTCTCTGAGTTAAGCTTAATTATTTGGCACATAAAGAATTGGCAAGTAATGCCCCCCCCCCCGAGATGACTGCCCCTCCCTGTTCCACCACACTACTGCATTAATCGCAATATTTCTATTGAAATGTTTTTGGGAACACAAACATGCACACAGGTGCCAAATCATCCAAAGTCAACACAAAAGCAATAAAACTACAACCCATAAAACAAATCAGAATGCAGGAGAGTAGATAAGAAAACGTAAGATTAGATTAGGCTGCAATAAACAACAGTAGCTGGTGTGCCTACATGGATGAAACAAAAACCTCCCAAGGGGCTTATGGCTAGTTGAGTGACCAGATGCAAAAAGGGAAGAGGCCTCTGTGTATTGTCAGCTGGTACCATGTTGCGCACTCCTGCACTGGCATTATTCGCCAGCCCTACACAGCTGTTAAAGACACGGGAGCAATGTCTGCCTTTGTACCATGACTGAAAACCCACCAAGCCAAACACAACGCAACACTTTTCTGCAGCAGCAGCAGCAGCAGCCCACAAGGGATTTCCTCTTTTGACTTCCTGCCTGGGTTTGCAAAACCACAGAAGCTGCCAAGTATGTTGTGTTTAGGCACAGTCCATTCTCTACAAGTTGTACCCTTAAGTATAAGCCAGACTTCCATTCTGCCATGTTCCCTTGGCATAGGACAGGAATGGGAAGCCTCAGGTTCAGGAACCGCCTCCAGGCCTTTCTGTTTGACTTTTGGGACTCTTGTTCCTCACAGGCCATGTTTCACTGGCTCCCTTTACTTGAGTGTTTTTGCCTAGCTAGAACGTGTCCCCAAACTCTTATAATCCTTCTTTCCCATGCCTGGGTGGAGGATGGAGAGGGGTGTGAGAGTAAGTTAACATTTGTCATCTTGCCCACTTTTGCCTGCACTGCCACAACCACCTGATGTTTCCTAGAAGGGAATGTGACTCTCAGGCTAAAATAAGTTCCTCACCCCTGGCTTAGTAGAAACCCTGCTGCAGGACTGTATTAAGAGTCCTACCAGGGAGCTGTATATACAGTGGTACTTCTGGTTATGTACTTAATTTGTTCCGGAGGTCCATTCTTAACCTGAAACTGTTCTTAACCTGAAGCACCACTTTGGCTAATGGGGCCTCCCGCCACCACCGTGCAATTTCTGTTCTCATCCTGAAGCAAAGTTCTTAACCCTGGGTTAGCGGAGTCTGTAACATGAAGCGTATGTAACATGAAGCGTATGTAACCTGAGGTACCACTGTAACCCCGTTAGACATGCCTGTTAGTTGCCTCCCACAGTTTGTACACCAACATTCAGGCATTCTCCTGTTGTGTTTAATCGTTGTGTGAGAGGGGGAAGGCAAGGACAGCTCCTCCACCGCCCCCCCATTGCCATCCCTGTCATTCTCCATGAGTTGGATGGATAGCTTCTCTTCGGGATGCAGAACCTGATGTCATGGGCTGTATGCCAGGAACGGTGCATGAGCAGAGAAGACTTCCTGCTTCAAAAGTTAGCCCTCCAACTAACTCTTTGCTTCTGTCTCACTTGACCCCCGTGGGACGGGTTGAGGGAACTAGCACTCTTCTTCCCCGGTGCATGTGGGCTCAGGACAAGGAGAACGCTTGAATAGGGCTTGTGTAGGACCTGAATACAGTACTCAGGGTTCAGCAAACAACCTTCCTGGCAAGCCACAATGCCTGGCTGGTGGCCTCTGTTTGGCTCAGTGGGTGCTGTCCCGGACTATCATCTGTAACCATTAGTCACCGCTTCCCGCTTTGGGCTTGTGTCAGCCTTGCCAGCAAGTCTTAAATCTAGGCTCGTGGTTGCTTGCCTCTCTTCTGAACTGTTTCTTTCATCTCCACCTTTTACCCTTTTCACGCCTGTGTTATTGCCTTTCTGGAAAGGAGTATCTGCCTATGCCAAATCACTCAACCTTTCTCTGAGTGTCCAATTGCTTTTGAATACATTGAGTTCCCTTGTGTGCTATAAGAGAAAGCCTTAGCAGGAAGGGCTTGTAGAATAAACAAGGAACTTTAGAGAGAGAGAGGGAGAGAGAAGAAATGTGATTGTTTTGAATATTGGCCCAGGTTTCTCCCAGTGTATCATGGGAATGATAAGGTGGAGACGATCAGTCCTCTGACACTGAATTCTGCACTTGTTCTGGAATGTTGTGGGCAGTGTTTCATTTTTAAGGCAGCGAGTGCCAGCATAGTCTTCACTTATGAGTCATACCGCCTGACCTTGCGCACGCTTCAGATGTATTTCAAGATTACAACATGGCTTGGAGATGATTTGTACATTGGGAAAAAGCACAGAGGAAAGCGGATTATAATATATGTCCTTTCATAAAATTCCAAATTGGGATGAAAAGAAAATGAACCCTGTATACTCAAAACTACAAATAATCTATCTTACTTGGCATATTCCTGGACTGGACTTTACCAGATAAACAACATGTTCTGGGTTTGATTCCTAACTCATATTTAAACCATGGTTTGGCTACTATTCTCAATTTTATCCTGAGAGCCTTGGAAGGGATGCTGATTTTAATCTACAGGTCAAAAAACATAGAGTTGTCTTGAAGTAGTTGTAGGGACAAAATAAGCAACTAGTGATCTTGATGGTCTTGGCGGGTACTTGGGCAGCGGAATGAAAGTGAGCATCCCATGAATCAGAGTCTTCTTTAAAACAAAACACCAAGGTTCTAGTCCTCAAGGCTGTGAAGATAGGCATGAAAATAGAAGGGTCAGAAAATCAGAAGCTGAGGGTAGTGGAATAGAAGAGAAGAATATTAGCAATTTTTAATCACACTGCTAACTGGGTCTTTAACAGTATCATGATGTGCAGATAATATTTTTTTTAAAATAATTTTTATTAACCGGCCAATCAAATCAAATTAAATCACATCACATAAATTCCGAATTACAAAGCCGAATTTTAAATTTTGTTGGGGGGGCCCATATTTCAAGATCCGAAGGGGGATTCTGATCATCTTCTTGCTACTGCGTTAATGTCCAAATCAGTCCAAATCAGTCCAAACAGAGTTCATAATTCTATCCAGTCTTATCTTGCTGTTTCCACATCACATCTTGTTTATATATTTTCTCTTTTTTCTTTATGATCTCTTCTGATAGTCTCCTTAAGCCGATAAACACCAATAATAATAATAATAATCCTGTGTGAATTTTCCGTTCTTCCATTCCTCAAATCGAGATGGTTTCCATATATCATCGCCTTCATAGATAACATCGCTCTTTCCATCTCGCAAAGCTGTCGCTCTTAAGTCCCTCTGAGGAGTTTCACCCACAATATATAAACAGCTCTATTTCTCTCTTTCTCCTCCCAGACTCAAGACCTCCGACAGAACTTCCCAATATGGCGACGGCATTTTTAACTGCGTCATTCCCAAGCTCTTATACATTCCTCGCTCTTCTTAAAACATGTTTTGGTTCGAAAGTTTATCTCCACACAGCCTTAAATCCACAGCTTAAGTCCTTAAAACGACATTTCTGACTCGTGACTCGGGGGAGGGGATTCTTGGTAATCACATAAGAAAAGAAAGGAAAGTTTTTCCCCTCCCCTCAGTCATTTGCCATACCGTGTCTTGGCGTATCTTCTCATGTTTTATTCTTGTCTTGTTTTATCAGAGATCTCTTCTATAGCAGTCTTTACTCCCCTCCTTCCTTGAAATATGTGCATTCCTTCATCCAAATTGTTTTCTTTTGAAGTTCTAGCAGCTAGTGGCGCGAATCAGGGACGGCATCCAGGAGTGCCGGAATCCCACAGGAGGGCTTTGTGCCTAGTGACCCCATCCCCACAAGTTCGGGGGTGGTATAGGGCACAGCAGGCAAAGGCAGTCCCCCCCACCATCCTGGGGGGGTTAGGGAGGCTAATTACTCCCATCATAGCCTCCAAATTACCTCATGTGGTTCAGAGAGATGTTATTGTCAGCCATCTTCTGATGTGCCCCCTAGTGGCCCCCATGATGTGCAGATAATAGAAGGGGGGTAATATTTTATCTCCATACTGTGATAAGGTCCACCTGATGATTATATATTGCTGTGCATTGTTAGCAATGCTGGGGACTCAGTACTGAGCAGAAGTTCTAGCAGCCGGGATGGGCCATGGTACATGCATAGTAGTTTTCACCCCCCCATAACTAGCATAAGTAGAATAAACTGTGCAAAATAAGCGAAAATATCCAGTTTTGTGTGCGCGTGTGTAATTTTCATTTCCCACTCCTTGTTTTTAACCACACACCACACACAGCCTCAGATGTATGGGAAAGCAACAACTGACTGGGCCCTGAGTGGTGTTTTGACTTGACCCATTTCTCTGCTGTCTCTGAACCTAGTCTCAGCTCTGTCCCTTGAGGTCCCCTAATTTAAAAAGTGCACACAAACTAGGATTGAACCTACGTCTTTACTCATGCACTGTATGTTTTCTGTGCAGACAGCTGCTATGATCAGCATACACTGGAAGCCTGGAAGGGGAGGGGGACTAGGATCACAGCAACCAGCTCCCTCCCCACCCCCCATGTTGATTGTGCCTTGTACATAGAATCTATGCATGCAAAATCTTTATGAACATGTGATGTGCAACACCTGCATTTAGCTGGATCCCAGATTTCACAGAGGAAGCCCACACATATGCAATCAGTTTACGGGTTACAAGGAACCATCTAAGCACAGAGGTCAGAGATGGGGCCACCACCACTTATGACCTGACTTCTCCCTCCATGCACTCAGCATAAGTCTGGTTATGGCTGTCTGCACTGGGTTATGGTCTAGCCCTGTGATGTCACATTTGCTCACCCTCCTTTTTATCTCTCTCTCTTTTCCCCCTTCCACAGAAACACACAGTGGAGACACCTTATGGGGTTGTGACAATCACCATCCATGGGACACCCAAGCCCAAACGTCCAGCCATCCTCACCTACCATGATGTGGGACAAAACCGTAAGACTGGAGCACCCACTTGGTTGGGGCAGGAGGGAGGGGAGGTTGGGGGCTTTCCAAACGGTGCAACCCCAAGAGAGAACTTGGCAATTTGCCCTACAGTCTAGTTCGTAGAACGTTTGCGTCAAGGATCTTGCCATTCTGGAAGAACCCTAAAGAACTTTTTGTTTTGGTGGGGTCAGGAAGTCCCAACACATATTCACACCTATGCAACACACACACACTGGGTCTCCTATTGTGTGGAGGTTCCTTGATACTATACCACTGGTGTGGGCAAACTTCAGGCTACAACCCCAGAAGTTTGCCCACACCAGTGGTATAGTATCAACCCCAAGATCCACCAATCAGGTGCAAAATACAAGGGCCTATTTGGAGAATACTATAAACAGATGTCAAGGCCTATTTGGAGGCTGGAGACAGGTACCTGCTGCCCCCCGTGAACAAAACATTGGGAAGACCTGCATGTATGAGCACAAACCTACATCTAAGTTCGTGTGGATCAGAAATTCTAACATTAAAGTAGGGAAGGAGAGCCATTTGTGGACACTATTCTTGAACAATGGGGAATCAAAAGCCTTTGCTTTCTGATTGCTAATCCTGCGATCTACTGGTGGATCCTAATTTGCCTTGATCTGCCCGCCCCCTGGGGATGCACTCTACCTCACCCATCACAATCAATCCTACCAGAGCTGCTTGAGGACGAAGAACCAACACTTCCTAACAATGTAGAGGAGGGAGGGGGACACTCAGGCCCAATGGGGGAGGGGCAAATACAGCCCCTCAGGACTCTCCCTGGACCACACCTCTCTTCGGCCACTCCCCTCACCACTGTCCTTGAGAGCTGTTGCCTGACTGGAATATGTCCCTGAACTCTGATCATGCCTTTGGGTTGCTTGAGAGCGGGGGTGTGGGGAGAGGCGTCTGTGAGCATGTTTCCACTCTCCTGTTCTAGAATACCAGATCTTTGAGGATGCTCAAGTTTACATTGTGGGCTTGCCCGGTGGTCGACTCTCAAGCAAGTCGGTCGCTCTGCCTCAGAGTCTGTCTGCAGGCATCTGACTGCTGCTGTCTCTGAAGTTTCCCACCCACCCGCCTGCTTGCCTTCTGCCTTCTGCAACAGGCATTGAAAGCTGGAGGAGACAGAAAACACTCATCCAGGGGAGGAGGAACTGCTGGCTTTCGTTCTTACTTGGTTGTTTATCTCAACCTTATCTTTAGCAGCTAATTTCCCCTACTACTCTCCCTTCCAACTCCTAGAGAAAAATAGCCACCAAGTAGGGGAGATAAACAAGGGGCAGAGAAATGCAGCCAGCAGCGCCTCCTCCAGCACGTGTGACATTTTTATTCCCTCTAACCATTTATGCTGGTCTGCGAGGGAGTCTCCAAAATTCCCCATGAAATGGTGGAGCCTGCTCTCTCAGGGTGAGTGTAATGTCTAGCCTAGTCCTTAGTTCCCGTCCTAGAAAACAGGAATGATAGCGGTCTTCCTCACTGGGTTGTGAATGTGAACGAAACATGGGTTGTCTTGCATTCTTTCCACAGCCAAGGGACCATTTAAACTATCACTGCTAAGAAGAAGAAAACTTGAGGAAAGCTTTCAGTCACGCAGCTTTGCATTTTGGTGCACTCTGGTCTACTTTCTCATACCCCCAAAAGGGCTGCTTTTTATTCCCTAACTCTTTTTTTTTTAAAGAAAGGGATTCATACCTTGACGTTAGAATCACCAGATTCCATTCTAAAAATTTAATTTGAAATTTTAAACATTGTCCTATTTATCGTTAATGTTTTCCAAGTGACCTGCACTCTGTTCCAGAATTTCCCACCATCCCTTGAGGCCAATCATCTCCTGGTTTTGAAAGCATCTAGACCAGCCTTTCCCATCATGGTGTCTTCCTGCCACTCCCATCAGCCCCAGACAGCATGGCTGTGCTTCCATGGCTGTGCTGGCTGGGGCTGATGGGAGTTGTAGTCCAAAACATCTGGAGGGCACCAGGTTGGAGAAGCCTGGCCTAGAAGGCTCTTCTTCTCTTCAAAAGCTTTCACCCTTGTTAAGGAGAGCATAGGAGCTCTCTCCTATTCAAGGTTGCTTGCTTGTCTGAATGCCCCCATCTCTTGCTCTTTTGCCAGGCCAGCTGAAGACATTTTGATCCCTTAGACTGCAGCCCTTAGGATACTTACTTGGGGGGAAAGCCTCACTGAACACAGTGGGTTTTACTTCTGAGTACAGTGGTACCTTGGTTGTCGAACTTAATCCGTTCCAGGAGTCCATTTGACTCCCGGAACAGTTCGAAAACCAAGGCACAGCTTTCGATTGGCTGCAGGATCTTCCTGCACTCAATCGGAAGCTGTGTCAGACATTCGGCTTCCAAAAAACGTTCGCAAACCGGAACACTCACTTCCGGATTTGCGACATTCGAGAGCCAAAACGTCTGAGTACCAAGGCATTCGACAACCAAGGTACGACTATAAACTTGCATAGGCTTTCATGGTAAGGCGAGGAATCCAAACAGCACCTTCCAGTGTAAAACAACAACAGTCAGTTTGCTGCCCTGTTTACTGACTCCTGGAGCAAGACGGCAGCCGCTGTCCTGATTTACACCTCGCCAGTCTCGACGGCACTACCGCTTGGCCTTCTGCAGCCTGACACCCACTTCTTCTGTCTCCCCACCCCCACCCCAGATCTTTCGTGCTTCGACACCCTCTTCCACTTTGAGGACATGCAAGAGATCATAAAGAACTTCGTGGTGATACATGTGGACGCGCCTGGCATGGAGGAGGGGGCCCCGGCCTTCCCTCTGGGGTGAGCCTTGCAGCCTCCATTCCTGCCCCACCCGCATCGTTGGGTGTGATGGGGACAACAGCCTAGCAGTCTAACACAGCCCCTGCTCTCTGCTCTCTTCCTAGGTATCAGTATCCCTCGCTGGACCAGCTGGCTGACATGATCCCCTGCATCTTGCAATATGTGAAGTAAGTCGAGGCGAGATCACACGGGTGGGTGGGTTGCGACAACAACCTGCAATGGGGTCACCCGTCAGCTTTCTCAAACAAGGGTTCTTTGCCCTGGAGTGTCAAATCAGAAAAGGCACAGCCTTACATTCACATCAATCAAACAAAACAAAGCACAGAAACAGCTTGGGGGAAGGGTTAAAACCTGGAAGATTCTACTACCTCCTAGCCTGTTGGTTCAGTTGCTATCTCATTTCCTGAAAGGGGTTCAGTGCCTTTCACAGATGTTAGGCAGGCAGGAATTTAGCTCACACACATTCTTTATTACGGTCCAAAGACCCGCAAAAACAGTTTCAAAAGCGAAGTACAACAGAAATACAGAAAAGGCATTACTAGGCAGTCACTGTGTTTTATCCAAGACATGTTGATTTCTAATTCTTACTACCCCCGAAAGAAATTTTGCCACATCCAGGGTTATATCATTTTTCTTATCTTCAAGGAAATACTTGAGATAAAAGATATCAGAGTTTCCAGGTAAATTTACCAATAAAGGTTTAATTTGTTGGTTTCTGGCTTGCTTATATACCCTGTAGTATATGTTTCATGCAACCAGCAGCCTGAGAACATAGATGTAGCAACCATAGGTTTATTTTCCCATCCGCTTATTAATTTAGAGACTTTTCTCTCACCCTTCCAGTCACCACCACCAGCCAGTCACCACCACCAGCCAGGGGTTATTTTAACAATTTAAACTCCAAACTTGCTCCACACCCCCTTTTCCCCTCCATTCCCCAGACCCCATAGCACTCCAAAACCTGGGAACACAGTCCAGGAGCCCTGGCTCCAAGTATTCCTCATTTTAATCCTTAAAACCCAGACTGTTCCTAGACTTTCCACTAGTTCCATGAAACCCTGAGAAGCTAAGGATAAGCATTGGAAATCCCCTCCTCTCAGTTCTCCTTTGTGTTTTCAGTCCAGGGGGGAAGAAAACAAATCTCCTGGCTCCCAGCTGTTTCCTGCCTATTCCTAACACCCTGGAGGTAAAGATGGGAAACTGTGACCCTTCTTCTAAGCCAGCCTTCCTCAACCTTGGGTCCCCAGATGTTGTTGAACTACAACTCCCATCATCCCTAGCTAGCAAGGCCAGGGCTCAGGGATCATGGGAGTTGTAGTCCAACAACATCTGGGGACCCAAGGTAGCCTACCAAAGTAAGATTCCTTCTTGGGTATTTCCAATTATCATTCTTCCAGAGGGATAGCCAGCCGCGTGTGTCTGTTACAGGAAATGCAAGTGTCTTTTGGCAACTTAAATACTAACAAAATGATTGTGGCCTAGGCTTCCCACCTTTTCATCATGAAGTGTTATATTCGGTTTGGCAGAGATATATATATACACACAGACAGATAAATATAGATAGATAGCTGAACGCACACTTAACACGTGGGAGAAAGAGAAAGAGAGGGGGAAGGGAATTGGAGCCTGGGGGGGGGGCATGAAAACATGAGGCACACAGTCTGTACCATTTCGAAGTGTTCACTTTAGAGAAACTTCCAAAGGCACAAGATGAGCAAATGGCTGGGGCCCACTTCTGCTCCCAAGTATCAGAAAAGTGCCAGGCAGCTCCTGCTCCTTTGTGGATTTTGAAACTGGCCTCCTTCTCCCTCCTTTAGCTTCACCAGCATCATCGGAATTGGAGTCGGAGCTGGCGCCTACATCCTGGCACGCTACAGCGTAAGTGGGTGGGGGACCCATGAGTGGTGGTCGGATTAAGTAAATGTTCTCCATGCCCAGTTTGAACCTCTCCGAAAGTAGCAGGGCTGCAGAGTAGCTGATTTCTGTGTCCCTATTAACAACCACAGAGCAGCGTTTTGGTTGTTTCTTAAGCTGAAGTACAGAGGAAGGATGGGCCCAACATTTGATTCCAACAAGTGTGATGTGTTGCAGTAATTAAGAAATTAGTTGAGAGACAGGAAATTCCTGTTTCAAATCCCAGGGGAGGCATGAAATTGTGTGGTGAAATTACATAAGTGGCTCTCTCTTAGAGGCCAAGACTTTGCCACAGGATGAATGGAGAAACTTCGTTCTGATGTTATCGATTGATTTGTTTCAGAGAAGCCATGTGTGCTCCCTTCTCCCTTTTTTTAAAAAATATATATATATATTTATCTTCACACCAACCTGTGAGGTAGATTAGACTGAGAGGGAGTACATGTCCCAAAGTCACCCAGTGAACTTCATGGCTGAGCAGGGATTTGAACCTCAGGCTTAGCTTGATGCTCTAAACGCAGCACCCTATCTCTCTGGTTTCAGTAGGGATTTCTGCAATAATGTACACAGAGCAACTCGAATATGTGTCAGAAGCTATTTATGAGAGCTAGTGTGACAAAGAGGAGGAGAGGACAAGCAATGCTCTGGTTCAGATCTCACTTCAGCCAGAACCAAAAAGGGGGGAAAGTTTAGCATAAGCAGAGCCTGTTGGATCAGGCCACGGGTTCTGCAAATGCCTCGTCTTATTTCCTTCCCTGGCCAGCCAGCTGCCTTTGAGGCAATGAGAAGCCTCTGTTTTATGTCCCTGAAATTATACATAAGCAGTACGGTGAGCGCCATTTTATCCGCTAGTCATGAGTGTTGTTATGATTTTCCACAGCTCTCTCATGCAGACACCGTGGAGGGGTTGGTTCTGATCAACATTGACCCCAATGCCAAGGGCTGGATGGACTGGGCTGCTCACAAGGTGAGACTGGGAAAGTGAAGGGGCTTACCACTGTCTAATGCGCCTAGTAATCAATTGCAGATGAAGTGAAGGGGTCTGAGGCAGCCTTTGCTCACCTGGTGTCCTCCAGATATTTTGGATTGTAGCTCCCATCATTCCTGACCATTGCCATGCTGGCTGAGATGATGGGAATTGTAGTCTAAACATTCGGAAGGCTCACAGTTGTGGCAGGCTGGTCCAATGGGCGCTTGAATCGTTGTTCTTATTTCTACAAATTTAAACAGCTAACACAACCTATTCTTTGACTGTTTATAATGACAAATAAACAAAAAAAAGCCCATAAACATTGGTGTTGGTGCCAGTTGCCCATCGCTATCTAGATAGCAGAAATTCCTTTCAGTCTATCAACCTCTCAGCTGCAGGCACTTCTAGACTGTTGCACTTTTGTGGATGGGATTCAACCACATACCAGCAAATTGAGATCATAAAATTAAAGTGGCACTCCTGCACAACAAGCCCATTTTCAGGGGGGGAGTGGGGGGAGAGAAATGTTGTGCTAAAGAAAGTGATGAGCGGCTTAATTAATTGTTATTGTTATAATTTGGCTATTATTGGGGTATACTGGAAAACTAATTTGAATTTTTTAAAAAAAGAAAGTGACGAGATGTTGCAACTGAAAGTGGAGGATAACAGTTACTAGATGGGATATATAATCTCCCCACAAACAAATGAATGCTCAACAGTTGCTTGACATCTAATCACTTCCCCACAAACTTTGTTCAAACAAACCATAAACAGGTTGTCTGAAAGCAACCTCCATTTGTACCCTTCTTCCTCTGTTTGCTGCCCTGTTTTATCTGCTTGCATTTCTGTCCTCCTCTCTCCCTCTCTCCCTCTTTCCTTTTCTCTGGTTTCTCTTCAATTCTTTCTTCGCCCTCTTTCACAAAGCACTTTACTCCCCCCCGACTTTTCCTCCATATTCTATGTTACTTTATTTGAATATAAACAAACATAAATTGGCACATTTCCTAGAATTTAATAGGATTTCTATGGTTCCACATTTGGCCCAAGTTTATCAAAGACCCAGATGTGCAACCTACTCCTCCCCCAAACAACCTAAAGGGCAGGATGCTTAGACAATTCTGGCCAGGTAGCACCACCTGGCTAAGCTTTCTAGTGAGCCTCCTCTTTCCCAATTTTTGGCTCTGGGAACTTAGGAGATAGGAAGGGTAAAGGCCAATTTCTGAAGGAAAAAAATTCAAGGGCTGCGACTTACATAAAAGCTATCCCTCTTGATGTGTAGGTGGGTTCCCACGAGGCAAGACGCAGCGAAAATAGCAAGAACCTTTATTGAACTACATAACTGGGAGACAGGGGCAAAGCAACTGCTTATGTAGATTCCTGAAAGCCTGGGCCACTTCCACTCCCAACGTGATTGGCTGTCTAAACTTCCAAGCTGCAAATCATGACTCAGAGTTCAAGGACCAATGGCAGAGGCCCAAATCCTGAAATGTTCTATGATTGGACATCATGTATCGAATCAGAACACAGGAGCTCAGAATCCTTAGCTCAGGCAAACACAGACCACTGAATACATAACACATCTCACATTGTCTTGATGTCTTTTAGAGGTGGGATACAGTAATTCATCAGTGGAATAAAATGCATTCTGCATATTCTCAGAAGCACTTAATTCTGATTGCTTTGCATGTTCCAGGATGAAGCCCTGGTACTGAAAAGAGATTTTAGCTTTTGAGTACAGGCTGAGCTCTAGAAGGCAATAGATTCTCAGAGATCTCTGCTTTCTCTCTGGGGAATAAGCCAATCCCCATAATTCTCACGCAGGTGCCAATCTGGCCCATTCAAACCAGTGTCTACTTTTGCATCTCCTCTGATCTCATTCTGTTTCTCTCTTCAGCTGACTGGCCTCACATCCTCCAACTCTGAGATGATTCTGCAACATCTCTTCAGCCAGGTAAGCATGTGCAGGAGGGGAGAAGGGTGACAGTAGTTGGTGCATGGAGCGGTGTGTCGGAGATAAAATGGACCAGGGATACCCCCCACCCCCTCTGAGAAGGCGCTCTCTAGTGATGTGAGAGCCTTCGCCAACCTGGTACCCTCCAGATTATTTGAACTGCAAGTCCTGTCAGCCTCAGTCAGCACAGCCATGTTGTCTGGAGTGGATTGGACCTGTAGCCCAAAACCTTTGGAGCTCAGCAGATTGGTGAAGGTTTGTGTGGGATCAAGCTGAAACCATACTTTAAAATTCATGGATTTAGAACTTTATGGATTTATTATTATTATTGATTAAAAAAATACTGTCTTGTTTTCGTATCTTTACTTCATACTTCCCCACCCCCACTTTTCGCTATATGTACATTACCAAGTATTTGTATAGATAGCTCTTTATCAGTATATAATATGCATGGTTAAAATTGGCCACCTTTATAACATAAATAAAACAACAAGACATCTTCATGGAGTCAGTATAGAAGCAGCTAAAACAATAAGGCAGACTAATCAATGTGAACTGTTAAAATGGCTGGGTAAATAAAATTTCAGCCTGGCACTGCAAATAATGTCAGCAACAGTCACACATCAGTACAGAAGGTATTCCATCGTCAATGTTCCAACATTATCTTTCCAACTATTTTCTCTCTTGTTTTGCAAAATCACCAGGAAATTATATGGTTGTGCTCTACCCTGCACCTTATTCCAAACTATGTAATTTTTCTATAGTGCTTGCATTTCCCCGATTACCCTCGCTGATTGTAATATTTGTGAGTTTTATGCAGGTGTATTTATTTTAATAACAAAAGTAATTGCACGTATAACTGTTGTGCATGTCACTTTACAGAGTAATAAAACAAAAGAAGAAATCTCCATCTTTTTTTAAAAAAAAAACAGCCTCGCCAGACCTATTCAGTGAAACTAAGGCCAACATATATTTATTTCGTTCCAACATTTAAAGGTTAGGTACCACCACCACCACTCCATTTGTATTCAGGTTGACTGGTATATTGGTAATAATTGCTACAGTTGGGGGTGGGGAATCAATGTTATCAAACAGGGGTTTTTTTTAAGCATTATGACCAAAAACCTGGAACTAAAATCTAAATTTCTAAAAAGTGGAGAAAACAACAGAGGGAAGAAAGATGGAAAGGGTACACAAAACTGTAGAAAGAGAATAATGGGTGGAATAGCTTCTGCCTGTACATAAGTGGGCAGAACAGATAGAAAATATGGAATGTCCTCTGTTCTTCTGAAAAAGATCCATTCAAATGAAGGGTGGGCACTCTTGGGTAGCCCCAACTCTTCTCAATAGGGCTTGCTCAGGAGAACTTCCCACTTGACCCTGCCTCAGTGGAGAAGCTGTCTTTGTCTCCAAAGGCCACCATCTGGCTACCACTTCACTTTACCTCATGATTTCTTAAGATGCTTTTAAAGACATTTTTCTTGTTTTGTCGCTTATTGTTTGCCACCCTGGGCTCCTTTGGGAAAGAGGGCAGGATATAAATATAATAGGGAATAATAATATTGAGCCACTATGTGGGGAAATGGCTCTATCTGGGAAAATGCCAGCATAGTTCCCTTGTTTGAGTGAAGAACTGAGGGGCTCTGTGTTATCCATGTCACAGCAGTGCCAACTGAACTGGGTTTCAGCAATGCCTAGCCCTGTGAGTGAGACACACACATTTCTCAGTTTTGCCAGGATTAGCAACCTTGGATGTTCAGAATCATGACTGGAGAACAAGGGGAAGAAGAGAGGCACATCACAATGTCAGCTTCGGTTACCTCAACAATCACCATCTAAACTCGAGGGCCAGAGCACGGCCTGTTTTGCAAATTTGATGAAAATGAATGAAGATGGTTTTGCTTTCTCTAAACAAGGGATGGCTGGAGTTGGTGTCCAATTATGCATCTTAAAAAAAAATAGTGTGGATTTGATGACAGGCCAGTGTTTTTTTAGGGGGAGGGGATGTTTGGCATCCTTTGCATTTTTGCAAAATAATAATAATGTAATTTACATTTGAGAGAAGTGATTGGGGTTGCCAGACTCCCCAAAGAAAATATCTTGGCCTGTTCTTGTGCCTATTCCAATCTGTGGAAATCAGATAGCAGAGCTTTTCATAGCACAGAAATAAGCATTTCCATGTACTAATTACGGCATGTCTTAATTGAGTGGGATTAGGATATTGCATTAACGCCCCGTTTATGTTCTTCCACAGGAGGAACTGTCCAAGAACACTGAGCTGGTGCAACAACAGCGGCATGTCCTGAGTCATGCAACCAATTTGCCCAATATCCAGCTCTACTGGAGCAGCTACAACAGGTGGGTGTGTGGGCAGGACTTACCTGGGTGGGGACGCAGCATCAAAGACCAGCGTGAGGGCATGTCACGGTTGTGTTGGCAGCAGCAATCCAGAGCAAGAAAGATAGTTGTTGTGCAAGAAACAGATCCAGACTAAGCAGGAAGTCTTTTATTAGACCTCTTCCTGCCTAGGTACATCCAGTGGCCAGCCTGGGTAGGCAGGGCTGGTCCAGACACCAATAAGATTTTACTGCGCAGGAATATGTTCCCTCTGTAATGTCTTCTTTTGAATTTTAAGAGACATTTTATTTTCTTGTCAATTATGTTGCTTTGAACATCTATTCTATATTTTATCTTCTTATGCAATGCTTGATTTTGGAATGTTTCATGCGATGTTTTAATTTGGGTTGTAAAGCGCTTTGTGGTGTTTTTCTTAAAAATATAAAGTAGCATAGAAATGAAATGAACAACAACAACAACAACAACAACAACAAAGTTGTAGATGATAATAATAACAATAACATAGGTGCAGATTCCCTGCTCAAGCCCTGGTGGCCTCTAGTTCTCCAGCAGGCTAGAGTTTAGCAATGTTAGGTAGTTGGCAGGGATATAAATATTAAGGTATCTAAATAAATAACTGGAACCAGGACTGGCACAAGACATTTGCATGCGCACACAATTCCACATACAGAGGTTAACTGGGCTGGCAGTTCAATTTTGCTTAGCACTTCTAACAGTGCTAAGGACTGAGGACAGCAGGCTCATTGTGGCTGCACAGCACTGGCTGCATAGCAAGTGACAGAAGGGTACAACCAGGGGGTGCTCAGAATGATAATTCCCCCCCCCACCAGCACTTACCGCCTGAGGCAATTGCCTCATTCTACCTAATGGCAAGGCCCCCTGTGACTGAAATGCTCTTTAATTCCCACACAGGCTTTCCTCGGACTTCTGACAGCTACGGGTTTTCTGTTCTGTCTTAACTGCCTGCTTTTTCTATTGAAAGAACTACTTGCCTTTAGAGAAGCACACCCTGTGTGTTACCGCATGGCTCACTGCTCTGAGGATGTCTCCTGACTGCCCAGGGCAGTGTGACTCATGCAAGTATGAAATGGGTGGTTCTGCTGCATCTCTCCTTTAGGGAATAGCCGAACATCCATTCAGACTCAATGCAGAATCACAGTAGAATCACCCATCTCCAGCTGAAATGGATTGGAAAGCGGTGGCTGTTTCCAAAGTTGAGGGAGCCCTTGGAGAAGTGCCATCTGGTCCCGTTCCACTCCTACAGGGTCTTGGGGATAGGGCCTATGTGTGGCTAATTTTGTAGTTCTGGATGACGACCCTGTCTTTTATTTCACCGTAACTCAACTTCCAGGGCACTGTTGTAAAAAGAGTTTGAGGGGAAAACACAGCTGCCGTCTGGTGTCAATATGAGTGTTAGTCTAAAGAGGGCCCAAAACAGGCACCCACAGTGATGTTGTGTATACACCATACACTTAACAGCATATATCAAGCATGTGGTTTTTGCCCAAAGAATCCTGCAAACTGTAATTTACCCTGCACAAAACTACAGTTCCCAGCACCCTCAAAAAACTATAGTTCTCAGGGTTCTTTGAGGGAATTCACATGTTTTAATTTAAATGTAAGTTGTGTTCTGCTGGTGTACCAGAGCTGAAAGGATCCTTCTGAACCTGGGCATGGGTAGATGGTTTAGGTTCACGGAAGCCCTTAATAATTTCCTTCAATCCTCATTTCCTCTCATGGAACACAGTTTAAGAAGTTGCCATTCTAATGAACTTGCTGCTTGTTTTTTTAAAAAATTTTTTTTGCTCACTCATAAATTTAACCTCATGCTTCTCAGAAAGGCTGCTCTGTTTAAAGGGTTTGACAATATGCTGTTGTGTATTATTTAAATGTAAATCAATGAACTGATGGACTGTTCAAGTTAAAAGGCAGATGACTGAAGCCTTTGTATTATTTCAGTCATACGTAAGCTGCCTTGTGCGTGGTTGTGAAAAGATGGGATAATGATAAATAATAACTGCAGTTGTTTAGTCACTGCACCATTTGGTTGGCCCAGAGAAAGGGATGAGACACAGGGAGGATTGTGTGTCTGTGTGTGTGTGTGTGTGTGTGTGTGTGTGTGTGCTGGGATTCTGCAGCAGCTGCAGGGGGGGAAATGCAGGATGTTATATTGGTGGTAGAATTCAATCTTCCGAGAATCTTAACTTTATTTATAAAAAGAAAAAGGAAGAAGCAAGTTTCCAGGCCTCATGGCTGCGAGAATATGTTTGAAGGTCTGTTGGCAATGCCAACGAGAAATCTAAGGTGCTGGATGAGTGGCTGAATAAGATTTCCAGACATTAGGGTATGGCTTGCATACTTCTTTGCTTCGCCATATGACTAGTAAAAACAGAAAGGCAAAGCAATCCCACATCTAAAGCCCTGCAAGCCAGGATATAAGGTGGGAATGATGTTTTTTTCTTTCCCCTGGGCTAGCTCCAGGTGAATGCAGCAGAGGGGTCCAATATAGTATATTTTAGGGATGGCATATTTTGAAGAGCAAAAAAAGAGGATCCTATGACAGACATTCAAAGCAGATGAATGCAATTTGCCCCAAATCTTACCCCTGAAAAAGAAGGTGTGTCCTGAGAAAAGAGGACACTTGGCAGCCCTATTTTAAAGCACATAGGTAAAGGTAAAGGGACCCCTGAGGATGAGGTCCAGTCGTGACCGACTCAGGGGTTGCGGCGCTCATCTCGCTTTATTGGCTGAGGGAGCCGGCGTTTGTCCGCAGACAGCTTCCGGGTCATGTAGCCAGCATGACTAAGCCACTTCTGGTGAACAAGAGCAGCACACGGAAACGCCGTTTACCTTCCCGCTGGAGCGGTACCTATTTATCTACTTGCACTTTGTGCTTTCGAACTGCTAGGTTGGCAGGAGCAGGGACCGAACAACGGGAGCTCACCCCGTCGCAGGGAATCGAACCACCGACCTTCTGATCGGCAAGTCTGTGGTTTAGCCCACAGCGCCACCCACATCCCTATTTTAAAACACATGGCTTCCACTAAAGAATCGTGGGAACTGTAGGTGGTTAAGGGTGCTGGAAATTGTATTTTTGTGAGATGTAAACTACAGTTCCCATGATTCTTTGGGGGGAAGCCATTCACTTTAAATGTATTTTGAATGCATGATGCGAATGTGACACGAGAGTCAAGGCTTCAGCATGCCACCCCAAAATGCCCCAGGGGCAACTTCCCACCCGTTGAGCAAAGCTCAGCGCTTCTACTGAGAGCAGTTTCCCTCTCCACTGGCAGAAGGAGATGGAAAAGGCAAGTAGTTGTGATTCCCCTTGCCCCTCGCTCCCCAGGAGTAAACATCAGGATCGTATCCTCAGTGATGCAAACTTTTTAAAACAGTTGCAACTGAACAATGCAAAATAAGAGGATGATGCAAATTTTCGTCAGGTTAGAGAATTATGCTCTGCTTGGTGTAGGATGTAGGTTGGCTGCAGAATTCGGACTGATTGTGCTGGGATTGTTTTGTTTTCTTCATATTTGACCAGTACGCTTGGTCCTGAAAGTTGGCAAGGTTGCCAACTTCTGGGTTAGGAGGATATTTATGTGCCTTCAACAATTGTATGGAGAGGAGATGTTTGGAAGGGCCACAGTGATCAAGACAGAGGAGCACTTTTTTGAAGTGTTAGGGGTTGGCAACTCTTAGACCTAGAGTTATGTAACAAGGGACACCAGCATATGGAGAGCCTAGTGATGGTATTGGTATGCAGGGGCAGGGAGCGGGTTGCATAAGGAGGTCTTTGTTTAGGAGGCTGGAAAAAAAATAAGCTTACAATTCCCTTCTTTCCCCCCTTACAGCCGCAGAGACCTGAGCTTGGAGCGCGGAGGAGACATCACTTTCAAGTGAGTGCCAGCCAGCCCCTGCATTTTCTTTCACACATTTGTGTCCTCAAATTGCCACCTTTGCTTCTGGTAGGGCTCACATGCTGTCAGCAGCAAAGGGAATTGGTTTTTTAAAATACAGATTAGAGGCTCAGGTTGATACTTGATGCACAGTTCATCCTAACAAAGCACTGAAAAAGATGCACATTAAGAGGGTTGCCAGCTGAACAGGAAAACTGGTCTGGCCTGCTCTTGTGCCTTTGAACAGCGGCTTGGGGTGCTAGCAGTGCAGCTATTCATGAAACTGGATGTGAAACTTATTACCTAAAGCCTGCAGATTAAGCATTGCTTAAAGGCATAAGAACAGTGGCAAGTTGAAAAATTAGCAATTATTTATATACAGTAATACCTCCGCGAACATCCGCCTTGTCTAGCGTCCATTCTCATCCTCATTAATCTTATTTTAGATTAATTAGTGACAAGCTTGCTCTGTTTTCCCAGCAATTCTTTTATTTTCTTCACTCTGACACTTTAGGGACTGGCTTGCATGATTAATTAATTGAAAATAAAAGGTGTGACCTTGTGAATAACTCCCAGGGGTGGCAAGAGGGATGTGGAAAGAGAGATGCTAAAAATAGCAATTTATTACGTTGTGTCTGAACGAAGGCAATCTTGCATTGCAGTTTTTGTTCCTTCTTGTTTTCACTGATCCCAACTTAGTAGGTCAGCATCCATGGGCATCTGTCAAGACCCCAGAAACTGCCACCCAAAAAATCCTCGCTACTGTCACATGTTCACTTGCCAGCTTTCTGGGCACACCAGTGAGGAAAAGGAACCAATTCTGCAGGCATCAAGCAGGGACTACGTGGAAAGGCCCCTGGGAGGGCGCCTCCAGATTCCCCAAGGTGCATTTTGCCACTGGGAAGGGCTATAGCTCAGTGGTAAAGTCTTGCATGCATAAAATCCTCAGTTCAGTCCCTGGCATCTCCTGGTAGGGCTAGACAGGCACTGTCAGTCACTGTAGACAGGATTGAGCTAGATGGGTCAATGGTCTGACTCAGTACAAGGAAGCTTCCTAAATTTCTGTATGTCATTGGCACAATAATAGTGCCATAGTGGTGAATATATACGAGAGGTCCACACATTGATAAGTTATTCTGCAGTGCTTCCCCAATGTTATGGCATTGCCGTTTGAAGGGGCACTCTTGTGCTATAGGGCAGTGAAGGGGGGGGGAATAAAGTGGAAAATCTGAGTATAAAAAGTTAAAGGATTTCAGCAGGAAGTCACAGGGCATGCACCAATTGGAAATGAAGCAGTATGTCCACCTTGAAACTTGCAGGCACAAACAATATTGAAAGTGGAATCACATATAACTTCCCCAACATCATCATGAATTCACAATAAAAAGGAGGGGCCCTGACTATGTTCTTTAGAGGGACCCAGAAAAAGCTGTTTATAACCCTGATTTTTGTGTGTGTGCTCATCTTCATGAGTTTCCCATTCTTGTACACTTGCTCCTTTGAGGAACCATGAGCTGTTCTTTTGAGCTATTTTATTTTCAAAAAGAAACCAACGCCCTGAATTGACACAAAATTCAGCTGCACACCCTTTTATAACAGCAAAACTCTGCTGGAATGGGAAGTTAATGGGAAGGAGGACTTCCATCTCTGTAGAATTTGGATATAAGCCTTGGTTCTTGTGCCAGGTTTCATGAGGGGCCTGGGCTGGCTCAAGCTATATTGCTTCTCCAGGCAAAAGAAAAATTCACACACAGCCTTATTGCAGTCTGTAGACCCAAAATACATAGTACAACAATAATGAATAATAATCAGTAATTATAATTTTGCTGTTCCCAATATTGATCACCTACAGGGAGATTACGGTCCTTCCTTAAGGGTCTTCCCAATTGCAGTCTTGTACCCCTGGTTCACAATTGGATGGAGTGAGCAGATGGAGCTGCTACTGGGAAAATGGCGGCTGCCCTGCTTCCTCAAATGTTCGCAGGGTGGCGGGTAGTGTGCTCCTCCCTTGAGGGTTTTTGACAGTAAAACTGTGTGGCTCTCGAAGTTTGACGCCACTCTCCACCCACCCAAAATGGTCTGTATGGCCTCTAGGGCTGAGCTGACCCTGAGACAGGAGGGTATCAGTAGTGTACTGTGGTTGCTAAGCAACCTTAGGAAGCACCTCTGCACCCCAAACAAAATGGCTGGGTCTGAGCTGATGGAGTGTGCAAGAGTGTGTAGCTGATTGCCAGGTCCCCTTTTCCACAAACTTCCAGGATAGACATGCCCTGGATTGACACTGAGGCAAGGATTCCTGCTGTCCCCACCACCCAGAGAGGCCTGACATATCACCAGCAGTACCTGAGAGCATAACTACATGTTACATTGACCACATGAGAGATCTGTTTGTTGTGATTTCTAATGGCTCCTGCACCAAGAGTCAGAGAGAGTGGGAGGTGATAGAGATCAATTGGAGTGGAGGAGGAATCATTGGCTGCTTCTCCCCCTCTGTTGTTTATCTCCTCTTGTTTTATTTTTTTTCTTAGCAGCTAACTTCCCCGACTTCTCTTCCTCTGAGTGCCTGGGAAAAATTAGTCACTTGGGGCAAGGGCGGGAGGAAGGCAGCCAACAGCTACTCCTTCACTGCAGTTTTTGTCCTCTGCCTTTTTCTGCCTGTATGGGAGAGGGGAGTCTTCAGAGTTCTCCTGCAGTGCAGCTGCTCTCCTGTGGACAGTGTAACACAGCCCTTCCCAACCCGGAGACCTCAGGAGCCCTTCAGATGTTTTGGACTACAATTCCCATCAGCCCCAGCCAGCGCAGCCATCCAAGACATCTGGAGAGCACTAGGCTGCAGGAGGCTGTTGTAGCCTGTAGGCCGCTTCCAGGCAGCCTGCTTAATGATCATCCGTTTTTATTTGTTTGTGGGGACATTATGGGGTGTGGTGTTGCAGGAAGCAAATGTGATCTGATACTTCAAGTCTATTTTCCCATCCCGGAGTTTGTTGTGCAAAAAAAGTGCCCTATCGGCTTTGATTGCACAACCTGAATTTGCCACTCTGTGACTGCATCCCACCTGAAAATAGCAGGAGTCTGCAAGGGCCCAGACTGCTGGAATCCCATCTTCAGACTGTTTCAACCTACAAATATTTCTTCTCTTCTTCGCTCCCCCATCCTGCTTAGCTTGCTCAAGACTGGTGGAGAACTCAAAAGCTTGCTTGCTATTTTTTTGACATTTTCTTGGTCCTAATAAAAGTACTACCATACTGTGGTTTGGGTCCACTCCCCTCTACGAATCACCATGGCTGTCTAGTTTTTCATGAAATGTAGAGTAGGGCTCTTGATGCCCCAACTCAAAAGCTGTTCACCTGTTTGCAAGACCCAAGTAAGCTGAGTTGCAACCTTTACAGCAGCTTTAACTTTCTGACACATTTTTCTTCTCCACATTGCCAGGTGTCCTGTGATGCTGGTGGTGGGAGACCAGGCCCCTCATGAAGATGCAGTGGTGAGTGATGGTGCCAGTTATCTTCTCAAAAATTCCACAGCACCAAAAAACTATGGAGCCACTGGACCTTCCGCCCATCCTCTACTTTCTGGTTTTGACAGGAACTAAGATACCTATTGTCTCACTTTGGCTCTGCTCTTTATCCTCACGCTGCCATTATCTCTCCCGCCAGGTGGAGTGCAATTCCAAACTGGACCCTACCCAGACCTCTTTCCTCAAGGTAAGCAATGCCTCTCGAGGCCACTGCAGGGGATGCCAGTCTAGCTTTTGGCTTCCATTAACTTTGCTGCTGTACCTTTGTTATTTTGTAGACCTCAACAAAATTAAGCCAACAGCGATACATAGCATAACATTCAAAATACATTACAGTGGGTTGCAATGCATAAATGATATAAAATAGCAGGAATGTCTAAAATGAGATCTACAACATGATACCTTAAAATGTGGAACTTAAATGTGAGCCGAACAAAATAAATAACATAACCAGATTAAAAACTGTAACGCATGAGAACAGCAGCCATACAGGATAGGTTTGATCAGGAGAGATTTCCTTTCATGCTTTGTCATCAGAAAGAGAAAGCTAGCCACAATCTCTGTTAATAACTTGTTTGAATCTGCCTAAAGGTAGGCCAGTTACCATTCAGAAGTCCTGCCTGGAAATTTTCAGATAATACAAGTCACCAATCCGATTTGGTCGTCTTCATAGATTTGACAGGCAAAAAGTGCAGAAATCAAATATTCTATCATCCCTTCTCCCATTTGTTATTTCATTAGGCTAGACTTATATACAATCACCGACAAAAATCTCTAAGCACCTTACATAAAGCAATATAACCTATTAAGAATACCCATGAAATTCAATGTTAAAAACCTGGTTGCTCCATGTTTCTTCTATGACCATCATTTTGTCTCCCCACACCTCCCACTTCCTCTACCTCTGTCTTTCAGGGCTTGTCTACCATCCCCATAACATCACTTTTGAGATTCCTAAAGTTTGCCTAAATCTTTTTTGCTGCCTCCCACACACCACACACCACAGCTACTTCTTTGTTTATATAACTTTAAATCTTTGAAGGATGAATGCATAAATGCTTTCTTAAGGTTTCCCTTTGGGGAGGGGCAGGATTTTTCTGAACACAGATTCTCTGTTCTAGGAGGTAGGGCACAGGAGTATTCTTGGTAGGTTGTGACTGAGGTTCCACTGGTGTCAAAGCTTTGGTGTGTCTATTCATGTTTATACAGAAATCAGCTCAGGTTCCCACGCACACATACTAACCAAATTCAACTTTTCCTCATCCTCTGCTGTCACTGAACAACAACCTGTGCTTTGCAGAGAATCGTTGAGAGTGGGAGGCGGCCACTTAAGAGAGATGGCCAGGTCTTCCTCCTTAGTCTTGCATATTCTCAAGCCTGTAGACAGTTGCTCCCCATTTAGCTTTCTCTTTGTATCTTTCAGATGGCAGATTCTGGAGGACAACCACAGCTGACCCAGGTGAGACAGGCTGGCACGACTGGTGGGAGGGTCGGGGGCAGGACTGGATTCTGTCTATTCTGCTGCACTTAGTTAAACCCTTCCTAATGTTCGTCAGTGCATTGTACCTTCTGCTAGGACATGCTTCAAAAGTTTGTGCACACTTCTTCGATTTAAATAGAAAAGTCACTTTGGGAAGGGGTGGTTTAGAGTTAGGAGAGCAAGCACTTTATTTCCCCTTCCCTGCTGCTGTTTCTCCAGCTCCAAATGCATCTCACAAAAGTTTTCAAGGTCCCAATAACTTGCAAATATATACCTGTGGGCGCTTCTGGACTGTTGCTGTTTTCTAGTAGGATCAATCAGTTACAATTGATTGGCAGATATTGTACAATAAACCCCAAAATATCAGACTTTTTGGGATAAGAAAAAATAAATCTCAACATTCATAGAAAAATTGTCTTTGTCCTGAAACTGGGCGTAGACCCCTTCCCAAAATGTGACTGAACTTATGTCCAGTTGTTGCTTTTTAATTGTGTGTTGCTGTTTTTACCCAAATTGACTTGGAGAGGTTAACATGCTAGACATTTTCCAACTTATTGTGGGTTCTTCTGCCTCCAACCCCAAGCATTGGTGTGGGGTAGTTTTTTTAAAGTACTTACCTTGTAAAGAGGGAGGCAAGATTACAGATATGATGCAAAAAAGGATTGGCTGGTTTTGTTTCCACCTTGACATTAGCACACCTCTAATGTTTTCCTTGGCTCTATCACTCTTTCCTCTCTTCCGTCCTTCAGCCTGGTAAACTGACTGAGGCTTTCAAGTACTTCGTACAAGGCATGGGATACAGTGAGTATTGGATCCTAGACCTTCTGCCCCCTCCCTCATACATCCCTCAGAGGACATGCATTACTGGGAATGTTTGAGCCAGAGCAGAGATTTCTCAGAATACCCATCCCCTCAATACCTCAGCTGTGTGGTTTCCTGTGACTACTACTAGGGCCAGCATCAGAGGCTGATCCAATTGTGTGATTGCCAGGGCTGAGACTCACTAAGAGATCCATCTTCTTCCTTCCTTTGCGAGCATCTGAAGACCCTGTTCACTGTCTCCACCTTGACTGGGCCTGCACCCAGTTACAGCGCTCCCCATAGCCCCTTGCAGTAACGAAGGGATCTGTCTCTTTCCAAGCACCATGTTCCCTCCATCCTTCCCCCAGCTGACATTCGCCTTCTTGTGACATTCCTGGGGGCCTCTTAGATTAAGTTGCCTGGGAACTGGGGGTGTCCGGAAACTGAAGCCAGTTCTGACCAAAACCCTTGAAAAGTGGCCAGTGGTGAATTCTTATCCCGGGCGGGGAGGCATGTCTTTTCTTTGTAGACTGAGGTATATTTTCCTGTTTCTCCTCAGTCCCTTATGTACTGGACAAGAAACTGAGTCAGGGGTCAGGTACCTTCTGTGGTATTTCCACCCAACCACCTATAACCCTTTGACACACTCTCTCCCCAACTTGCCTGCACACCCTCCCTTGCGACTTCCTCACTCCCGTGTTCTCTAAAACTCACACTTACACCACCTCCAGTTAGGACACACCGAGCTGTTTGCTGTGACAATGAGAAAGCAAAATTTGGTTTATTTGGATTTCTGTCATGCACCTAAGTCAATAAGGCTGGTGACGTACCTTTGTATAATGTCGTACGCTGTATGACACTATCGGACAACAAGGACTGCCGCAGTTCTGCGCCATGCAAACCCGAAGTTTGCATTCCAAAACAAAATTGCTCACATTATCAACATGTTATGCAAATGACCTAATTATGTACAAGTTCGATCAATTTGCACCCCAATCTAGGCTTTGACTGTGCAAAATATTTGGGGGTGGGGGAAAGAAAGTGGTGACGATGCATGGCTTTGTTTTGGAGAAGGGATACAATGCAAAATGGCAATAAGTGATGGAGGGAGCAGGACCGCAGGCCTTGTTGATGACTATGCAAGTTATTCACATGATCTGAAATCTGCTGCATGAGCCTTCCCCAGAGGAGTCTGCCTTAAGGTCTTTCTCCCTTCCCCCGCCCAGTTGCACTGGGTTCTGCCTCACATTGGGGGTGCCTGGTGTGCATGCGTGATGTCACGTGTGTGACATCACACAGTGTGAGGCACACATGACTCAACGGGCACCATCAGACCCTCCTGTGGCTGTGATAGGCCCCAAAAGGCCCAAAGGGCAACTACGGTGAAAATTTTGTGGGTCCCCCAGAACCCAGGGTCCCCCAGAGATGGTGCCTATGCTTTTCCCGTCCCACTGCCCTAGTCAGCCCTTAACTTGCTCTGTGGGTCTCAGTGCACACAGGTGCTGGAAATTTGAAGAAAGGTGAGCTTGTACATACATATAAAACCAGCAAGTGTTGCATAATTCCCTGGTAGTTCCAGATCCGTATTTCACACCCAAAGGTGCTCAGTCCCAAATGTGTCTTAGAAGCTGCAGTGGCCATGCAAAGACTATGCTGACCTTGCACTGATTGCTCACCCTGCCATGGGGGAGCAAGACCTGGGAGGAGCGACCTATGTCTGGCTACATGCAGGAGCTTTGTCTGACTCTGCCCGTTTCTCTTTTCTCCTCCCCACAGTGGCTTCGTCCTGCATGACGCGCCTCTCCCGCTCGCGCACCGCCTCTCTGTCCAGTGCCGCCTCAGGGGACGGGAACCGCTCCCGCTCACGCACGCTGTCCCAGAGCAGCGAGGCGGGGGCACCTCAGCCGCCAGCCCCCACCATGGAGGTGTCCTGCTGAGCGCCGGGCCAGGGGACGAGGCCGCCTCCCACCTCTAAACAGGACTTCTTCTGCTATCCCACAATGCACTCCGGCCACTGGGCCATGTGACGATCTCCCCTAACGGTACTAAACGTCCAGGGAGGCCCAGATGGGATGCAATTGTACTCTTTTTAAAACAAACATTAACTCCCCTTGACCCTTCCTTCTCACCCAACACATACACACCCTCCCTCGCCAACCCTGCCCTCTTCTCTCCCATAACCTCAAGACTAGTGTCGGCCCCCCACCCCGGTTCCCTTAGTGACCCCCCTCGGCACCTAGGGAGGTATGGATGGAATACTATACATTTTCTAAACTGTTAGATCATCCTGCACCTGTTCTGAATTTCTCCTCAATCCTCCCTCCTTTTGCACACTTAGGTTCCTTAATAAGGGAAGTCTGGATTAGCGTTGGGTTTCTTTTTTTCTTTCTTTCTCTCCTGTCTAGATCATAACTAACCATGGTTCCTCCTCCCCCTGATTTCTGAGTGATTCGTTCTTGGAGTAGCCTGGATGGGCAACAGATTGCCTTGCTAGCTCTCTCTCTCTCTTTGTCCCCTCCGGAGTGTACGTAGGCAAAAAAAGCAGGACCTCACAAGAGAGACGCACAAGCCCCCCTTAGAAGGACTTGTCATGCTCCTGTCATGCTGACGTAGTGCCCCCCAGCGTGGCAGTTGCTTCACCCCACCCCCATCATCCCTCTGCCCTCCTTACCCGCCTCATCTCCTGAGATTTCTGTCCATTCCGTCTGTCTTGGGAGGTTAGAGCTCCTTCTCCAGGGCCTAGACAACTTCTCTTCTTCCCCATTCTCACTTAAATAGAAACGGAGCCCTCAGCCGCTCCTCCTTGCCCGTCATCTCTCTCGCTTTCGTTTCTCATCTTCCCCTTGCCCGTCCCATGCAGACACCTCACCTTAGCCATTCTCTTTCCCACCTGAAACCCCTTGTAGATGGTAGCTGCGTTGTGATGTGCATGTACGGTTCCTGCTACGACAGCGAGTGATTTGGGCAGTTAGGGGCATTTTGGGAGGCTGGGCAAAGCTAAAATTAGGGGTTGGGGAGGGTGGGGTTGTTCCTTTTTCAGGATGTTTCAGGGGGGATGCTGGGAGGGGAGACTTGCTGGAGGCTTGAGCCAGATTGCTTTGTTGTGACTGTGCCAGGCACAGATGTCAACAGGCTACAGTTATACTGGCTTTGTGTAATGAGATGAGTGGAGGAGACTCCCGACTGTTATCGGCTGTGATTATTATTATTATAATTATTATTTTTGCAACAAGGGCTGACTGTAGTGGGTTCTGGGTGCTGGCTTTGAGCAGGGCTCTTGTGGTGCCGTGGAGGGCAAACTTTGCGTCAGCTTAACTCTGTAACGGGATTCCAACTGTATCAGTTCTCTGAATGTTATCAGCTGTATTAAAAAAAAAAAAAAACCTAAATGTATCAATAGTGTTTGCCATGTTGATCTCACAGAATAAGGAATCCAAAACAAATAAGGTAAAATATTTTCTTGGAATCAGCTGTAGGTGAGGGTATCCAGTATGTAAACTTCTGAGTGGCACAGAACGCTTCGTCGAAACCCAGAATAAAGAGTTGTTTGTGAACCCAAAAGACAATGGTCCAGTTAGAAAGTCACCTTACCTATTCTGCAAACCTGAATAGGCACTGGGGGTTAACGGTTCAGCTGCCTGTATATACGGGCATTGTTTGAAATGGATTCCAGCTGGAATTTAAACTCCATCATGTAATGGGATCCTGTTGTATTTGAGAATGTGTGGGCTCTGTGTTTTTTTTTCTCCCCCAGAGCCATTGATGGTGAATTCTGACTCTTAACAATAAAGTCTCTAGAGGAATGAGTTTTTGCTTCTTTTCTTATGGCCAAGGTGGCCCATTCATGCAACAAGCCAGGGCCATTTTCTGCAGAACAGGGAAGTTCCCAGCACACTGTGATGAAAATGAAACACCAAAGTTGCCAGGTAGGGTGGGTCGGAGACAGAGACTGAGGCTCAGCCTCACCATGCCGCCATCTTGCACTGGCCAATCGGATGCCTCGGGGAAATGCACAAGCAATTCACATCTCCTAGTAGTGAAGCTGGTGGTAAGTGCTACTGGCTTTGTAGTCCCAAACAAGCATGCTTCCTGAGATTTGCAGAAGTACACTATAAACAAAACCCCATTAGCTGGAAACCCAGCCCACTGAAGACTGAGGATGCTTGGTAGCCCGGAAATATTGAATGTCAAATGGAAAAGGGAAATTGGGTGGAAGCATGGAGCCCCTTACAGTTTACCATATCCTAAAGGAATACTTAGTTGACCTGAACTTTGAACAGGAGCTCTTGGGCTGGGAGGTAAGGATGCGCACTCTAACATTTCATTGCAGGTGCCACCTATGAGACTTAGCTTGTACACATTCAGTTATCTTCACAACAGTCTCTAAGGTAGTTCTTCTATATTATTACCTCCATATTGTGGGAGGGAGGCAGAGAGGTAAGGCCATGTAGGAAACTGATGTGTAGGGTAAGACTTGCCTGCCCACATTTACCCATGACTCTGTAGAAACCCCAGATCCTTTTTTCTTTCCACAGAACTCAAAAAGTTTCTGCTGCCCTCCTTATGGCTTTGAGATCATATGCTGGGAGGGGGCAGGAAATACTTTGGTCCCAGACCAAATAATCTAAAACTGATCATTGGTCACAACCCTCAGTGGTGATTAGAACCTCCACTTTGCCTTGAAAGGCTGGGGAAATCCACTCCCCTATGTTTTCCCATCAAAACTGAAGCTCATCTTCACAGTCTGCATCATGGGTGAGGAACCAATGGCCCTTCAGGTGCTGTTGGACTACAGTTCCCATCATCTTTGACCATTGGTATTGCTAGCTGGGGCTGATGGGATTTGTAGTTCCAGCAACATCTGGAGGGCAAAAGGCTCCCTGTGCCTGGTGTACATGCTACATAGAATTGGTGGCCAAGCCAGATGTGATGCATCAAGGAAGACCACAAGCCAATGATCTGCATGTCATGCTTAGCTAATTCATTTTATTTTGCTTTCAGCACTGGCATCTGGTGCTCTGAAAGGCAGTATGTAACCTTTAACACCATGCCCTTCTCCAAATCTTTTCCCCACCACCTCAGCCCCACAGCTGCTATTTAAGCAACGGAATTGCGGGGAGAGACATGTACAGGTGCAGATTTCAGGTGAGGGAATCATCTGAATAGCCAGTTCATTTGACGAGAGTGTTAAGTTTAGGGAACTTAACTTGCTGATCTTCAAATCATTTCTTACGGGTCTAATAACGAGCAAACAAAAACTTTGCCGATATTCCTGTAGGAGATCCCAAAGCTCTCTTTTATTGTATCTGGGCTTGGAAGAGGTAAGGCTCATCCACACTCCTGTTTGTGTCATGATTTCCAGTCACGGGTTCTAGAGGTTTTTGTTTTTCCCCAGGGAAACCCGCTGTTTACTTGTAAATCAGAACAAACGACAATCCCCAGAAAACTTGATTGACATTTATTCTGATTCAGTAGTAAACAGCAAGTTTTCCCAGGAAAAGCAGCAGGACAAAAGAATAACTTCTTGGACCTGTTACTAGAAATCACAGGGAAACAGAAGCATGGATGAGCCTGTAGAGCAATATGATACTGTCCTGCTTGGACTGTACCATGCAGGTGGGTGGGGTGTTTAATGCTCCCCCTACTAAAACACTCCCTGCAGATAGCAAATATGGACCCAGATACCTGAGCTAATAATTTACTACGCATGGGGAGTTTTTATTATGTAGGTGAGCATTCAAAGAACCCGCACCCATGGAAGGGATTTTAGAGACTCCCTCGCAGCAGAATTCCCCTTTGCAGATCTGTTTTCCATCCAAGCCTTCCTCCCAGTGGAGCTGACATTCCTCTTTGCAGGGCTAACCTTTCACCAAGAGCCAAAAGTGTAAATCTTTTCCCTCTGCCATTGTGCTCCAGCAAGCAGCTCCAAGACCAAAACACCACTCATGCTGCCAAGTGCTCCCTCTCCCCCACTGCTTCCAAAAAGAGAGAGGGGGGGAGAGGGTCAAAGCCTTTGTTAGTTGTTAGTTTCAAGGAACAAAAGGAGTATCCATCATTGTGGAATGGGGAAGTTTTGAACCTGTCTCCGCAAAGGCCTGGGCCTTCATCCCAGCTCGAGGCCATGTGACTGTGTCCAATGTTTTCACTAAAAACTGAATTTGGGCCCCATCTCCGCTTCCAGCAAGAAGGCTGGAAGACCTTTTGTTTAAAAAGGCAGCAGCGCAAAAAAAGTTGAGATTGGAATGCCAAACAACGTCCTCTAAGGCTGAAGCCATGGTATCCTTGGGGGGGGGGCAGGCAGTCCTGTTGGAGACCTTTGAATTAGGCCATGGGTGAAAAACAAGCCTGTTTCAGCTTATTCCCTGACTCTTAGGCTCAATCCATTTCAAGTCAGGCACAATTTCCTTGTGACTAGCAAACCCATAATTTGGGTGTCTGCAAGTGGAAGGAATGAGGGGTGGGTAAAACAATCTGCATTGATCTGCATCGGGCTACTGTGCACTTGATTCAGGTCTGCAGAAGCACAAAGGAATGCAGGTGTCCTCTTATCTGCATTATATTATCACACAACTCTTCCCATTTAACTATGTGCAACTAGAGTTGGCTTGGGCACCACGCTTCCCCGACTCCCACCATCTGAGTCAAAAGGTGGCGCTTCTGTATATTTGAGGGGAAATCAGCCATAGAGTTATGTTCTCTTTTAGATGCATTGGCTTGCTCCAGATCCTAGCTGCTCCCCCCATTAATGTAAATGGGAGAAGATTATTTCTGCCAATTTCCTTCTTCTCTGCGTCTTCCTGCCTAATTCACAAGGGTCCCTCAGCTTCCCAAAAAGCAGACTGGGGTGCAGGCTTGACACTTCAGAAGGAAGGGGAAGGTGGGAATGTAATGTTCTGTCAGAGATCAAGCCACTGCAATTCAAAGAAGTTTGCGCTCGAAGCCATTGAAATCCCTGAGCTTAAACATGCTTAACACTGTGTAGGATGGTGGCCTTGATGTTACAGCATTTGTCTCTCATCTGGAGCTGTGCTCAAATCAAGCTAAAGTATCAGCTCAACAAAGTGAAAAGAAATATCATACTCCTCCATGCTCTTCTCCAAATAGGCAGCCTACACATGTGTAAATACCGCGAGATGGGCTCCAACATGCTTTGCATGTCATGTGGAAGTTATGCTATTAACTAATTAAATAATTTTTAATTGATTCATCATCCATTTTCTAAACCACTGTTTTTCCTATCTCAAAATAGGTATCTCAAAACTTCAGTATCAATATCTCTGAGATACATATATAAAGGAAATGTAATCTACAATTTAATAAATAATCTTCCGTGGTTAGAAGAAACAGCTGTATCTCCCATTCTCACTGAATCTAGCAAACACACCAGAATAGCTTTATCTTCAAAATATGAACAAGTACATTTATTTGTTAATTAAACTATGAGGAAGCCAATTATGGCTAAACGTCTAGCCACACTTACATCATGAGACTAAGCCTCTTGGCACTTCTAGTGGTGTTTACTTCTGAGTATTCATGGACAACCATTGACTGTATCCAATGTCAATTCTACTGAGTATACCCACTGAAATTAATGGACTTTACTAATTTAGGCCCCTTAATCCCAATGAGTCTAACACTAAATACCACTCATAGCATTTAATCGTAACGGTGCTAGCCCCTGTAGAAAGTCCTCTACTCTTCATTCCCTAGTTTCCATCTTTTCTTGACCTTTTCCAGCTTTTCTTGAAGCAATGTTGGCACTCGCTTATACATCTGTTTGAATGGTAAATGTTCTGTCGGTGCAGGAAAAAGCAATTTCCTTATTAAAAATGCTAATCACATTACTGGGGCAGAGGGATGATGAGCCACAGAAGAAATCGAGCCCTAATTAGGGACACTAACAAAGAGGAACTAAAGACTGGGCCAGCTGTTCCATGGAAAACAGCTGCTGCAGACACACCCTATGGAGATGAGAGACCAGTACTGGCATGTTTTTGACTTGAGCGCCTATTTCCTAGGGTTATTGGTGGTAGGCTGCTGCTCTCTGCTGGCCATGATGGAAACAGCACAGCAAAAAAGGGCATAGGGAACACAATTGCAGCATGACATGCAGAAAGTTTTATTTGATGGTGTCTGCCACACACAGCTTCGGAAAAAGTGACAAGTGTGGTGACACAGGGTTCTGTCCTGGGCCCTTTGTTGTTCAACATCTTTATAAATGACTTGGAAGAAGGAATTGAGGGGATGCTGATCAGATTCACTGTTGACACCCAACTGGGAAGGGTTGGAAGAATCAGAACAGAAAGTATTTTTTCATCCAGTGCATAGTTAAACTACAGAACTCGCTCCCACAGGATGGATTTGGTAAATTCATGGCTGTTGATGGCTACTAGCCGTGATCCCTGTGCTCTGTCACCACAGTTGGGAGGCAGCGATGCTTGGGAAGCAACTGGAAATCACAGAAGACGAGAGCGCTCTTGTGGTTGACTCCTGCTTGCTGGGTTTCCCTCCAGCATCTGGCTGTCCATTGTAACAACAGGATGCAGGCTCAGATGGGCCATTGGCCTCATCCAGCAGACACTCCTTAAGTTCTTATCCTCTTAAGATCGGGAGAAGGGAGTATTAACACTCTCCTCTTTCAGGTACCAGAGGCACACACAAGACGCAGGAGAGCAACAGGTCAGGCCAGATGTTTATTGTCTACCCTTCCAAGGCAGTGGGAACAGGCAGAGTTTTCAGAAGGCTGTGCCCCACATCTAGTGGGACTTGTCGTAGGTTCCAGCCCCCTTGTAGTTACCCACGTAGCCGCTGTTACTGACCAGGTCAGCACGTCCTGCAATGCCCTTGCCCTTGCCGCTTTCGTCAAAACGTTCCTTGTGGGAACCTGTGTACTTGCTGGTGTCTGTCAGCCGGTCCACTGCACCAGCCGCGACGGTTTTCTGCAAGACAAGCAAGCAGAACACTTAAGTGGTGATGGTTGTGGTGGGTGCTGATTAGTCATGGCATAGGTGCTGGGTGGGCTGGGTGCTCCAGCCCCCACAACACTGGACGAAGCCAGCGGGCCTGAGTCATGGGATTATTCCAGCCTATGGAAAGTTTAGGGATGGGGCAGCACAAACTGCTGCTGGTCCGCACAACCCTTGACTGTACAGTAAAGGCTCATGGGTAGGATGGAACTATATCCCTAAAGTGGTTGGGCTCTAAGGATTGCACTGAGTCCATTCCTGCTCTATATTGGGAAGAGGTCTAATAGTGGGGAAGAGGTCTGGTGAGGCCCAATTGGCCTGGCTGTTGTGGCAGTGACCCTAGCAGCACCAAGGGGCTGGAAGTAGCCATCTGTTCAATTTCCTTTTGTGCCACATATAATGCTTGCTGAGAAGCATTGTGGAAAATTTAAAGAACGGCTGGGGGGGGGGAATAGAGGTGAATTAGGATGCACAACAGCAGCTGCCCGATGATAACATGTGTGCTGACACCTGCCAATGTGGAGATAGTACAGCAGGGTGAATTCAGCCTGAGGACCATATTACCATCTGGGAAACTTTCTGAGGGCCACATGCCAATAGTTGGCCAAACCAGAGGTAAATGTGGGCACCACAACAAATGTAATTATTTCTTTAAATATCCATGAACCGCACTTTCATCTAAAATATATGGATGAAAAACAATGCATTACAGCAAAAACAAGAACAATGTCAAGCACATCAGGAGGAGCTGGCTGGCAAATCTGAAAGGTCCGTCTGAATGATACACAGTTTTTAGAAGAAATCCAAAAATGAGCAGGGATGGCTCCTGCCAGACTTCCATTGGCAAGGGCAGGGCCTGCCACAATAACAGTTTGGCTGCTGGTAAAGGTCAGCTGAACCTCAGGGTCCTGTGGGACCACCAAAAATGCCCCATCAGGAGAGCTCTGTGATAGTGCAGTTGACTAGTTTCTACACCCACTGTTGCCTGTCCCCCATTCCTATAAGCAAGAGGCATTATCAAAGTTCAAGGGCACAGTCCAGCCACGTTTGACCCCTGGAGCTGAGGTTCCCAGTCCTGCCTCATGGCAACTTGGTTTTGTAGACAGGTCCTTAGGGTCCACCCTTGGCAGTTTGTGTGGTGGTTTTGCCCAAAAGAGCCCAATAATTTTTGGAGGGGGGGGGATGGAAGCAGGACTGTTTGGATGTGCTCTTCCTTTGCAGGGGAGCTCCTTGTCACTCACCGTTACCCCCACATTGCCTGGTTCTTTGCCTTCCAGCATCTGGTGTGTAGCTGCCAAAGCATCTTCGGGTGACTTTCCTTTGAAGCGTTTTGTGCTCAGCTCCTTCAGGGCTTCCTGGAACTCTGGAAACGTGATGTTGCGGGCACCCTTGCTCCTGGAGACAAGAGAACGGCATCATCTTTGAGCCCCACCTACAGCAGACCCTCCCAATTGCTCACAGATCCACACACAGTATCATACCCACAGCTGACATGAATCTTGGTGTGGATTTGCACCACTTTACATCGCAGGTGGGAGAAACCATCTTTAATGGCATCCCAAGTTTTTTTTGGGGGGGACACACAAAAAACCACCCAGCTCCCTGAATGTAGAAACCAGTAAATCCATGAGGAAAGTTCCAGGCTTGCAGTTTTCCTTATGTGCTCATTTTCTATTTGCATAGGAATTTAAAAAACCCAAAAAACAACAACCCAGAAGCATTCAAAGATCTGTCCAGCTCAGGACTCTGCTGCCTCATTATGCTTCGTGTGTAGGATTGCTTATGGGATGTATCCAATGCTAGTCCTACTCAGAATAGACTCATTGGAGTTATTGGGCCTGGCTAACTTCATTAATTTCATTAATGATTCATTAATTTCAATGAGTCAGCTTTGAGTAGGGTTAACCCTAAGGGTTTCCTGCCAAATTCAGGGCCTGATTTTGGGTTCCCATAAGCATCTGATCAGCCACTGTGAGAACAGGATGGTGGACTAGGTGGGTCACTGGCCTGATTCAGCAGGTTCTTATGATCTTACTGAAGGGTAGGGCAAGTGCTGTTATCTCCATAACAGCATATGGAAAAGGCTGAACTGATTTTGCTTGCAGGATTGTTGAGCCGTTCCACAGTAGAGAGGACACAGGGCTTGGACCAGGACAACCTTCCAGTGGCCCTTAGCTATGGGGTTGGCCCAAAACGCCTGTCCAAACGCAAATCCACCCAGCCCTCACACCCTCAGCTCACTTGACTTTGTTGAAGAGGATATCCACATCAGTGCTGGTTACAAGTTTCCCATCCATCACGCCACACTCCTTCAACATCTTGGAGAAGTTCTTGCCCGTCATGTCAGTTCCAGTGGCAGCTGTGTCTCCATACACAGCATATCTGTGGAAGGCCTTTTCCAGTTCTGATGCCATGCCTCCTGCAATATTAGGAAATGGGAATGAAAAGGGAGGTGGGTTTCTGGTTCCCTCCAGCAAGACTATCTCGAAAGCCCTCTTTGAGCTATTAAAAAAGGCAGAGGGTGAGCAGTGTTGTAGTGATGGTGTCATTATTTTATGCTGTGCTTCCTTGGCAGCTGTGTAAGAAGGTCCAGGGGTAAACATTTTGGAGCGAAATCTCCCCCTCTCATGCACACATAGGTCTATCAAACCACACACCTGGTTATTCCTTAAAAGAACCTATTTTTCTGAGGTATATTAGGAGGTACAAATGCTGTTGAAATTTACCACTTGTATACAAGGGTTGGCCCTTCACCCTTGCCCTGAATCTTACTCCCGACAACTGAAACTTGAAGTAGCACCCAAAGCAAAACAAAACAAATAAAATCATGCATACCGATCAAGGATGGAGAACCTGTGGCTCTCTGGATATTGTTGGCCACCAACGCCCATCAGTTCCAGTCGGAAAAGTCAATGATGAATGAAGGGTGGTGGGAGTTGTATACCAATAGCTTCTAGAAGTCCACATTTTCACCACCCCTGCTCTAATTTGAGCTTGGGCTTACCTGAGTTAGATGTTCTGCTCCTGCCCTGTTCCTCCTAGGAAGGATAGCCTGCTCTGAGCCAGAAGCACCACTGGCTTGATGGTGCAAGTTGTGGTGGTCATTGTGACTGTGTCAAGTTCTCTATGACATCATAGTTTGCTCTGCATTGCAGATTGGCAGGGTGCTGGTTGTTTTTCCATGTAAAATGAAAGCCTTCTAGCTTCCGGATCATCTTATCAACTCTTGTTGTTGTTTTATTCCATTTAGAAAACTCCTTAATCATTTTAGATTCTAAATAATTTCAGATTGGTGTGCAGAAAATATAAATCATATGTAACAGTTTCAGAACATGATACAACTTGGAGGTCCAGTACTTTACAAAAGCCTGTCAAAACAATGTGCAAAATGGGGACCAAATCTCAAACAAACAAGATCTCAAAATCAACACAGGCATCTTCCCCACTTGCGTGCAATCAGCACACACTCTCCTGCCAAGAAGCGTGCCTTTTCAGCGCTGAAAGGGGGCTGGGTGGGAGCAGAAGAAGGGACTCCCTTGTGCGTGTCTTCCGGACAGAACCCCTGCATAAATGGAGATTGCCCTGTGCATGACATAAAAATCAAATACCGCATAAAGGAATCTCAAAACAATATGCGAAGTGTAGGTCAATATAAAAGAAATCAAACAATATACCATGTTGGGTTTATAGACAAGAAAATGGTGGGATGGTAATCCTTGTGGCCTATCAGGACAGATCTTACTATCTTCCCACCTTGTGGGCCAAATTTGATAACTGGGTACAGCCACCACATATTAATCATCTGAGATCATGATGGCACCAGGAGATTGATAGGTGGGTGGTCTTGCTTTGCCAGCACACCAGTGGGAATGTTTTGGGGGAAGTGGCATCATTGGCCAAATTGGCCCCCTGACAGGGAGTGCTGGATTTACATTGCCTTGCTAACAATTTCATTTCCCAGAAGATATAAAAAGCAACAAGGAGATCACCTATCTTGGACCTGGTACTCACCAACAGGGAGGAGCTGATCAAAGAAGTGGAAGTATTCAGAAACTTGGGAGGAAGTGATCATGTTATCCTGGGTTTCAGGATACAGAGGCAAGGGAAAGCTGAGTGTAGTTGGACATGCACTCTGGACTTTAAGAAGGCCAATTTCAAAAAGCTGAAGGAGCTACTGGGTGAGATCCCATGGTCAGAAACACTCAAAGAGAAGGGAGTCCAAGATAGATGGGAGTTTCTTAAAGATGAAATTTTGAAGGCCCAAACGCAGACAATTCCAATAAGAAAAAAGCAGAAAGCATCTAAGGAAACAAGCTTTTTATCAATGCTAACATTTTGGCAGCATTCTAATTTCACTGAGTAGATAAAGAAGAGACAAGGTTTTGTTTCTCATGAGCAGATGCTACTAAGTTTGGGGCTTCCCGAGATCTCATAGCCCTGGGCCTCCAAGTAGCTTTAATCTGGGCCCGTTGATTGTGGCCAACATTGGCCAGTGCCCTAGAAGTTCTCTACTCCTAATTTGGGGGGCATTACCTTGCAGGCCTTTCCCCTTCCCCCCACTCTCTTTCTGACACCCCTTCCTCCATTCCAGTTTTTTCACTTCTTGCCACCTGCATGAAATTAGGCCTGGACACAGCCAAAAACACACCCAGGGGCAAGCAACGTATCAGAGCAGATGTTTATTGCCTTCCCCTCCCAAGGCAATGGGAACAGGCAGGGTTTTCAGAAGGCTGTGCCCCACATCTAGTGGTACTTGTCGTAGGTTCCAGCCCCCTTGTAGGCAGAGACATAGCCGGTGTGGCTTTCAACCGGGTCCGTACGCCCAGCCAGCCCTTTGCCCTTGCCAGTTGCATCGAACCGTTCCTTGTGGGAGCCTGTGTATTTGCTGGTGTCTGTCAGCCTCTCCACAACACTAGCCGCGGTTGATTTCTGCAAGACAAGCAAGTGGAAAGTCAGTGGTGCAGTGGTGGTGCTTGGAAGGAGGGGTTAATGCTGAGCTGATGCTTAAAAATGCAAAATAATGAGGTGGGGGAATGCGTGGATGTGTTCGTTGCCTCGTCCCTCAGAGATAGTGTCTAAACTCTAAGCCTTTCGCATTTGTGTAGGGCACTGAAAGCGGGATGGCATGTGATGTGCAAAAATAAAAACAGGTACAAGCTATTCAAAATCTGCAGCAAAAATTGCGAGGCCCAAATCATTTCAGGATAAACCCCTCTTCAGCGGCACTTTTGAAGAAGTTCCCGTGCTGGTCAGTAGGCCAATGCTTCAGCTTCCTTCCTATCCAAATTCTGCACCGAGAGGTGAATTCTGCAGCCTTTATTAATTAGGCAAATCAAGTGGAATTTGAATATTCTCTCATTTTGAATGATTTCTGCTACGGACTTGCGATTTTACATAAATTATTTTGATTTATGCAGGGCGCTGAAGCCTTGTTCCCCATCTTAATTCCTTCTGAGATTGTAGGAGTTATTGTTCCTACAGTTTTTGGCCATACATTCCCAGCCATAAGGATTGTAAACTTTTTTTTCTTTAAAAAAAAAAAAAAAGCTAGGATTCTCAGTACTGCATTCTGTACATTTCCCCTGCCCTCCCACAGAAATGCAGAGTGTGTATATGTATATGTATATATGTGTGTGTGTGTGTGTGTGTGTGTGTGTGTGTGTGTGTGTGTGTCCATATATATATATATATATATATATATATTCCCTAAATGACTTAATTTAAATGCATTATTTATTTATTTTTAAAGTGGTTGCTCCCATTTCATAGGAGAGCCACACTCACTGTTCCCGTGCTGGCTGGTTCTTTGCCCTCCATCAGCTGGTATGTGGCCAATAAAGCCTCCTCTGGGGACTTTGCCTGGAAGCGCTTTCTGCTCAGTTCCTTAACGGCTTGCTGGAACTCGATGTAGTTCATGTTGCGGGCCCCTTTGGTCCTTAAGGTTGCAGAGGGAGAACGCTGTTAGCTCATAGCCTCTGCGGCTATTTGATTTGTTCAACTACATTTGTGCCCCACCCTTTCTCTAAGGCTCTTGGAGCAGTTCCTTATCTCATTTCATCTTCACAACAACCCTGCGAGGCGAGTTAAAGAGTCAAAGACCCTTTGATGCTTTGTGGCTGAGAAGGCTGTCTCAGCTCTGCTCAAAACAGTTTCTTCATACCACAAATCAGAATGGAGGGTGAAAATATTGCCATAACTGGGTTCTGTGTGAAATGGCCTAATAATTTCATATTGTAGATTTCAAGTGTGCAAAGTGTTTTGCACAGGAGATTACCTCAGTAATCCTCTCAACGGCCCATTATTCTCATCCCCATATTGCAGTAGTAGGGATGAGGCTGAAAGCAGAGTGACTTGATTATGCCTGAGGTGATATTTTAACCTAGAACTACCCAAACCATACTGCACATTCTTTGCCACTATATCAGACTATGGAGGAACAAGTGGGCCCTACAACAAAATGTTGCTGCATAGAGTGTTCCTATATGCTGGTCTGTCTGTAATAAAGATTTGGATTGGATTAAGAGTGCTCCTGTTCAGGGTTCCAGCAAGCTAGCCCACCTTTTTCTAGGATATTCCATTCCATTATTTCCTCTACACAGGGAATTCCACCCTTTTAACAACAACAACAACAACAACAACAACAATTTATTTATACCCAACAACAACAACAACAATTTATTTATATCCAACAACAACAACAACAATTTATTTATACCCCACCCATCTGGCTGGGCTTCCCCAGCCATTCTGGGCAGCTTCCAACAAAATATTAAAATACAGTAATGCATCAAACGTTAAAAGCTTCCCTAAACAGGGCTGCCTTCAGATGTCTTTTCCAAAGAGAAACAGCATTTTGTGGCCTCTGAGTGTGCTCAATCTTCAGTGGGTTAGGGTTGTTTTTTTTTGGGGGGGGGGAGTTTAACCTCCTAAGGCAGGGATCCCCAGACTACAGCCCAAGGGCCGGATCCAGCCTGCCAGGCTCATAAATCCGGCCCTCAGCACACCAGCACACAGGGACTGACTGAGCAGACCCCGCGCACTGAGGTAAACCCGGCATGGCAAGGAATTTCCTTGAAAAGAACGCTCGCGTGCGCATGTTCTTTTCAACAGAAACACCTCACCGTGCCAGATTTACCTCAGTGTGAGGAGCTGCAGAAGCCTCACCATGCGCTCAGTCTCCTGGCAAGGAGGAATTCTGACAAGAGGAACGAAGGGGAAAGGATTTTCCTCCAGAGCACATGAGAACTTTTGGACTTTACCCAGGTGGGTTGGGTGCTGCTGTCACCATGTACAAGTCAGTTAAATATGGGACAAGGCAGAAGAAAAGGCTGGTGTGAGAGAGGAGCAATGAGTCCAGCTGCTATGCTACCCGGTAGAGCTGGCTTATCAGCAGAGGCATACCTAGGCTCCCTTGTGCCCTTGGCAAGAAGCTGTATCGGTCCCTTGCATCCTTGCCGGAGATGAGCCAGAATAGAGTGGTGCAATTTTTGTGCTCCCAAGGGTCTGCGCCTTTTACTGGAGCCAACCCCTGGGTACACTCCTGCTTTTCAGGCAACATAAAAGGGAAGGGTTGGTCTCATTGGTTTTGTGCACTGCAAATAAAATATGTGCAGTGTGCATAGGAATTTGTTCATATTTTTTTCAAATTATAGTCCGGCCCCCAACAGTGTCCGAGGGACAGTGAACTCGCCCACTGTTTAAAAAGTTTGGGTACTCCTGTCCTAAGATTTAATACACTAACTTTTTACTTGCAGAGTTTAAAGGCTTGGTGTCTGAGAAAGTGCAATTTCTGGGCCAGAGCCTTGCAGTGACCACTTAATATAGTGTCCTTGCCCTGTGGTCTCAGCATTCCTCACCAGACACTGCCTCTCCCACCCCATGGCTCACTTGACTTTGTTGAAGACAATGTCCACGTCAGTGCTGGTCACAAACTTCCCGTCCATCACATCACACTCCTTCAACATCTTGGAGAAGTTCTTGCCCGTTATTTCATTGCCGCTGCTGCTCGTATCCCCGTACACGGCAAATTTGCGGAAAGTTTTTTCCAGCTCTGACATGTTTCCAACAACTGCAGAGGAAGGGGGTTGAAGACAGTGGGGTGTTTAGAGGTCTGCACTTATTTCTGCCTCTATATTGCTGGTGGAAGAACTATACCTTCTCAATATGTGACTGGAGGTCCTTGTAGTATATGAAGGTAATGGGAGCCACGGGTAATAAATGGAAGTGACCCAGAATTCTCAGAATTGACTGTTTAGGAATCCCAAACTGATTCAATATACCGTATTTTTTGCTCTATAAGACTCATTTTTTCCCTCTTAAAAAGTAAGGGGAAATGTGTGTGCGTCTTATGGACCAAATGCAGGCTGCGCAGCTATCCCAGAAGCCAGAACAGCAAGAGGGATTGCTGCTTTCACTGCGCAGCGATCCCTCTTGCTGTTCTGGCTTCTGAGATTCAGAATATATTTTTTTCTTGTTTTCCTCCTCCAAAAACTAGGTGCGTCTTGTGGTCTGGTGCGTCTTATAGTGCAAAAAATACTGTATTACCAGATGGTCTCACAACTAGGGGACACACTTTGTTACACCTGCACAGCTTTATAGGTAAATAAATACACCTGTTCCCCAAATGGTTACTTGGTGTGGAAATATTTTATGGAATCTGGTAATCTGTTGCACCTGGCTACCTAGTGCAGGTTACCACAGTCTGGCTCCCTCACATTTCTTGTGAGCATGTGGTAAAATGCATCTCAAGATGCAGCCAGATACTAGAGATGACCAGTTCCCTGAACCAACTGTGTTCCCAAACCTGAGTTCACAGAATTTTAAAGTCAGAAGGTATCTTGGAGATCATCTACTCCAGTCCCACATTCAATTAGACATCTTACAACTATAGCTTCCCTGACAGATGGCCACGCAGTCTCTACCTGAAGGACAGCTTGCTACCTTCTGCATCGTCTGCGTCACTATTCGGTAGCTCATGGTATTAGGAAGTTTCTTCTAATCCTCAGCTAAAATCAGCTACCTTGAAAAGATGTCCACCCTCTGCCTTCTGCAGCAACAGAGAGCAAGTCTGCTCCATCTTCTGAGATTGCCCCTTTCCTCCAGATAGTTGAATACATCTGTGAAAGATGCTTGAACAGGAAGATCCCACAATACCAGATAAGGCTTAAATCTGGCCTATCTCTGTTGAGTATCAGCAGTTATTGGCAGGGCTGTTTTAGTTAAGCACACCTGAATACATTTACAACAAAGATGTATTACGGCATCAGCTTTCACGGCATGTAGAGAGTCAGGTCATGTATTCATAGCAGTGACCAGAGGAGGAATAACCACGTGGAGGAGCGCAGAGAGAAGAAACGCCATGGGGCACCTGCAGCAGCAGAACTGGACGCCTCAGTTTCCCTAGCTGCAACAAATCATGCATCCTCTCCAACATTTCTCTGATAAAAATAGGGACATCCCATTTCATAATGGTAAGTTTACTATTTATACCCCACACATTTTACTGGGTTGGCCCAGCCACTCTGAGCAGCTTCCAACATATATAAAAACAAAATAAAACACTCAAAAACTTCCCTATACAGGATTGCCTTCAGAAGGCTTGGGGGCTGGATAACTCCAACATTTCTCCAATGAAAATAGGGAAAACCAGGTAGAGGGCCTTCTCAGTGGTAGCGCCCGCCCTTTGGAACGCCTCCCGTCAGATGTCAAGGAAATAAATAACTATCTGACTTTTAGAAGACATCTGAAGGCAGCCCTGTTCAGGGATGTTTTAAATGTTTGAAGTTTTATTCTGTTTTTAATGTTCTGTGTAAAGCCGCCAAGAGTGGGGCTTATCATCATCATTAACAAAGTGGGACATTCCAGGGTCAAATCAGAAACAGGGACAGGGCTTCTCTAAATCAAGGACGTCCCTGGAAAATAGGGACACTTGGAGGGACTGAACATGTCTTTCCAGCACTGATCTCTACAACCACAGCAGGTGCTATAACTCTCCAATGGATTGACATAATCCCCAAAAGTGCACTCCTCCATTGTCTCCCAAGACAGACGGATGCCAACAATTATGGAATAAGCTTCCATGTGGCATTAGGCCTTTGACCACTAGTTCAAATTGGGGGGGGGTCCTGCTCAGGTCCTGCTTGCAGGCTTCCCATGGGAACCTGGCTGGTCACTATGAAAATGAAGTCCTGGACTAACTGGGCCAACTTTGGCTTGATCCAGCAAAGGGCTTCTTCTGGTCTCATGACTGAAGTCTACTTCATCAGATGCACCAGGAATATATGCACATGATAGTGGGTTGGAACTGTAAGCAAAATAAAAGGAAATGAAATGCGGAAAAGTCCAGTAATAACTGCACAATTAACTGTGGTCATTCACAAAACATTCACAACTGCTTTGTTTTATTGACCAGAGTTAATTATATAAGTCCCCTTCGTGGATCACTGCCTTGCCATGGCAAAGGGGCTTGAATAACTCAGAATAACTTGAATAACTCACCTCCTGGCAAATAGAAGGGGAAGAAATGGAGGCAATGAGAGATTTTACTTTCTTGGGCTCCATGATCACTGCAGATGGTGACAGCAGCCACAAAATTAAAAGACTGCTTCTTGGGGAAAAGGCAATGACAAACCTAGACAGCATCTTAAAAAGCAGAGACATCACCTTGCCAACAAAGGTTCGTATAGTTAAAGCCATGGTTTTCCCAGTAGTGATGTATGGAAGTGAGAGCTGGACCATAAAGAAGGCTGATCGCTGAAGAATTGATGCTTTTGAATTATGGTGCTGGAGGAGACTCTTCAGAGTCCCATGGACTGCAAGAAGATCAAACGCATCCATTCTGAAGGAAATCAGCCCTGAATGCTCACTTGAAGGACAGATCGTGAAGCTGAGGCTCCAGTACTTTGGCCACCTCATGAGAAGAGAAGACTCCCTGGAAAAGACCCTGATGTTGGGAAAGATGGAGGGCACAAGGAGAAGGGGACAACAGAGGACGAGATGGTTGGACAGTGTTCTTGAAGCTACAAACATGAGTTTGACCAAACTGCGGGAGGCAGTGGAAGACAGGAGTGCCTGGCATGCTCTAGTCCATGGGGTCACGAAGAGTCGAACACGACTAAACGACTAAACAGCAACAACAATTATATAAATCACCATCTGTACTTTTCTGCATTCCATTTCACTGCTTGCAATTCCCCCAGCCCTCCAAAAAATACTGTTTGCATCTAACTCTAGCTCAGCATAATGCACATATTCAATGGACTGAAGTCCATGTGCTACAAGAGGTGCATTTAACACCTGCACCTGTGTCCAGAACCCGTGTTGTCTTATGGGCACACTTAATATTAAGCCAAGAGACTTTGGGGATCTTTTGCTATTTACAACATGTGTTTGTTGTTAAGGTGTTTAACCGTAACCTTATACCCACAAGAAGTTCTCACGCCAGAGGAAGGAGAATTGGTTTATTACACAAAATGAAAATGATAATGAAAATGAAATGGGTGCTGCTTTGGACACCAAAGTTACAAAATAAGCAGGCAGCAAATCTCACAACACAAACACACCTTGATCTAAAGTGTAAAATAATCCCTGTTCCCAAAAATTTAGAGGAAGTGAGTTAAAAGTAAAGTTAGAAAGGGAAGGGGAAGGGCATACCTATCTTGATGCAAAGTATGTGCTAGTTTCTTGAAGACACTGCGTAAAGTGGAGCTCCTTGATCAACAAACCACTGAAAAATCTAATGTTCTGTACTAATTTTAGCCAATGCATCCTAATAGAAAGGAGAAGGGGTCTTTGAGATGAGTAATTTCTTAGAATACCTATATTTCTTTGTTCCTATCACCCATTTGCTATTAAGTTCCTGCCCGATTCCTATTTCATGGATTCTGCTAAATTGGTAGTTGAAAGACTATAATTCTAGTGAGCCATGATTAAAATGGTTATAATCTATGGAATCCATTATTTTACAGGAAGCATTGCTTAAATTTTGCTGGTAACTAGTGCAGTACTTGTGCTGACCTTTACATAAAAGTCTTAGGAGCTCTGGAAGTCTCCTTGTAAGTGGCTTCCAGGACATGTTTGCACTAAGAACTAGACCACGCTCAGGAAAGATCATTTAGGGGTATGTTTCATATTGAATGATACCAACTGTACTAATGCCATGACCTGCAGTAATAAACCATGTCAAAAGTTCAGATTGGCACTCCTGTTTATACCTAGAAGTGTATAACATAATAAATGATTTTAAGGTACCAAAGGCTCTTTGTTTTTGTTGCAATAGACCAACACAGCTACCTCTTTGGAGATCATGGGGGTGGGGGAGGCATTTTGAAATAATGAAATCTCACTCTAGACTCTTGCTAGATATGAACAATGCAATCCTATATGTGTTTATGTAGAATACCTACTTTGTCCAAAGGGCTTACGGCCAGGAAAGTTGGCACAGGATTGCTGCCAAAGCGTATCCGTTGTAATGCATTATTTGTAAACTGCCCTTCAGGAAGCAAGATAGCAAACACCTCAATAACAAACATATTTTAAAGCATCAATAATGAACATACTTTAAAGCAGTATAAGAACAGCATTTTCTCAACCTGTCATTTCATGGGTAACAGACACATTACAAATAGCTTGCAGTTTCAGTTCAGCTGCAACACCATTTGGTTTCTCCTCCAAAATGCTTTGTATTACTGTACTTCATACCTATGACAAAGTAGGAGACTGCCCTATAACAAAGGATGATTAAGCAGCATAAGTCTTAGGGTCTCCAAGATCCATTGGTATGTTCGTCACTTTCTGCAAGGTAAACCCAGAAAGCTCTTGATCCCAAAGTGTCCCTTTAAACTTTGGATCATCTCTTGCCTTAGAGCCATTGCACTGAAGCCCAATCCCTACGAGGATTTTTCAGGTCTTTCCCCTGAATTTTCAGCTTTCATTTTAAAAAAGAAAAAAATATTCCTGCATCCATAAAACATAGAACCAGAAAGTTGAGCCCCTTCTCTCCAACCCTAGCCAGAAGCTGGGTTTACCTGGGCTTGCAGATGGTCGAGGCCCTGTATGTTCTGTTTATGTATTGCCTGGGAGGGGAAGGGCTGCTCTGTTTCAGCAAACCAGAAGGTTGAAGCATATATTTTAAGGTGACAATTATGACTTGTCTATGATGCCAGTGGTGATATCATCTTCTTGACCCTGTAGTTTTGAGGACCAGGTTATGAAGAGAAGACGACAACTTGCTGAAATTAGAGTACCAGAGATGGTACTTTTTAAAATAATGACACTTCTTTTGTATTGATGAACATTCCCCATACCAAAATGGAATGGAGTGGGCGCTAATCAACTTGGTCTTTCCTTCTGACAGTCCATAATAAGTCTTTACACCGGGGTAAGCAACCTAAGGCCCATGGGCTGGATACGACCCAATCGCCTTCTCAATCCGGCCCACGGATTGTGTGTTTTTACATCAGCATATTTTTACATGAGTAGAATGTGTCCTTTTATTTAAAATGCATCTCTGGGTGATTTGTGGGGCATAGGAATTCGTTCATTTTTTTCTTCAGAATATAGTCTGGCCCACCACATGGTCTGAGGGACCAGCCCACAGCTGAAAAAGGTTGCTGACCCCTGCTTTACACTGTCAAGTTATCTCACACCTAAAATAAATAAGCTGTCTCCTGCCTTCAGAATCCTCACAAAGGCATCCTTGGTTTTTTGTGGTATGCAATTAATCTGAAGCCAATTAACTTAAGCAGTCCTCAATGTGGCTGCTTGCTTGCCTCTGTTCCATCTCATCCCTAGCTTGATGGAGGCAGAGTAAAGGACCCCAACATACTGGGCATGAGTCTGAGGTTTCTCTAATGTCCCTCAGGGGAGCTTCAGGGCCATAAAAACAAGGATATATCTATTGACCCTCAGCTGACCCAATCAAGCTCAGGACATGTGTGTTTTCGACCCACTCAGCCAATCACAATACACCAACAGCGAAGGGAGAGTTTTAGCACACTGCACACATAAAAAAGACAATGCACATACTTAGAAGGAGAAGGAGGAGAAGAGGAGGCCTGAAATGTTATGGTGCATCCAAAAGGGGGCCTGCCACAGCTGTAAAGCTGTACTAATTAACTGTCAATTTGCTTCCCTTCAACGATCGCCTGCCACCTAAGATTTGGGCTGGCCCGACCTTTTGTGCCTGCGCATGTGCTTCTTGAGATACGAAGACCGCGTGAAGAAGCTTCCGCAAACGAGGCATTCATGCTCCAAGCTCGCTGTGTGCACCTCCTGGTGCTTGGTCAGATACGAACGCTGGGCAAAGACCTTACTGCAGGTGGAACATTTATATGGCTTCCCCGCCCGGTGGGTGAGCAGGTGCTTTGACAGGTATGAAGTCAAGCTGAACTGCTTTGGGCACTTGGGACAAGCATAAGGCTTGTCCCCTTCCACTAGTGAGGAAGATCCCTCCATCAACAGGCTTGGAGTGCTCAGGAATCGGGGCACCTTAGGGTGTTGACTGGCCACAGCTTGTGGTTGCCCAGTAGAACTGGTGATGCTTTCAGTCAAAGCCTTCCTCTGTAGTCCCCTTGAGGTGCTTGGGACAGTGCACTCCACAGAGACTGCCTCACGGGAACTCAAAATGGGGGTCAACTCAGTGCTGGGTTTGATGTCAACACGGAAGGGAGACAGCTCGGTGGGCTGTGGGTTGACGTTCTCACCATCAGTCCCACCGTACCCACTCTCAGAAGGCTGCATTTGGAACAGGGGATGAGGCAAGCCCTCGACCCCAATTTCCCACACAATGTTTGGTGGAAGCACTTCAGGGTCACTGTGTGCTCTAAAATGGCATTTGCCACACTCACAGGCTTTCTGACAGGCTAAAGGTTTGCAAGGTTCCCCAGAACACAGGGGGGGGAAGTGTTGCAGATACTCTCCAGAGATGTTCTCCACAGGGACATCTTCCTCACAATTACTCTGGCCTTCCTCCTTATTTTTTTCCTGATGTGATTCATTGTTCTTTATCGGTTGCAAGTGGGAAACGTCACAGCCATAAAGTTGCTCTCCAGGATGAACAATCAAATGTTGAATGAGGTCAGAAAGCCACGGAAAGCCTTGCCCACACTGGTCACAAAGAAAGGGCTTATGGATACTGATGCTCTGTTCTGCTGTCTGGCTGTTGTGCCCGGGTGCTTCAATCTGTTGTTCCCCCCTAGGGTGACTGAGTTTATGTTGGGCAAGACTGTCAAAGCCTTCCCCAGTGTGATCACAAATGTCAAGCTCCTTGGAGGCTGTGCTCTGCTCTGTTAATGCTTTTCCAGAGTGAGTGTTCGCATGTCGAGTAAGGTCTGAAGGCCACTGGAAATTCTTCCCACATAGACAACTGGTGTAGGATGCCTTGGAGGGGCTGTTCTGGTGAGTCTTTACCTTTTCTCCACAGCAAGAGCGTTTATGATGAGCAAGTTTAGTAATTGACTGGATGTTCTTCCCACACTTCTCACAAACGTAGGACTTCTGGGACTGGGTGCTCTTGCCTGTCCTTAATGTTCTCCTGCGGCAAGCGGGTTCATGTCTAGCAAGGTCTGAAGGCCACCGGAAGTTCCTCCCACATAGACCACAGATGTGGGATGCCTTGGAGGGGCTGTTCTGGCCAGTCTTTACCTTTCCGTGACAGCAAGAGTATTTATGATGAGCAAGTTTAGTAATTGACTGGACGTTTTCCCCACACTTCTCACAAGTGTAGGACTTCTGGGACTGAGTGCTCTTGCCTGTCCTTAATGTTCTCCTGCGGCAAGCGGGTTCGTGTCTAGCAAGGTCTGAAGGCCACCGGAAGTTCCTCCCACATAGACGACAGATGTGGGATGCCTTGGCGGGGCTGTTCTGGACAGTCTTTACCTTTTCCCCACAGGAAGAGCATTTATGACAGGCAAGGACAGTAGATGACTGGAAGTTTTTCCCACACTTCTCACAGGCATAGGACTTCTTGCTTGTCCTTAATGTTCTCCTATGGCAAGGGAGTTTATGTCTAGCAAGGTCTGAACGACACTGGAAGTTCTTCCCACATAGACCACAGATGTAGGATGCCTTGGAGGGAGTGTTCTGGTCAGTCTTTATCTTCCCTCCACTGCAAGAGCATTTATGATGAGCAAGGTTAGTAGATGACTGGATGTTTTCCCCACATGTCTCACAGACGTAGGACTTCTGGGATTGGATGCTCTTGTCTGTCCTTAATCTCCTACGGCAAGCGAGTTCATGTCTAGCAAAGTCGGAAGGCCACTGGAAGCTCTTCCCACAATTCTCACAGCTGAAGGACTTCTTGGACTGGGAGTGTTGATTCATCACCAACTGGGAACTGTTAGCTGCTGTATTCCTAAAATGCAGGTGTCGGGCAAGGTCAGAGGGCCATCAGAACTCCTTCACACAAGGCCTTGGAATAGTCCTTCTGATTAGTGATTGGCTTTGAGTTTCACAAAAATTTGAATCTGCATACAGAGTAATGAGGACTAACAGATTTGGACGCTTGCTTCTAATTGGCTTTGGCCTTGCGTAGTCTCTTTACCCCTGTAATAATAATAATAATAATAATAATTTCATTATTTGTACCCCATCCATCTGACTGGGTTGCCCCAGCCACTCCGGGCGGCTTCCAACAAATATAGAAGCATAAAACATTAAACATTAAACCCTGTATAAACTTCCTTATACAGGGCTGCCTTCAAATGTCTTCTAAAAGTTGTACAGTTCTTTATCTCCTTGACATCTGATGGGAGGCGTTCCACAGGGCAGGCACCACTACCAAGAAGGCTCTCTGCCTCGTTCCCTGTAACCTCACTTCTCACAGTGAGGGAACAGTCAGAAGGCCCTCGGAACTAGACATCAGTGTCAGGGATGAACGATGGGTGTGGAGACGCTCCTTCAGGTATACACTTTAAAGGTCAGTGCCAACACTTTGAATTCTGCTTGGAAACGTATTGGAAGCCAATACTGTATAGGTCTTTCAGGACTGGTGTTTTATGGTCCCAGTGGCTGCTGCCAATCACCAGTCTGGCAGCCACATTCTGGATTAATTGTAGTTTCATAAATATTTTTTATTTGATTTTACAAATGTAAAATTATAACAATATCAAATACATACTCAAATTTAGAGATTCCTCTGAATCTCATAACTTCCCTCCATCCCTTCCATGGGTCCTATTGTCAACATTTTCAACTGCATATTATTTCATCATCCATATTTTAAGTCTCTCTCTATTGTCCAAAGTATTTTTTACGTTACAAGTGTTATTAAAGTCCTGCTAATGTTTTCATTTGTTTACAGTGGTCTCTTACATACATTATAAATCTTTCCCATTCTTTGGATTAGTTATAGTTTCAAAGTCACCTTCAAAGGTAGCCCCATGTAGAGCACATTGCAGTAGTCCAAGCAGGAGATAACCAGTGCATGTACCACTCCAATGAGACAGTGTGCAGGCAGGAAGGGTCTCAGCCAGCATACCAAATGGAGCTGGTAGACAACCACCCTGGACAAACTCACCTTTTGTTGATTCTACTTCTTTTTCTCACTGTAGACAGGCAACTGGGGGCAGATTATGCTTCTGATCCTCAAAAGCCTTGGAGTTCAGGTCTGTTGAAGAGATTTCAGGGGGCGTTAGAAGGGGGTAATTTAAAATTAGCATGCTGGTCTACTGATCAGCCACCAGGTATTGCCGACTGAAAGTCTACTATTTGACTATTATGAAGAGAAGAAGATCTTTGTACTTGGCAGCCTACCTTTAAATTTTTTTATTTTGGTGTCATTAGTTAGCAAGATCAGAAGGGAAGTCTACTCCCTTTGTCATATCATTATGTTTTTATATGTGCTGGAAATCGAGTCAGATGGACAGGGAACAACAACAACAACATGTCCCACTCAGTAGTCAGGGGGCAAATTTAGCTTTACAAAATACACCCTACCTGAAGGAGGGTCTCCACACCTATCATTCAGATAGTGGTCCAGCTCCAAGGACCTTACGGCAGTTCCCTCACTGTGAGAAGTGAGGTTACGGGGAACCTGGCAAAGGGCCTTCTCAGTAGTAGCACCCTCCCTGTGGAATGCCCTCCCATCAGATGTCAAGGAGATAAATAACTATACAACTTTTAAAAGACATCTCAAGGCAGCCCTGTATTGGGACATTTTAATGTTTCGTTATTTGTGTGTGTGTGTGTGTGTGTAGATGCCTAAAGTGGCTGCGGTAACCCAGTCAGATGCACGGGGCAATAAATTATTATTATCCTACTGGTAAACTGCCATAACTACAAGCATTTCCAAACAAGAGGGAAAGCAGTCAGCAATGGCAAACATCACTGGTGACCCCTGTAGGTCACTGTAGGAACCACAAAATTACTTTTTTAACAAACACTTCCTTTTTAAATTTATTTTAAAGAATACGTTAAAATTCTGTAGCTACTGTGCTTGGTTTTTTATTCATCAGTCAGTTGAAGATCTTCCATTTTCAAAAGAAATCACAGCTCTTCAGGATTAGCATGGCATTCCATGAGAAAAATAAAAAGAGCTGTTTAGTGAATCATTTGCACTTACATAAACCTTACCAAAGATTGTTAAAAATTAAGAACTTTGCCCCACAATAAAATAACATTTAAAAAAGAAATTTCGTTTTTGACAAAGTTAATAAGGTAGTTGATAATAACCTTTAATGAGGTTCTAACAATGTCAATGCTTTAACTATTCTTGGCCAATACAGTGGTACCTCTGGGTTGCGAATTTTGCCCCAGGATGAGAACAGAAATTGCACGCTGGCAGTGGGAGGCCCCATTAGTGAAAGCATGCCTCAGGTTAAGAACAGTTTCGGGTTAAGAACGGACCTCCAGAACGAATTCAGTTCATAACCCGAGATACCACTGTATGTCAGCCATTTTACCCCCCAAAAAAATTCCAATAAAATACCCAACCCAAACACAACCGGGTCCTCCTGAAAAGGTTGCAGTAATAAATATTTTAAATGTTTAATTGCTTATATTGTTATTCTGCTGACCTGGCAGCAAATATCACTATCTATTCTGCTGTTTTAATATGGTTTCTACCTTTGCATTTTATGATAGTATTTCAGTGTAATACTCCAAGCCCTATAAGTCATGTTCAGCTTTTTTTAAATGGAAAAGTAGAATAAAAAATATTATACAGTAATGGAAGTAAAATGATAGCACAAACCTTGTGCAAAGGTCTGCATGGGAGGTTAAGTTCTGTGGCTGAAGGACCTTAAAAGTTAGGTTTGTCAGCCTGTAATAAGCCTGTACCATATTGATAGCTTGGGGTAGGATGGTTGGGTCCCCTCTGTTAGTCCCAGCTTCACTAGCCCAATAAAGTTATGTGGGACAGGAGGCACCCCTTACTGATGATGCATCTTAATTAAGCCCCACAGTTCCTCCACAAGGAAGTGTTGTAAACAAAAATTGCCCTTTTTCCCTTATGGGGTATCCAAGAGCCCATATAGAGTCCTTACGTAGTTTCCCTATTGGTAGGAGAAAATAACAGAGGCCAACCAGAGAATATTGAGAAGAAAAGCTGCTAGTAAGCTTGATCTTTATTGATCTGTTGCAACAGGGTGCTCCCCTTACAAGCAGGAAAAGAGGAGGAACCCAGAACAATGGCGCACAAGGCTTTATAAAGACTTTTGAGATTACCACCCTGTAGATCAAGACCACCCCCAGAAACATCATACATACATCACAGAAAAGGCAGTCTAAAACAGAAATTTGAATGTTGTTTTTCCTGTTTGCCAGGTTATCTGATTTCCTTTCCTGAATGTCTTTCCTGATAGTCTGTCACCCATTAAAATGCTGATTACTCAATTCTTGAGACAATGGGAAGGCTCCCTGACCCCCCTCCCTCCTTGCAGGGAAAACTTTTGGTCAGTTTGGGAATCAAAATGGTTTCAGGTCGGTCTTCCTGTGCTGATCTATGTACGTGCTTGGTTGGTACACTTAAAAACATTACCATATATCTAAGAACTCAAAATTCCTATCACAGAAGCTAGGCCAAGCCAGCCTGGAACTGGCACAGCAAAAGAAGAAAAAAAATGTTCCCCCACCATCTGCCTTGGCCAGTGCAATATGGCAAGGCTTTGACTGCTAATCCTACATAAGTCTACCTGGAATTATTAAATTCAGTCTTACTCCCATGTATGTGTAAGATTGCCACCTGAATTTGAATGTACTCTCAAAACATCAATAGAAGTTCCTTTTCTTTTGCATAAAAATATGCAGACGCATCATTATAAATAAATAAACAGGTAAAGATCGCTTATTAGATCAAAGCTACAACTTCCTGCTAGGCCACTTGTTTCAATAAAAAGTTGAGAAAGAGGTGAGTGGCCTGTTGATACCATTGTTCAGAGGGTGTAAAAATATAACAGCTACAACGAACCCTCTTTAAAAGGGCCAGCATTTTTGCAAGTTACATCTTGGCTGAGAGAAGGCCTTTCTTTGGCTGCTGGCTGTCCCCACAGTGAAAACTCTTTGTTCTCTACAACTGAAATCTTCCTGTGGAAGAACATGAGCGGGCAGGACAAAAAAACCCACCTTTTCCTTCAACAATGATTCTGTGTGTGATCCCCACAATGAATATTTCATCCATCACAAAAAGGCAATGAGCCTAATTACACCTTTTCCAAGGAAGGAAAATTTAGACACTACCACTAAGGTGAGAAGGGTGGGCCTTCCATGCAATCACACATCCCTGCTTCATGTTTATTACCCCAGAGTTTGTAATTAAACACCATCTGCCTTAGATTATAATCTCCACTTTGCCCCTAGACTGTGAAGGGAAAACCTCCTTTACGCCGCCCAAACAAAAGAACAGGAAGGCAATTGAAGGATATTAAGGCGTGGTAATCTCCTCTGATTTATGGACCCTTAGTCCAAAATTCAGAATAACAAAAGCAGAGTAAAGCGACCGTGGCATTAAGAAAGATGCACTGCACGAAAGGGAGATTGCCTCTGAAACAACTTCAGCTACTCTGGTATATTTTTAATCAAGGCGATGGGAGTACACAAAGTATTTAAGGCGGATTGATCTTGCATGCATGGCTCTAGAATAAAACACACGTGTATAGTGGACAGTCCCAGGAATCACGGGCGTGATCCAGTGGTCTCTTAACCCAACCTCCTGGCTGCCAGGGAGGCGCACCTATCCCTCACGCCAACAGATCTTTTAAAAATGTGCCAATGAATAAATATTAGCAGCCCTATACATTTGTGCACCACGTAAGTAGGAGCTTCAAAGAGAGAAAAACCCTAAGCCTCGCCTCTCTTTCCCCAGAAAAAAGCTACGCTACCAGTAGACGCAAATCATCAGATCCCAACCAAAAAGAGCCCCCCAGGGGGTGATCATGTCCCCGTCTCTACCTTGAAGATGATCTATAATCATCACCATCATCCGCCCATCTGGCTGGGTTTCCCCAACAGAATATTATAAACAATCCTCACATGTTCTTTCCAAATGGGTGCATCATGGAAGGTCCTGAATTTAACCGGGAAAGCAGAGGAAGGGGCGGACCAAGATACTGCTTCCCAACCTCCTCCTCTCGCACGCCTTCTTTCTGCTTGAATCAAGCCCGAGGCTCCCTTCTAAATCACTTCTTTAGCCTTAGCCGAAAAGAGGCCGCTCCCGGGCCGCGCTGCAGTTTAAACGGCCTGCGGTCACGCCCCCGGCGTGACGCGCCAGGAATCCCCATGACGTAAGCGGCATCCCTCCTCCCCCAAGCCGTGTTGCTGGGGGTCCCGGATGCTGGTCCGCAACACAGACCCCCAGAGAAGGAGAGCGGATTAATTGAACACCAGGTTTCCATTGTCGTTTTTGCATTCAAGCGGTGCATACCCGCAGTTTATTTCTTCCTTTATTATAACACTATTTCTTAGCATTTCCGTTGCACTTTTAAGGTAAAGATGTACTTTGCACTCGCCGTTTCACTGCTCCTTACAGCAACCCTGTAAGGTAGGCAAACATTATTGTCCCCATTTGCACGTGAGAAGTTAAGGCACAGAGGGATTATGATGACTTTCCTAAGATTACTGAGTGAGTCCAAGGCTGAGTGGATATTTTGAACTGGCAACTCCCCTCTCTTAGTCCCTGCCCAGACTGTATTTAAAAGAACAATGTACTGTACTGTAATCACTTGAGCTCTTTGGCAGGCTTTCAATACCTTCTGCAATGTTACAAAGACTTTGGTTATTTTGGAGGACTATAGTGCAGATGAACTAGAATATGCAGTTTTTTAGATATATAAAGGACCCACAGAGGGGAGGGGGGAAGTCCTAAGATTCGGAAGAATCTTGTTTGATTTTAAAATTTAAATGTGATTAATGTGTGATTTGTTTTGTAAAACCAATAAAAATTATTGGAGAGAGTCTTGGAAATGGCATTACCTTAGCCTTTTTCGTTTTCTCAAAAGATGGAGTCCACAGTCAGTTTCTTCATTTTGAACATGTTATTCCCAATACAGTAAAAGGTTTGGTTTCGTGTCCTCTATTTTTCGTGTTCAGTGAGGTCCACATAGCTGATTTGAGGTAGGCTTGTGTATGGTCAAGGCTAAGCTGTTAGGACTTAGGAGCACACCTTTCAATTATTATTCCAAGAAAATCCCCATTGTCCTCTCAATTACTCAAGGCTGTAAATAATACTGACACACCATTATTCTAAACAACAACAACAACAATCCCATACTGTGTATCTTGTATCACCATTGGCCATTTGAGGAAGTTTTGTATTTGGCTTTTATGTGTGCTTAATGGTTTGTTTGCTTTGTATGCTGCTTAAATAATCTATTTTATGAGGCATTTACTCCATAAATCTCAAAGGAATCTTCTCTCACGCTTCATCATGGTTAGCAGGCCTCGAGGGGAGGAAAGGCCGCTGACCATTTTCATGTGCTTCCGAGGACAAACCAGAACAGTTGCTCACTGCAGTCATGGAGGGCAAGATCTTAAAGGCAAGTTCATAGATCCACTTGTGGCCTCCATTTGCTGTGCCAATGGAATTCAACAGAAAAGGAATAAGGATATAAAATCTTTGGACAAATTGATTCCCTCCCCCATAGATGCTTGTGCTAAAAAAGTAATAATTATGAAGGTGAGTTGAGGACTTATAGAGATATATTAAGTTTACTGAAAATGGGTATAAACTTTTTTTTTTAAGAAAAAGAAATCCAAGAAAGACCTGGTATCAGGTTGGTTTCAGTATCATCATTAGATGGTTTTATATGACAAAAATCTGATTTCAAAATGAGGTTATAAAATGTTATGAGAATGGGATACTAAAGATTAATTATTGGCTAAGGCAAGAATGATACAGTGGGCTAAAGATTTAGGTCATAATGTTGATAATGGCTTCTTGGGAGAAGTTATGGAAAAAGCATATGGAATTTACTGCTTGTTATAAATTAAGAGAAAACTCTTATAATGATGTACTGGTGGTATTTAACACCAAATAAATTGACCAATATGTATAAAAAATGACAAAATTATCATAATATAGAAGTTTTTGTGATAGATACAAGATATAATGCATTAGAAAAGGTTTGAGTAGAACTCCTAAAATGCTTGGCAGGGGGTTGGACTCGATGGCCCTTGTGGTCTCTTCCAACTCTATGATTCTATGACTCTTACTATAGAGAACTCCAGCCTATATAGAACAGAAGGGAGGTTTAGAAGGAGTTTTTCAACCTTTCCAGATTGTGCTGTTTAGCTAGGAGAGAAGGAACACATTGGGAGAGGGTAGGAAGGAAAAACTTTGCCGTCAGTCACTTCTAGATTGTATTTTTGCAGAAGGGATTCAATTGCATACTGGAAATTTAGGTATGCAGAGTTACAATGGATTACAGTGCTCTGTAGCTCTGATGGTACATAATAATAATAATAATACATGAGAGAGACATACAAAATGTGGTTAGGAGACTGTCAGTGATGTGCACTAACAAGTGTGAGTATGGGGACAAATGACTGACAGGAAGGCATGTAAATGAGCACAAACAAATGAGGTTGCTTATTCTTGCACTTCCCTGCAAACAAATCAGAACAGATGCTCAATAAATAAAGATCGGACATCACCATAACCTCCTCATATGCTTTGTTCAAGCAAATTAATGCTCAATTAACAGGTCGTAAGGAGCCCAATGTAGTTTCTTTTTAAAAAAATCATTGCATGCATCCCCCACCCTCACCCCTTGCTCCAGAATACTGTACATTTTTATTTATTCAAGCAGATTAATCCTCTTCCCACCTTCTTTCTTTTTTTATATAAAAAAAGCCTGACACCTCCAGCATTTGGTGGTTGTTGTTTTTAAGCCGACACCTTCATTCTGTAGGTCCTGGAAAGCACTGACCACAGATCTTTTGTCAGGCTATTTTTAAAAAATGCATACAAATATACTTCTGCATACCTTGGAAATATATTGAAGATGTAGAAACTACTACCGTACTATTTGGTGGCTCTGTTCCTCCTCTAAACCTAGAGGCATCAAGCCACCCAAGAAAGTTTATGCTATAGTAAAATTGTTAAGTCTTCAAGGCGCCATGAGATTCTTTAATATGATTTAGTTGAGCTCAAACCCAGGAACACACAATTGTAGGAATTAAGTTTCCAGTTCTCAGATGTTCAGAAACAGAAAATCTGGTAAAACTTATTTTTGCACCATTTAAAGGACAGTCAGCTTACGGCAGTACTACAGTTGTTCTAGGGGCTTTTTTTCCTTTTTTCAAAAAAAAAAGGTATGTGAAGCAGCAGCTTTTAAAATTGTTGACAAGGATTGCATTGAGAACACTGATCACAACTCACACAAGCACTGAATGAAGCGTTAGTTGTTTCTCATTTTAATTTTTATTTCCAGTTTCAAATTTTCTACAAGAAAAACAATAAAAAAATAGAAAACTCTAGAAGTTGTCAAGCTCCCTGACATGCCAGTTCACTACAGAAACAGGGCTCTGTTCCTGGGTCACTACGGAGATAACATACTGGCACTGGGTTTGCTTGCTTGCTACGCACACAAGAGACTGTAGCACCTGGTTGCTATGGAGACAAGGCCCCAACACAGGTGCTTGAAGTCCCCTTAGGCCAAGAGTGGCTGGTGCGGCCTGCCCTGCCTCTGTGGCACTCGACAGGGTAAACAGGCTAATGGAGACAGGGCTCCTGTGTTATTAAAGGGGGGATTTTGAAAGGGCCAGCTTCTCCCGCCATAGCGGCAGCACCACGGAGAGGGAAAGCTGTGCCTGCAGAAATGCTCCCCTTTTTACAAAAACGGTATACACCACAGGTGTCTTGTTCCCTACGGGGCCTATCAACCCTATGTTTGTGCCAACAATGAGGTCCTGAAAGGGCCCAATTTCTCAGACAGTGGCACCGATAGGAAGCAGCATCAAGCCCAGAACTGAGGCAAGAACAAGGCATTGGAATCCAATGGACTCCAGCCACCTCACCCCAAAACCCTGTTTGACTAAAAAAGACTTTTAACAGCATCGCTGCTCCTTAACCAATTCCACACCCCAGCCATTATCACAGCTTCTCCCTTCTATATCCCAAGGTTGGCACTTTTCCTGACAGGTCTTCTGTACCGTTAACAGCTCCATGACAGCGAAGATCTGCACCTCTTGAATTTCCGCCTGCCTCGCTGCTGTTAAAGACACAGAAACCTGTTTCCAAAAAGACAACCCTACTACCTTCTATTTTGACGCCTCTCAACAGATGGGTGCATGACCCTGTCATTTGTGGAGTGGCATCTTACTAGCTGCCTCTTCTGGTCTCTGCACGTCTATACTACAAATGTAAACAGATCTGAAATTGGTTCAACTGTCTTGTGAAGCTGCCTTTTATTGCGCAGGACTATTTATTGATCCATTGAGCCCCATGTTTTCTGCTTTAATTGGCCGTGTCCGTTCAAGGTCTCTGGCAGCGGCCTTTCCGAGCCTTGCCTCTTTTGGCTAGAGATACGAGGGACTGAACCTGGGACCTTAATGCATGCAAAGCATGGGCTCTACCACTAAGCTAGGGGCTATCCAAGACCCTCCCTGTGAACTCTGGGAAGCGTAGATTCGTAGGGTGCTTGAGAATTCTTTATTAGAGATTGCTGCTTCATAGAAAGGAGCTACAGTTCCCAGGGTCCCTTGCTTGAGAGCCGCCATGACAGTTAAACAGGCTCGAAACTGGTTTATATATGCAGAGTAGACGTACTCAGGCCTGCACTGGCTCCAGCTGCAATTCCATAAGGCCTTGGCCTGTCTTAGATGTCTCCTGGTGTGGGCCCTTTTGGACCTTGGGGGCAGGCAATTCCTCCTCTGCTCTTGGCTCTTCAGAGTCTTGTGACAGGTTCTCCCAATCTTGGTTAGCTGGTGCGGCTCCAGGAGAGAGGCTGGCAACTATTGCTCGATCGGGCGTCCTCTTCCCGCGGGGCAACTCAGGCCGGGGAAGTTCTCCCTGGTCTTCTGAATGCCAGAGGTTCTGAGGTTTGGTCATCTCCCCCTTTGGACTTAGAGACTCGGGTGCTTTCAGCTGGGGGCTCTGGGGTTCGGGCAGCTCCTCCTCCGCCACCCCCCGGGGTTTAGGGGCAGTGTGAGAGCAGCGGCGGGTTCGGGCTTTCCTGCTGTGGTGGACTTGGAGATGTAACTCCATGAGCTCCGGAGCCGAGGTGGCGAAGGGACAGAACTGGCAGCGGTGGAGGGCTCCTCCCGCCAAAGCCGGGCGCAGCGACAGGTCCAGGGGCTGGAAGTCGGTCTTCCCGTTGAGCAGCGGCTTGCGGCGGGATGGGCGGGACCGAGCTGCTCCCAAGCTCCCGAGAGACAGGAAGGGCCCGTGGCTCTTGGCGAGCTGCGTGGCGGGAAAGGCAGGGACTGCGGTGGGAGCGAGGGGAATGTGGCACCGTTCCAGCGTTCCTGCCGCAGCAGCTGCTGCAGCCGCAGCACTCTTCTGCTCCCGATGATGGCGCTGCAAGTGGTACTTGAGAGAGCCAGACTGTGTGCCAGCATAGTCACAGTGAGGGCATTTGTATGGGCGCTCGCCTGCAAGCAGAAATGGTAGAGGCAAGTTGGAAAGGCAGTGAACAAATGCAGTTTCCTAGACAGTTGACTTTGGACCTGGCAGCCCTTGGTTCAAGCTCCACCTCTGAGGCAAACTAACCGAGGGACTTTGAGTGAATCATTCTCTCTCAGTTTCCCCAAACTATAAAACAGGAATAAAGGCAACCTTGCAGAGTTGTGCAAAAAGCATCAACCATCTACAGTGTGATCTTCAGGTCGGAATATTACTATTCACCCAGTGTTTAAGACACACTGGGAAGGCTCCACTTCAAGTTCTACCTGTTGAGGAGGTTAAATCAATGAACAGGCAGAGCAGGGCCTTTGGGTTGTGACACCACAACTTTGCATTTCCTCTCTAAGGTGGAGAGCCTCGCAAGGAACGAACAGACAAAATATGAAACATCCTTGCAAATAAGTTGGTCTGGTGTGGTGAGTGTTTGCAATCCCCTGCAAGGAAGCTCCCACGGACCAGCCACTGTCTCTTAGCCTAACCTACCCCGCAAGGTTGTTGGGAGAATAAAATAGAGAGAACAACTATGTGAGCTACCTTGAGCTCCTTGAAGGAAAGGCGAGATATAAAATGTAATAATAAATAAATAAATGCCCCCCCAAAGTTGTTAGCTCAAAAAACATTTTATCAACCTACTAATCAAGTTTACCATTTTAATTGGTAGTTTTATACATAATACATATTTGTTCGTGCTGGCTTTTTGTAACCAGTTTTGAGCTTCCATACGGAAAGGAAAGGCAGCCTAAACTGAGATCAGCAGAGAATGCTGCTCTATGTCTCCACTTGTGCCACTGCTTTGCATGTCTGGTGAAAGCAAAGGAACAGGCAGTATAGTTGCACCTCTGAAGTCGAACGGAATCCGTTCAGGAAGTCCATTCAACTTCCAAAACATTCGGAAGTCAAGGCACGGCTTTCAATTGGCTGCAGGAAGCCCTGTCGGCCGTTCGGGTTCCAAAAAACATTCACAAACCAGAACACCCACTTCCAGGTTTGCGGCGTTCGGGAGCCAAAAGGTTTGACTCGCAAGGCATTTGTCAACCAAGGTACGACTGTACAGAGGTCTGAGCTCCCGTGTGGTATGCCTCTGCAAGATACAGAACTTGGGGGGGGGGCTAGCAAGTACCAGCCTTATTGCACATTTCCACCGATTTAGGCAAACCCTACCCCACTTTTGCCGCATCTTGATCTTACCTGTGTGGACGCGGAGGTGCACCTTTAGATGGTGTGAGGATCTGAAGGACTTCCCACAGAACGGACAGTCTTTCCCAGTGCCCCGCCGGGATCCGTCCAGGCGCGACTGCCCTTGCATGTCTGGGGAAAACACAGCAAGGCGGGAAGCTTTTTAGTATGAGGGGACTGCAGGGTTTCTTGACCCTTCTCTATATGCTTTACATATGGATTCTCTGCCCGCTTTGTTCTTCTTTAGAGCTACAGAAACATAGTTTTTAAACCCCCCCCTCACATCCACAAGTGCCACACGTGTCTCACTTTTTCACCCCAACACAGACCATGCCTTCGAAGACAACCATGACAGCTACATCGCTAGGTCTGGATCTGTACCTAATTTGTCACCTTTGTTTCAAAATGTAGCCCAACATAGTAGCTGCAAAAAATGATGACTGCTCTAAACGGCGGTGGGTGGGTTGTGAATTGAAAATACAGTGGTGCCTCGCAAGACAAAAATAATCCGTTCCGCGAGTGTCTTCGTCTAGCGTTTTTTCGTCTTGCGAAGCAACCCTATTAGCGGCTTAGCGGATTAGCGCTATTAGTGGTTTAGCGGCTATTAAAGGCTTAGCGGCTTAGCTGCTAAAAGGCTATTAAAGGTTTAGCGGCTTAGAAAAAGGGGGGGGGAGCGAAAAAAAATCTCAAGACTCGCAAGACATTTTCGTCTTGCGAAGCAAGCCCATGGGGAAATTTGTCCTGCGAAGCGCATTGAAAAATGGAAAACCCTTTCGTCTAGCGGGTTTTCCATCTTGCGAGGCATTCGTCTTGCGGGGCACCACTGTAAACACCAATGACAGAAGATTGGCTGCCTTGGGTAAAGATTACACAGAATGCTTTAGAATTAAAAAAAAAATTGCAACTGTTCACAAACATCACACACACCATGCAGTGATGTGTCAAAAGAAGGGTGGTGTTTTTTATGTTTTTAGAGATGGAAATAGAAGAAGAATCATTTGTGACAACAGAAGTTGACTTTGATAGGTTGGTTTGATTTTTTCAAAAGAGATATTCTGTTTGCTATATTAACATCTGACCGTGTTGTCATCTTTTCCACTTCTTTTTTCTTAGTCATATGGCACGCATATATATCTCAATTGACTGGAAAAATTGATACTGCACCCTCATACACCAAGTCTAAAATAAAAACCATTTGGTCAGCAACATGGTTTCACATTGGCTTGCTTCAAACAAACCATAATTAACATTAGCCACAGCTTGTCAGTTTAGATGACAAGCTGTGGTTAGGCAAAAGCTTTCAAACTCATCCTAATGGAAGAGCAGAAGAGGAAGAGCACAGCCACAAGACCCTGAGGCTCACTTCAGCTCATTCACATCACTCCAAACTATGGTTTAGCTCAAACTTTTGCATGAAGAAGCGAGGGGTGGAAAGCACAATTGCTAGTTATTCCATTTCAAGTTGCTAGGCAACCTCACCATGCTTCCTTCCCTTCTCTTTCCTGTAAAAGGTTCTGCCAAAGGACAGAAGAAGTAATATTTGTGAGTAGCTGAAAGTGAGAATGATGGAAGTATTGGGTACTTGTCAGTACTGAGGCCCAAGTTAGCTGCCTGACTGTTGGTTCATGCTGGTCTTGTGGGGAAGAAGAAATGCACACACAAATGCATACAAAGCACAAAATGAGGCCCTGATATTTTTGGAATGGTGAACATGTTTTAATGCATCCTCAGGTGGAAAGAGATGGAATTTACTACACTAAACATAATAACCTCAAAGCCTAGTTTCCAATTATTCTAACCAGTGTGGTAAATCCCAGCTTTCGCCACCTGAGGGCATATTTAAGCAACACATCCACCATACAAAAATGACATGGTAAAAATCACCTCATGGCGGTGACACAGCATGTGATTCATGCCTTACATTTTTTTTAAAGAGCTAAACAATGTGGCAGACTTGAGAATTAGGACATTTCTACATCATAGGCTTAAAATGGCTTAATAGCCCTTTTCTCTAATCAGGAATTGGGAGGAACTGCTGTTCTGTGGAGGGAGGAGTTACAGGTTCCAGAAAAGTTCTCAGAACAATTATCACAATTCCCCAGGTTTACTGGGAGAACAGCAAAACAGTATGGCTTCTAGAACAGTGGAACCGTATAAAACAGATATGCATTTGTTGTGCGGATATGTGCTTTGAAGGAATGTTGTAAAACCACTTGGGGAAGTATTTATTTGCATCAATGCAGTTTATTTCCTTCAAGACACAGAGTTTGAATTTTCCTCATGCAGAATCTGGGTGTGGGTGCATGTGGGTGCTTATGCAGAAAGCTACAAGGTCTCATGACACCAACATCCCCTTGCCCAAACTTGTTTTAACTGGGAGGCAGAGGTGAGACACCGAACAATCATGCAAAACTGTGCAGAGCAGTGGGGAAATGTTTCAGTTACACCAACTAATATTTTGAATACTGAGAGCTATTGTTTGGGTATCACGGAACTCTTGCTCATTCTGAGGTAAAATCTGTAGATAACTGCATGCCAGGCTTGTTGCCCTTCCCAGAATTCCAGGCATGGTAGCTTTACAAGGTTTTTGTTAGTTGGTTTATTTTGTATTTTATATTATAAGCATTCCGTTGTTTAGACCAAAGTGGTGTCCTGTAGATATTTAAGGACTACAGTTCCCATCATCCCTGACCACTGGGCCATGCTGGCTGGAGCTGATGGGAACTGGTGTCCAAAAGCAATTGGTCAACTCTTTGTTGGCTATCCTTTTAGGCTAGTTACTTAAATGTTTTAAATAATTTAGTAGTGGGATGTGCTCTGATATCCAATGGCATCATCAGCCTCCTGTGCAGTTCTGTTTGAGGGCTGGAGGAAAGGTGGACATCAGTAAGCACATGGGTCTTGCCCCACTTCTGCCTTGGATGCGACCCAATAGTGGCAACCATGTCCCACCACACAGGCCACTGCTAAACATCATTATTTTAAACATATGGTTTTGTTAAGCATTTTCCATCCAGTATGTTGCTTCCTTTGCTGGGTTTGGCCTACCAATACAATTCTATTAGTTTATTCCTGACCTTTATTCATATACATCAACTGGACATATCCCTTAATTTCTTCCTCCACCCCTCACACATATCCTTTTATAAAACAAAGGGGGAAATGCAGTTTTCAGCTAAAACCAGCCCAGCTATGGAATGTAACCCACCCACATCCTCATTTTTTATTTTGCTAGAGGAAGGCAGCTCAAAAGCACGGGTTGATCTAGAATCTGAGATTGCTTTGTGATATGTGAGACCCTCTTTGGTAGCCCCCACATAAAAACAACCACCCCCAAATCCCAAAGCAGCTATGCTCTGCTTGTCCATACTTGCCCTTTTCCTCCTGGGTCAGCAGAGACGGACTGGTGTTGGCTGCTGTGGAGGCTCTGACATTTGTGGGGAGCCAGTGTCCTGCAAGAAGGTGAGAGCCCAGCGACTGCCCCTTGCTCCACTCCCTCTCTCGGGACAGGTGGCTCTGTCGGTGCAAGGCCATCTGTTGGAATGTGCCGAAGGTCCGGGAGCAATCTGGGCAGCGGTGGCTCCCTCCTGGGTCCTCTCTCACCAGCTTGGAACCTCCTGCGTAAGAGCGCTCCCTCCACTGCTGGCCACTCTCCACCGCCCGAGCTGTGGCCTGCAGCCGCTCGGCGCAGCTGGCATCGCCATAGCCCAAGAAATTGCCCGTGCTGGCCTTATCCGTGGGCCGAGGGGAGAGGAGGGAAGGGTAGAGGGCCTCGCAGCCGACGAGTAAGCTTTGGGCGGACCGGCCTGGGCCGGGCCCTCTTTGTTCGCTCTGGAGGCCTAGCTTGCTGAGATGAACCTTCATGTGGTTCTTGAGAAACCACGGCTCCTTGAAGCCACGCCCACACACCTGGCACTTGTGGTCAAAGGAGTCTTTGTGCTTCCGCATGTGACCCTTGAGGAACCAGGACTGGGTGAAGGCCTGGCCGCAAACCTGGCAGCGGAACTCAGTGGGTGCAGCGGCTGAGGGAGCAGCAGGGGCAGAGGCTGGAGGGGCAGGTGGGGCAACTGCAGCGGGGACAGGGGCAGGAGGGGTGGGCAGCCGGGCGGCCGGGAGCCCATGGGCTTGCTGGTTGTGCCACTGGAGTTCCACCTCCTGGGCGGCAGCAAAGGAGCACTGTCCACACTTGTAGGGCTGGTGGAGGATGCGGAGGTGGCGGTCCCGCTCGCCGGCGGTACGGAACTTGCCCTTGCAGAAAGGGCAGCGGAAGGTGGGCAGGGGTGGAGGTGGAGCAGGGGCAGCTTGTTCTTCTTCCTCTTCCTCTTCATCCTCCTCCTCCTCTTCCTCCTCCTCCTTCTCCTCCTCCTCCTCTTGCCCCCGCAAAAGCGCCCGCTCCTCCAGCTCAAGCAGCAGGCGGCTCTGGTGGCTGAGGCGGGCGCGGGCCTCGGGGCAGTGGGAGCGCAAGTGGAGGCGCAGGCTGGCACGCTGCCCCGCCCGGTGGCCGCAGTAGGGGCAGGTGAGAGGGGAAGAGCTGGTGTGGATGCGCGTGTGCAGGGCCAGGATGCTGTTGAAGCGGAACCGCTTGCCGCAGATGGGGCATGGGTAAGGGCGGGCCTCACCCCCAGGTCCCCCCGGCCCGTTGGAGTAGCGTTGCAGATCCAGCTCCCCGTTGAAAGCCAGGGTGTCCGCTCCATCACAGGAAGAGGGGGAGGAGGATGGGGAAGAGAGGGTCACACTGGCTGAGTGGGCAGAAGGCAACTGGTAATCTGCACCCTGCAGGAACGAGAAGGAGGGGAAAGGCGGTGGAAGCCTCAGCATGGAATGACACACACACACACTGCCAAAAAAAATCCTCTTTCACACCACTGCTGTTCCAGTGTAACTAAATAGCTCACTGCTGGAGAAAGGAGCGAATGAAGCTAAATCTTTACGCAGAGCAGCGCTAGCCAGGCAGGCAGCCTGCAGATACCCTTCCCTGCTACTGCTTCTCCATGCAAGCTCCTAGGGGAAGCAGACAAGGCCATCTATGTTGCTACAAAAGCAGCTTGCAAACTAGCAGCTGATAACACAGGCGCATGGTATTCTATTCCCTCATATGAAGGCCAAGCTCCGCTTGTACGGCAAGGGGTGACTCAAGCGTCTCTTCCAGCAGGGATTAGGTGCCCAAACCTAATCCTTTGCCACAGTGGAGGTTGCAGAACCATAGGCTGAAAACCAAACAATCTATAGGTTTGCTGCAAAGGGACATCATGCTGAGGGAGCTTCGCTGGGAACCCAACAAGGGGAAGAGCAGTAAGACCCATTGCTGAGACTAGAGATAAAGGCAACATTCTCCAGAGCTAGGCTAGTAAAAGCCTGGCCCATAGGCACCAAAGGAGAAATGACCTTTACAACCCCAGAATATTTCTCCACATTTTACCCCAATTGCTGGCTTCCTGTACCCCAGGAGGGAACAGTTTTTCCCTCTTGAATGTGATGGGAAAATGGGGCTTCATTACATTCCAAAGGACTCTTTGACAGGAGATGAGCTTCCTCCTCCTTTCACTTTTTGCCCATTCTCCTGTTCCTGCTCCAACTGGAATGTGTCCCACCCCCATGCCAATTGACACCAACTGCCCTGTGGGAAGGAACAAGAGCTTATGAGGCAGGTGTAAGAACCTCCTCTCATAGTTGCCCATGGGAAGCCCGTAAGAATGCAGATGAAAAAGGCATTGGAGGCTTCTCCTGTCCCAGATGGACCGTCCTTCACCACCCTAAACAAAAAAAACGTACCAAATGACACCAGCTGCCCTGTGGGAAGGATCCTGATGAACTGATATGCTAGGATACTATTTGGCTATAATTTCATTGCTATATTTTGATTTGAATGTAGCCTGCCTGGCAAGGATTTGTATCAAAGGTGGAAAAGAAAACAAAAAAAAATGCAACAATGTGTGTGTGTGTATAGCCTCCCCTATTAAAAGTAATTAAGTCATGTCATTCCATTACATCCATTAGAGGACCAATGGAAGTAATTTTTCTAGGCTTTGACTTTCAGCTTGGAAAAAATTATACAAGATCTTCCCATTTGAAGGGGGGCGGAGATTGGAGAAAGAAGATCCTACTTTCCAAACTAATTCATGATAAGCCTGGGAGAGCTTACCCATCTCTAGCTGAGACAGTGTGGCTGACATGCAAGGGCATTTAAGTCCCTCTCCTAGACAGCCACACCTAACCCTGGTCTTCTGGCTTACCTCCATGATGCTCCTGATCACATGCTTCAGTCGTTGATTGGTGAAAGGGCAACACGTAGGATGTGACCTGACATCTCACACCTGATAGGCAGGTAGGCGGGAGCATGAGCTGCAGGAAAGGGGAGAAACGGAAGGGCTTTAGCTCAGAGGTCAAACATCTGATTTGCATGCAGGAGGTCTCAGGTTTAATCCTCAACATATCCAGATAGGGAGAGGAAACACTCCCTTGTCTGAAACCCTGGAAAGCAGCTGCCAGCCAATTCTGAGCTAGATAGGACTTGGTATATCAGGCAGCTTTTCATGCTTCTACTAAAAAAATAATTTCAACAAGAAAAGCTCAGGCCTTCTGCCCACAGTTGCCATTTTGCAGTGCTCACTATTTGACGAATACTATTAATTCTTCATTCACAAGGACTTAATCTGTGCCACATCCAGAGAGCTATCTTGGCACATTTCTGCTGCCGAGGCTTAACCCTGGAACTTATACAGTGTAGGACTGAAGTACCCCTGGATTTGCCCAGGGTGCATTTTGCTCACCACTGAATACGTAAGAGCAGGGAAGGGAACTCTGCAAGTTGGGACTCCCAACTCCCATTGACCGCAGCCAGCATGACCAATGGGCAGTTGGGAGTTTTAGCCCACAGCGTCGGCAAGACCACCATCATGCTCCCCAATCCTGACATAAGAGACCCCAAACATCAGGGGAAGGGGTTCAAGTGCAGAGAGATTTGTTGACATGAGTTTGAGTATGTTGTAGTTGTTGTTTAGTCGTTTAGTCGTGTCCGACTCTTCGTGACCCCATGGACCAGAGCACGCCAGGCACTTCTGTCTTCCACTGCCTCCCGCAGTTTAGTCAAACTCATGCTGGTAGCTTCGAGAACACTACCCACCCTAATTTCCACATGCAATGTGCATGATTTAAGTTGGATTTAACCTGTTTTAGGAACCAGAGAGTGAGGTGAGAAAGTTGTAAACCTTGAACTGACAGCACAGTGGTCCTTATTCTATCTCTATGGAACAGAGCCTTTGGAACCTTGCAAGTATTTTGCCCATGTTGTGTCTCAGACCAACATTCCTGGGGATGCTAAAGCAGGACTGGTCCAGCAGTAAGATGAAGGAAGGAAGCCAAGCCAGATAATACACTGCCAGGTTGCAATGGAGATTTTTGTCTGCCACGCAGCTTGCCTCTGAAGTAAAAAACAGGGCGTGGCCATGGCTTCTCTTCACTGCTGCCCCTCCCTTGGCCCTGCCCAACCTCTCTTTTCCCACCTTCTGCAGCAGGAAATTATTTCACCACCCTGCAAGCCAAAAGAGAGAGTGAGTGGCAGGAGAAGTGTGGGAAAAGCCTCAACTGCATCTTCTTTCACTGCAGAGTTTGTACAAAGTCTGACAAGAATGCAGGGAAGGGCAAAACATCCCTGGGGGAAATTTATTTCCTGATCTGACTGCCTGTCGAATCCGTCAAATCTTACCCCAATGAATCATCCAAAGGAAAATTTGTGGGGTAAAGGTAGGGGTGCTTGGTTTGGCTCAATGGACAACCTCAGTGGAGTCTCTAGCTCACAGGCTGGGTGCATCCCTGAGACCTCCCATGCAGCCTCTCCTTCTGGGCCCCACACCCTCAACTTCTATGCTGACTGTGGAGAGCTCATTGGAGGAAGAAGTGGGATACAAACAGGCAAAGTGTGTGTTAACAACTCTCATACCATGAAATGTCTCTCAATGCTTCACAGTACAAGTGCTTGCACGTAAAACATCCCATTGTTTTTGCAGAGTTCAGCAGAACATGCACCCACGGCTCCGAATAACAGAAAACCTATGCTTCCACAGAAGCTAATAAAAACAGAAACACTTGGCTCTGCAGTTCATGAAATTGAAACAAAAATGCATAACTCTATAGGGTGTTCTTCGGGCTTCTACGAGCACCATTTCAAGTTATTCCAGCTCTAAAGGAATAAATTGGGATCATGCTCATAAGAGACAGGGGAAAAACAAAACAGCTGTGCTCTGCACCCTACTCCTTTCCCGACAACCATTAGTTGACCTACTGTGATGTCAGGGAATGTTCACAAACATTCAAGTGTCCAGGGGTGTCCGCTTCTGTGAGGGCAATTAAACTTTGGCTGTGAGGAACATTTTGCACAGAGCAAAGGACAGTAGGGGCAAAAAGCTCTTGAAGGGTGGGGGAATACAAGACAGAGTGGCTAAAGGAAAGGAAACTGGGGGCTAGGAAGCACAGCTCTAAGGGAGAGAGCAGAAGAGACAGAGATGTGAGAAGACAATGCCAGAAGTTGAGGAGAAAGATCAAGCAAAACTGGGTGGGGATAGAGGAACTGACACAGTGCTGGTTGCCACCTTTTTTTTAATGACAAGAAGCTCCATAGTTTAATAGCTTTATTTTACCTCAAATCTGAAATCCTGATAATGCAGAAGACAAATGCCAGGGAACTAACTGCACACCAAGATACAGACATGTGATATGCCCCAATACCATAAGCAGGTGTGGTCTGATCAACATGTTTACCCAAACCTCACTCCCACTCTGCCTGAGGCAAGGCTGTCATCTTCTACAATTCTATGCATGTGGAACTCAAGCTATAATTTATGGCAAAAAAACACCCCACAATATATGGATTCTTTGGAACCTCCTTTCTCCTGAAGCAGATGCAAACAAGCACAGCCCTCCTATCCTATTTCTCTCTCTTTCTCTTCCCACCAGAAGACAATAACTGGAGAAAAGGGGAGAGAAAATATGGTTTCTTTCAGAGGGTCACCTCCCAAAGTACTGTATTGGGAACCACTGGAAGGAGGTGCATTGAAATCCAGCCATCCTTCAGTTTTTCCTCACTCTGGCCTACATCAGGCTTTGAATGGTCACTGAGCAAGATGTCCTTACTGGGCCTGTTTCCTGTGTGGGTTCACCTCCCCTTCGCTTGCCTTCTTCCTTCAATCCACACAGTAGCTGAAAAGCTGAACAGGCAGCAATGCTTAGGAGGAGCATCAGTGGTAAACCAGGGGGCTCTAGGGGCTGGCAGTGGGCTCCCTGCTGGGGTGTGGGCTTTGTGAGTGCCCGGCAATGCCGCCTCCTGACGCAGGGCCTACGTGTCAGGTCTGGATGTGGCCTCGTCTCAGGAGTAGGGGACCTTCCTCAGGCTCACATTCTCCTCTTTGCAACCTCAGAGTTCAAGGACACATTCCAGTCACACAAAGCCACTCAAGGAGGGTGTGAAGCAGGGCTGGTGCCAGGTGTGGCCTGAGAAGAGGGGATGTGGTTCAGGAGGAAGAGTCCCAAAGGGCCAGACTGACACATGGAGGGCCACATTTGACCCTGAGGCCTACGGCTCCCCACCCCTGCCTGTAGACTGCAGCAAGTGATGGCAGTGGCAGTGGGGTAAGGCTAGCTGGTGATGGAGGTTGTGTGTTTGTGGGTGTTCTCCTCTCATTCCCTGCAATAGTTTCCTCCCTGGAAAAGGAAAGAGAAGACTGACAAAATCCTTGAAAAATTGGCTCTGTCAGAGCCCAGCTATTTAAAATATTTTACCAAGCTCAGAATGTATGGATGCATTCAGGCAGCCAAGTATTCAACGTGATGACTGTAAATATCATGTTAGGAATCCAGGAAACAGGATGAGCGGCTGGCTCTTCCTACTACTTATTCCCGCGCTCTGCAATGGGCCCTCTACACAGTTTTCAGGCATGCCCTGCTCCTACAAATCCCACAACCCTAATTCAGGAGGAGCCGAGAGAGAGAGAGAGAGAGAGAGAGAGAGAGAGAGAGAGAGAGAGAGAGACTTACAAGTGCATTTATGCAACAGTTGGATTAACAAGTCATTTTATTTTATTTTTATTGCACTTTTGTTGCCCTCCTCCTCAACTTCAAAGAAGCTCGCAGGCAGAGAGTACCTGGATTTCTTCCTGCCTTTTTATGAAAACAAGTCCTATTGGCTGAGAAATGGTACATAGCCCAGAGCCAAGCAGTAAGTTTCACAACTGAATGAAGAGCTGAACCCAGGTCTCCACAAGCCTAACTCTTTAAACACTACACCACAGCAATTATCCCATTCCCTCCTCCCCAAAGCCTGTAGTTTTGTGAGGGAAGTGAGGGATCTCTTAAAAAAGAAAACAAAAAGCATCTTTTGCACCCTCACCCAACTCGCAACTCCCAGATTTTTTAGCAGTCCTAACTATTATAATGACATAAATCCTACAGTGTCTTCAGGATCTGACTCATCCAGTCTGATTTGGAATTAGAGCTGGGCTTCAGGGCTAATTTGATTATAAAGGGGTTGGAGCTGGTAGTAGGTTTGATCTGGGATCTTCATTACACAGTGATTGGCTTGGGATATGACCTTTCTCTTTCCCCAAAGCAGTAGCCTTCAATGGGATGCAGGACTGGTGTGGTGAAACAATCCCTGTGCAAATTGGGTTAGCAGCTCACCTGACTCCACTGTCCTTAGAAGAGCAGGGATGGGACAAAGAGGGTGCTCCCTTGCCAAGCCCCCTCCATGACGTCATTGCTCTTGCCGCCCTTCACATGTTGAGGGGCTGAACTTCCGCAGCAGGGAGCCTATTCTATTTGTGTTGGTTCTCCACAGAATTCAGATTTCTGATCTTCCAGGGACTCCCAATCACACAAGGGAGCCTACACATGTTCAACCGGCTCCCCCCATTGCAGGGTTCAGCTCCCTACACCTGAAGGGCTGTAGGCATGGTGACACAACAAAAGTTGCAGCACTCTCTTGCTCTTTCCCTCATTTGATGGTGGGGGGGGGGAGTGTTTGAAGAGGCCTATTTTCTGTGTGTAATAAATCACAATCCTTTGCCAGTGAACCAAAGTGCCTTTGTGCTGTGTTCCCTGGTCAGGCCCACCAAATTGATATTGTGACCCACACTCTTAAGAAAGGGTTCCTCCCCTCTGCTTTAGGTTACATCACTACTAGAACACTGTACAAACACTCAAGGCTGCAAGGATCTCTGATGAACTAAGCACAATTGATGCATCCCAG